GAATGAGCATGCTAATAGCCAAACAGTAGAATATATGACCATGCTCATATCATGCTGACTTGAGTTGCATGTTGCAACACTGAGGCAGCTCCAAAACACACGCTTAAGATGACCAAGGCTAATTAGGATGTCGTATGAAAACATGCATCTCGTCCAAAGGAGACTGTTAAAGTGTCACCGATTGATTGCTGAGAAGTGATAATTATTTAACAGGATTTTACTTTTCTTTTTGTTTTTTACAGTTTATGGGCAACAAATCTGGTTACAAAGCAGTAAAGAATTAACTGTTCAACAAAAGACAAAGAGCTGAATACACGTGTCATGTTCGTGAATGATATAACTTCTCAAGCGTCTTAAGCAGCATTAGTATCAAAATCTTCCTCTTACAACCCCAGCTCTGGCTCAAACGGCGAGGGAGCTGGTCACCGTGCGGTCATATCCCCCCGCACCTGCCACATCAACTGGCTCTAATCCGCAGCATACTGGAAGTCATCTGACCAGCGATCTGGTGGGCCACTTCCACTCAGTGGACCTTCAAACACAGTGGCTCAGATATCACCAAAACCCCAAACAGTAACACTACACTCGCCATCATAACAAGTCTCACACAAGGACTCCTCCTCCCCCCCCTTCATCCAAAATGAGGGAAGAGGGCCGGAGGTAACAGACTCTGTTTACATGCACACTGGGATCATTCTTGATAGTGGCAATATGGCTTTTCAGTGAGCTGCTTTTTAATCGCATAATTCGTTTGATTATGGATTAATGACTGGAAGCCTACGGGGAAGTTAAAAGATGAGAAAACTACAAGAGGAGGGCTTTGTTTTAATGCAGGCAGTGACGACTTCTTGACTTTTATTTGTAACGTTAAAGCGTAAAATCCTTTTTGGAAGTGAACTCAACTTCCAAACCCTCTGTGACCTCTCTGACAGACTGTATGTGTCAAGAAATGAAATCTATACAAGAATAGAAAGTAATCAAACACAAACAAAGGAAATATCAAATGAAGGAATTTCAGAATAAAACCATATCTGCTGCCTTCTCTCAACAATCACATACGACCAAATAATGACTAAAATGATGATCACGAAACAATAAAAAGAAGATTTCGTGCTGAGATCCTGGAAACAACCGGCGGGAATAATTGTTTGGCCGACGGATTCTTCATGGGTGGACTCTGACGAGCAGCTTTCAACTGATATAGCGAGCGCCATCCATTAGAAGAGTTAACATTTGCAATCATCTCACAAATTGTACAATACTCCACGGGCCATTAAACCGGCAGCCAATGATGATGTATGTGCGGTTGGCCAGAGACTGCATTTGAGCAAATCCAATGACGTGCCACTTGAAATAAAGCGTTTAATTAAGCATTGTAAACCTCAGCTGGCAGCCTGGAGGAGCTGTAGGACAGCAATTCGACTGCGCTCTCGCAAACTAGCCCAGTGACACACTTTCACATCCTTACTCAGGGGCATGCCACTGACTCAGGCTGTCACGCCGAGTCCTGCTGCGGTACACACACACACAGAAAAGCTGCACAATAAACTCAACACAAAAAACACTCACACACACAGCATAGGGTCGTGAACACTTGACACACTTTTTCACTAGGGTGAGGGGGGGTGTGTGTGTGTGACAAAGCATTCCTGCATCCAGCCTGGTCAGAGGATGGGGGGGGAAGGGGATGCACGGCGGAGGCTGATATGTGACCGTGGAGCCCCAGTCACGAGGCAGAGTGGGCCACCTTGGAGTAAAGTGACAGCACTCATATCTGAGCCACTTACCCCATCATGACATGGAGAGCTGAGCTGCAATATGCCCCACTCCAAAGGGGAAGCTGGGAGAAGGGGGGGGGCGCCTGTCAAACACAATGCTCACTGACGTTTGATTATTTATTCCGCCATTCAGGTTTTTCCGAAGCAACATGTCCTTTCATAAATAACTGAACAGGAACACCGGAGTGCCCTCATGAACAGGACAGAGGGTGCCTGTACTCATACAACCCCTGCGCCAATGTTGCTGGTGACACATCTATTTATAACTCCAATAGTAGCGGTGCCAAGTGACGAAGTTAAGCGCATCAGTCTATACGGGAGGAGACCACTGCGTGCGAAACAGCAAAAAGCCAATAAAACTGGTCACAAACTCACTACTATTCCAAATCAACAAAACCAAGTCTGTTTCTCTTGCAAGTGTATTTTTGCACAATCTATTTCCAAACACCAAGTCTCCATTTCCCTCTCTCTCTCTCTCTCTCGCTCGCTTTTAGAGACTTGTTTGCTGCATACTTGGAAGCCATGGCATGGAAAGTTTACTGTGGTGAGAGTTAAAAGAGATCTTAATTACATTTTATTGGTGTGGACAGATAATCAAAACGAACAGAGCAAAGAAAGTTTTCAACCCCTAATGGAGCTCTTGAATATCTGGGATTTTCCACTAAGTGATGATAGGAGCTGGAAATTCTGACCCCCTCTGCAGCCCTGTGAAGTAAACATCATCCACAAGTGATAAACTGGGTACTTATCTTGATATTCTCTGCAGTCTTGTGTCACAGAGTTCTTTGTTCTGGGAGGCCTGATGTATTATACACCACAGAGCATCAAGATCTGAGGGCAGCTACTTGTCTCCCAGCCTCCAGCTGCGTTCACGGGTCTCTCGCTGAGCTCAGAGGGGTTCAAAGAAGCAGGGCTGTGGTCGGACCACTGCTCAATAGGACTGAATTAAGTTTTTTTTTTTTTAATCTATTTGAATGCTAATGGAGGTCAGTCTACATGTCTCCTTCCCATGTCAAGACGTCTCCGACACATCCACTCAGGAAACAAGTGAATTAGTAAAACGACTGCGACGTAGCTGCCAAACACACTCAAGTCAAGCCACAACATCGCAGACACACACGAGCAACAGTCTCTTGGCTCAAGGTGAAAAGATGCACCTGGAGAGCTGGGAAACGGGCAAAAAGAGCAACTTCTGGCAAATTAATAGAGGAAATATCCAATACTTCAGAAAAATGATTACTCACTTTGACATCTACTTTAACATTAGGCCCCTTTTGTGAACTCTAAGGCATTATATGCAATACAATACAACAGAAATTCTACTTTTAAGAAGCTTTTTCATGTTGAGTTTTTGTTGTCAACGGGGTTATGATTGTACTTCATGTTTATGCTGAGGTCATAGGACATAGAGGTGGTGGTAAAGTGGATTGTATTAGATTTAAAAGTGTTCCTAATATTAACCCCATTTGCATGTACGACAGGGACAAGATGTTAGAAACACTTTTAAATGTAACGCAGTCCATTTCACCACCTTCACCCACCATGACCTCAATAATAAACAGTGACTAGAATCAACACCTTTTGGACAACAAGACCTGACAACAAAGCAGAGTTTACAGCAGAGGTTGCTGTATTGGAATGCATCACATTTCACAAGTGTACCAGCAAGTGTACAGTGAAAGTCCAGTCTAAATTTATGGTTATTGACAGAAACGGCATAAACCAGACCTCATTCCTCAGCCCTGTTTATAAGAGAAAACTTAATGTAACATGTCACATTTCTTTCACTCTGCTAAATATTTAGCTCACAGACAAAAAAATAAAAAAAGAAGGAATTGCTAAATCATCTGTAGAATCCAGCTGGTGTTGGCTGGAAGTTTTTGCAAGATGGATAAGGTGTTTTTTTTTCTTTAGCCAAAAGCGTATTTAGAGAGCTGTCACAGAAAAGCCGACACATCAGCAACAATCAGTCACATACTGACCTTATATATACTGTATCATTGCCAATGAATAGAGAGGGCAACCCTCATTGACTCTCATTGATCAGCTGTTCTATTTTAGCACTGGCATAAAAAATCAAAAAAATAAAAAGCAGCCTTGACTCTGGCAGCTCCCAGTGCATTAGATAAGATTAGAGCTGATGAAATTTATGAGCCTTTTGAAAAAATTTTGAAAGCATGAAACAAAACTTTGAAATCAGTGGCCAGGAGGTTGAGACATTCTGCATAGTTACACTACATTTCATTTACTTTGAAAAGCGACTTTTAGAACACAATTTCACCAGAAGCTGTTTCTCTTTTTATTTCCTACAATAAAACATTCAAAGAAAAAGCCTGGCTGAAAAAAATAAAAATGAAAAAATGAAAAAAAAATATTCTGCTCGTGTTATTCGGTATTTTTTTTTTAAACTTTGTGCAGATAAAAGTGGAGCATTTATAGATATTTCACCCACTTGAGTGCCTTCAATCGTGTCTTGTATTTAATCAGTGTGAAAAGATCAAGGTGTGAAGGCTGGAATGGAAACAAGCTTGACTCAGGTGCTCCTGGATTTTTAAGGCTTGTCACTGCACAGATGTAATCAGATTACTGCCATGTGTCCGACAATGTATTCATTTTCTCACCATCGTGACTATTTATAATTAGAACCGTTTATTCAACCGCCCTGTGTGTGCTTTCTGTGACTGCATGGGATTTCGAGAAGCAAAGGATCGCCTGATTTTTGGCTGTTCATGCGCAGCGACGCCACACTACGAAATGCAAAATGGCCACATGGTCGTAGTAACCTTCAGCCCTGCTCCCTGGATTCATCCTCTGCTTTCTGGATGCCTCGGGTCAAAATTTACGCCGGCGTGTGCTCAGAATGTTACCTCGTTTCGAAACGAACGTGACGCTTTCATCGGATAAGATGATTTTTACGCGCAGCGGCGACTATTTTTGGGTAATTGTGTTCACCCATACTGACGGCAGCTGTACCACATGGTCCTCCTCAGCTAATATATAAGTAACATGCGCTGCAAGCTCACCGGGTTTGACGCATTCAGTCTCTTTAAGTCCGAATATAACAAGAAATAAACCTGGTTGTTTTGTAAATAAGAAAACCGATGCGTTTTTGCGCATATCTCCCACCAGTTGGCAAAATATTCCTGTTTTTTGGGGGGGTTGAAAAAAAAGGCCTTCCCTTGTTTAAGAAATAAATTTGAAGCAAATAAAAGAAATACTTACTCTCTCCATTTGTGGACCATATGCAGATAGCGGAGACAGACAGCATCAAACCCCAAAACAAGGTCGGGCTACCCATCGGTGTTTCTGATCTCACGTTCCTGAACATAATTTTCCCCTCCAAACAATAAAGAAAAAACAACAACAACAAAAACAAAAAAAGCAGGGACAAAACGAAAATAAAATAATCAGCTTGTACACATCAGCTCCTTCTTTTAAAAAAGACAGCCTTCAGGTGGAGAAAAGTTTTTTTTAAAAATGATAATAAATGTGTCTGTAGCCCACAAGGCTACTCTCCGGTAGCCTGCAAATGCGTGGTGGCTCGTCTACCTGGGTTTGCTCGTCCCCCCAAAAAAATATAAATAAAAAGGTGTAAAAATGGTTGGAAGAGGGAAATCCTTTGAGGAAAACAATCCTTAAAACAGTCTGCTATTTTTGCCAGTCACAGGATACTTTAACGTTGGCTGGTATGGCACACAAGCCAGTGATTTTACTGGATAAATGATGGTAATCCCCATCTTCATTCTCCATCTCTTGAAAACAGCAGTGCGCGCACAGTGCGATCAGGCCTGGTTCAAAACAGCAACAACACAAAAATACATATATATCAGGCCAAATGTTATTACTGGTAGCCTTTACCACGGTAATAAATTAACGCCAGTGTCGCTCACAAGAATCCCCCGTGTGTGAATGACTGTGTACGAGGAGGAGGAGGAGGAGGAGGTGGGGTGGGGGCAGAAAACACGTCCAGATCCACAGGGGTGGTGGCTGCGAGGTTGAAAAATGAATGAAAAACCTTTTTTTGCTTATGCCATTCAGCCAGCACAGGCTCTCGATCCCCACCAAGCAGCTCTGCCTCGCAACGAGAAGTCGTCCCTTTTTTTTTTTTTTTTTTTTTTTAGAAAAAAAAAAAAAAAGCAATTTTCCAGCTCCTCGGCTCGGACTTATCTCTGCCGTCAGTCGGGATTTGCAGCTGAAAGAAAATACCAGACTTGTGCCACGCAAGAGAATGGGTCTCCAGCTCTCCAAAGCTAGACGACCTCGGCTGGGGTGGGAGGGAGAATATGTCCAAGGAGTTGCCCTTTAAGAGTGTTTTCTTGTTTTGCCTTTTTATCCGCGCGCACAAGAGAAAGCGAAAAATAATCAAACTCCCGTTGCGCGTGTATCCAGAGGCTGAAATCCTGCAGTTCGCCCTCGGTTAAAGCAGGCTGTGGGTCTCCGCTGCTCCGTGGAATCGCTGCTGTAAACAAGAGTCGGCTTCTCTCACACAGAAACACATAGTGCTACGGATAAGGTGGCCGGGAGAAGGGCGGAAAAACCGGAACGGATTCCGGACCCAGAGATTCTCAGAGCGCACGACGCCCCGTGCAGGACGCACACACACACCCCCAGCTGGGTGTTTCTCGGAGTGAGGAGTGAGGAGTGTGCCGGTTTTATTTAGATAACTTTCAGTACCTTTAGGAAAAGCCAAACCGTCTATTCTTGCTTTACCCTTTGTGATCAACATACAGTCAAATGTATTCATACCCTTCCATTAAAGAAAAGGCAAAACTCACAATAATCACTCAAATAACCAGAAACTGGAAAAAGTAATAATAAATAAAAATTTGCTAAATTATAATTTAGTGAAATAAGACATTGCTTTTGAATTGTGGTTGAAAAGAATAATTTAAAAAAAACAACAAAAAAAAACTGGCCCAGACAAATTCGAGCTCTTTGCTGATGAGCAGTGGGCCAAAATCAAAATACCTGTCAACAGGTGCAGAAGTCTGACTGAGAGTTACAGAAAAAGTATATATATTTCTGTTGAACCACAATTCAAAAGCAATGTCATGATTTTTATTCAATTTTTATTTATTATTACTTTTGTCAATTTTAACTTATTTATTTCAGTGACAGCTGTTCTTTTTTTTCTTCTTTAATGGGAGGGTATGAATACATTTGAGGACGACTGTATACAGCAAACTGTTCCAAACCAGGCAATGTCTCACTATTATGTGCGACTTAAAGGCTATTTTGTCTGTTTCTCCTCACTTCATCTTTTAAATCAATCAGATTGGGTGTCGGGACAAAAACATACAGTCAGATTTCACCAAACTTCACCAAATTTGCAACATGATACCATTTTTTCTCACATTTATTTTGTCCAATTTTAATCAAACCAGCATGTGAACCCAACAGGCAAAATTAATATCAGAATTGTTGCACCATCTTGGCCTGTGTGTCTTACAAAGTGGACACATGACTGAGATGTTAAGGACCCTGCGGTGGCACCTGATCTTGTTCTATTTTTAAATCTAATGAAATGTGTGTCAAAATGTCGGATTTGTTGCTCGTGATGTTTTAGTTGATGTGACACTTATTCTTCAGTAAATTTGTGTTTAATCAAAATGATATTGATCCAGGTGAATCCACTTCAGGAACACTCAGGAACACTGCTTGGCTTCTGGGACTAGATGTGCACATGAAGGGACTCAAAAAAAATGAAACCAGTTTTTTTTTTACAAGTTAACCTGGCCCTTATTGAACAACATTTGCAAACCTTTGAGATGCTTGTGTCAGTTAAAGATATAGAAATGTTATGTCTGGTCTTTCTGAAACCTTCTGACTGATAAATATGTATATATGAAGAGTTCATTTGCAAAAACAGACAACTCCATCTTCACAGACCTCCAGAAAACCTACTTTTCTATCATCTACCTGAGACAATATCAATCAAACTTAAGTTATATCTACTTTTGTCATTTCTACTGAGTCAAGTCCACTCAGTGTGATTGATATTATTTTTAGTAAACAACAAAAAAAATGTTTTCTGAAAATCTACAAAGATAGAGGTATCTGTCTTTGCAAATTAACTGTTCATATATTTGAAAGAAAGATCCTGAAGAAACTAAAATGGAACAGAAGTGACATCTGACAAGACTAAATGTTCCCGTGAACCTTTCAGCAGACGACATGCTAAAGTTAAAAGTGCAACAAAACTGAATCAGTGGATATTTTAAATGAATGCAGCAGTTACAGCATTTTGTTTTTCTTGTTTCAGGGAGTAAAATGATGATAATTTCACTCCTGTACATTACAGTTTATTTCTAGTGAAGCAGATTCTACCGAGTTTATGTGTTTTATTCCATGTATATGTGTATGTGATGTGTATTTGTCTGGGGTCACACCAAGGTCAGCTCCTACTCTGGGACTTCTTCACACAAGTGAGAAGTGCAGCTTAATATTTAATGACTTGTAAAATTGTAAATGTGTGTTTCTGCAAATCATTTATAGCTAAGATAAAGAAATCAGTGTAGACATACTCTTAAACGAGAGCTTCTCCCAGTAGACTGAAACAGTTTATAGGCCGCTTCACTGGAAGAAGAAAAAAAAGCATGTTACATTATTGTGTTAATTCACATGGAAACATATTTTATTCTAATTTAAATGGTTGTTAAGTTGCAGCAATATTTAGTGGAAAATAATTAGATGAGTATCCAAAAAAGACGAAACAGTGTTTTTAAGATTTCTTGCTGTTGGAATAAATAGGACAACGTTGAATAGCATGAAGTGTATTTAGTGCACTGGAGCTGTACCATAGGTTACACTGCTCAGCAGCATCACAGGCGCAAAGGAAAACCAGACATGGAGCTTCATCCAGCATGGGACTGCCAGCTCTGAATTTATCTTTCATTCATCCCATATATGCAGAGAGAGGGTGTGCAAGGGAGCTTTCATCCTGCTCAGGGTTTGTAGCATCACTTCTAAAAAAAAAATCACATGCATGCAGGTGCACAGGCAGTGGAGCATTTGACTGAGGTAAACACTGACTTTTCTACTGTTTTCATCTCATTTTTAGTAGTTTTCTGTTTTCTGAAATGTCCAGTTAGTTTTTTTTTTACTGTGAAAATGACTTCAAGCAGAAATGAAAAGTGCATTTTTACAAGCAAAATAAATATTCCAGCATTTAGTTATGTGAGTTGGCGAATACTCCCCAACATTACCAGATAACACAGCTAGTATTTTCAACTTTTTTTTTTTTGGGAGGGGTGTGGGGATAGGTGCTGAGATGTTTGTAAAAACAAACCAGAATTGCATTAAATCAGAGGAGTCATTTATTTGCACAGAAGTGTAATATTACAGGTACATGCAATAACTTATGTTACATGCAAGAGACAAGTGAAGTGTAAGAAACAAAAACCGAAGCTTTCCTCAAGATATAAAAATGGACGAAATCTGATTGTAACCATGGGTGAGTAGCTATGAACAAAGTGTCCTAACAAAACTTCTTCTTTTTTTTTTCTTTCTTGTACTTTAAAATTGCAGTTTGATTATTTTCTTGGACTCGTCCTCTAATGAGGCGGTTTTAAAAAATGGCAGTAGTGAATGTGAAACTATGCATGACTGACACTGAACAAGCTGCTTTGTGTGTGTGTATGTGTGCGTGCTGTTAAACTGCAATTTTGTGGATTTCTTTTCTTTTTTTTCTCTCTCTCTTCAGTGTTTTTGAGAATAACCACCTCATGACACTGAATCTGGTGAAGCTGCTTTAAGGGCCTTTTAATGGTTAAGTGTCGCCCTCTGCTGTTGCAAGGGACGTGTTACAGTGGTGGTATTCAAATGTGCAAAATACTACTAGATATAAAGTCAAGTCATTGCTTTTGAGACGACGAAGGCAAATACTTTAAAGTGGTTGTAAATATTGTAGGTAAAAAATAATATTAGCTGTCATTTAAGATTAAAAAAAAAAAAAAAAAAAGCAAGTCACTCGAGTAGTTTAAATAACGCACAGAGCTTGTATTTTTGGCACCGTTTTATGCCTTTTTCACACACAAACACACCAACACTGAGAATCTATGGAGTGTAAAGATTAGAGACACCCTTCATTTTTATGAACACTTGCAATAACAAAACATCTATAAAATAGTAAATGGGACATTCCATCTCAAATCATCAGGGGCCTTCTGCTCGACCAACTTATTGTTTTTTAAATCAAAAGCTATTCAAAATAGTATCTGAAATATACGATTGAGACATCAAATCCCAGGTTATAGTTTGTTAAATTGCCTATTCACACACTTTTAGCATGTTGTTTTTTTTCACACATCTGAGGTTATGTTTGGTTGACAATATCTCAGGAACTATTAAAGATAAAAGCCTGCAAACTTTACTGTTATTTCACATCATTCCATTGATTCTGAATCTGTTGGTGTATCAGATATTCTCTGAATATGGGTGAGTTAGAACACATTATAAAAAATTAGATGTATATCTATATGATAATGTAGAAGTTCCATCCATCCATTATCTATACACCGCTTAATCCTCACTAGGGTTGTGGGGGGCTGGAGTCTATCCCAGCTGACTTAGGGTGAAGGCAGGGGACACCCTGGACAGGTCACCAGTCTATCACAGGACTACACTTAGAGACAGACAACCAAGCACACTCACATTCACACCTACGGACAATTTAGAATCACTAATTAACCTCAACATGTTTTTGTGGGAGGAAGCCGAAGAACCTGGAGAGAACCCACGCTGCACGGGGAGAGCATGCAACGCAGAAAGATCCTGGGTGTCCTCACCGGGACGCGAACCAGCAACCTTTTGCAGCGAGGCAATGGTGCTAAGCACCGCCCCACCTTGCAGCCCAATGTAGAAGTCAACCAGTGATATTTTCTGAACCATATGTAGTCGCATGTTGCAACAATACAAAACAAAACATACAGAATACTTTTAAATATGAAGTACTTCATCACAAAAATGTAAAAGAAAGTTATTTTTGTTGAATTTTAGTGACTGACTGAGCAGGAATGATAAGCTGTACCATTTTTTTATGCTGATGTCACCCGAATGTAGTGATAATTCCCAAAGAAATGATACAAACCTACATGTCAAGTCTTCTTCAGACCAAGGTTTGTGCCTACAAAACAGGGTCTGAAAATGAAAAAACAAAACAAACAAACACATATTTTTTTTTTTTTATTTTGTGAGCCGCTCTGTGACTTTTGCGCTCTGTTTTCTGTGTGTTTTGGTCTCTCTTGTTATTTGGGTTTTTTGTGTTTTTTTTTGGTTTTTTTTGTATCTTGTCATACCTGCTCAATCAGTTATAACAGTCGAACAAAAATAGCTTTTTTCATTTTTGTCACCAAGTACATCATATTTAAAAAGGATTCTATATGTTTCGTTTTCTATTATTGTTACACGCAACTAGATGTGGTTCAGAAAATATCACTAGTTCACTTCTGCATCATCAACTTTTGTGTGTGCTCAAAGATGGGACTTTCCAAGAGAGCTTCCATTTTTAAAAAAATATTTCAACTCACTCATAATCACAAGTCATTTGATCGACTTGTCTAATATTGCAGATTCTGAATCGATGGCATAATGAGAAAGATAAGTGAACATTACGGCCCTTTATCTTTAATAGTTCCTGAGATCTTGTCATTCAAACATAGCCTCAAAATTCAACGTGCAAAAAAACGTGTTGAAAGTGTGTCGACGGGCAGTTTATTTAAAAAACGTTGTCTTGTAAAGTGTTTGATGTGTCAAGCTAAAATTTCCTTAAATTTTCAGGCAAGTCAGAGATGGTCGAACAAAAACTGTTCTAAAAATCGGATGACTCAAGAAGGAATGACTAAGTGTAATTCTCTATTTGGATGGCAGTAAATAATGATCCCTTGAAAGAATATGACAGTTAACACTTATTCCAAAAGGCACCTCTTGTGAGTTGCTGAGGGACACTCAGAGTACTCAAGTACTGCATCTCCAACTGCGGTAAAGCTTTGTGCTCTTCGCGCTAAATCAATGCAAAGAGGCAAAACTGCCTCTTAGAAAGTGTTATATCGGTGAATGCACGAAAATGGCATCACCTGTGCCGAGTTTAATTTGCTCAAAAAAGTTTGAGTGGACAAGACTAAAGTTCCAAAATGTCGGGTCCTCATATGTGACCCTGCAATAATTTAGTTTTAGAGAAACACTAGTGGTCAGCATCAATACGACATGGGCGCAAATGCCCTCAAGCAGCGAGCCCCCCCAGGTTGATTCCCTGCCGGGTTGGACCCTGTCCTGCATGTCAGTCCCCTGCTATCTTTCCCTACGTTTTCTGTCTCTGTCCACTATATCTATCTAATAAAAGCAACATGTCAAAAAATATTCTAAATTTAAAAACAAAAAAAAAAAAGACTGAATGACTCAGCTGCCTCCCCGAATCCCTCTCAGCATACCTGTGGTCAGAGATTGTGCAGGTTTAGGTATACTTTGAGGTTTGTACTTAAATTAGCCTAGAATTTTGTATTACGAGCACTGTCGTCATCCTCGCAGTGGACAGGTATTTCCTCTCCCTCTGTCTCTATTTTCTCTTCGAACACTCGCAGTATATCCCAGGATTGAGGAATCAGTTGTTTACTGAAAACCAGCTCCATCAGCCAGGACACCGCAGCAACACTTAACACAGAGGACAGCATGGCTAGAGTCCTGTAGGGGAAGTGCTGTGTGACAACTCCGTTCTCCTCCCTCCAACCAGGGTACAGGAGGAGAGGAGGGATCCCAAGCACTGGCTCCCCACTCATCAAGCGCAGCAGCAGACCTACTACGTAGCCACTAATAGCACCGTAGGTATTGGCACAACGGCAGTGCAGCACACAGACCAGCTGTGGGAAGATCAAGCAGTAGACGAGGTCCCCGCTTAGTATCCAGAGGGCAAAGACGCTGTCATCACCAAAGGCCAGGCCTGTCCCTGCCAGGCCCACCAGCAGCACGCTAAGGCGGATCACCCACTGCAGCTCCCTCTCCGACGCCTGCAGGAGGACAAGCGGAAAAATGGACGGTAAAAACTTTGCTTGGTGCTGAATCCGACAGTCACACACACACACACACTCGCGCGCACACACACCTGCTTCCTCAAAGTCGTCTTGTATATGTTTTGCGTAAACATGGATGCTGAGGACAGCAGCACAGAGTCCATGGAGGACATAACTGCTGCAGCCACAGAACCAACGCCTAACACTGAGACCCAGGTGGGTGTGAGGTATTGCAGGGCAAGTGGCAGGATCTTCCCTGCATCCCCTCGCTCAAAAGGAGGAGGTAGACCATACTCTGTCTGGTTCCAGTCTTAGAGGTGAGGAGAGGAAGAGAGAGGAGAGCATACAGAGGCAGAGAAAGAAACGAAATAATAGGATTGGGAAAAAGCTTTTAAGATTATGGTCAGCAAATGAAAATAAAATAAGAATATTAAGCACTGGGGAGCAATAGGCTAAACATCTGAAAACAAGCAAATGCCTCAGTAAGACATGCTAACTATAAGCAAATGCTCACAAATAAAAACACAACTGAAATCATACATCATCCTAGGACATTTCCCGAACATACATGTGAGTGCTTGCATTCAAGTGTACCTGCAGAAGCAGCCACAACTCCAATGACAACAGAAGGGATTCCCATAATAAAAATTGTCCCAGCCGCAGCAAAACAGGTGACCTGAGCCTGAGCAGAGGAGGCTGCAGAGAGGATTCTCTGGTATAGAGCTTGATATGCCAGTCCCCCTAAAGCCTACAACACACACATGCATACACAACACATGCTTCGTCAGTTAGCAACTTTGCAATTAGTGGACTTACGACTGATCAAACACAGATATTCGTCTAATAGCATTAATAACAGCATTATAATATGCCAGTTCCAGGGCTGTGGTCAGTGACTGTGACCTGTGCTTTTCCTCAAACGACAAGTCACGATGTCTATAGTCATCTTTTCGTTTAACTCAGCTAAATCTATTTGAAACACAGGGTGTCTCACACAGAAACAGCTCCATTACTAAACAAAGCTATGCTAAACGTAAAGCTCAAGTGTCATTTTAACAGCAGGAAAAGCACAGATCTTAATCATAAAACTAACAATGTCTGAATTGCATTTATCTGCTCCAGTTTCAGGGATGTAGAGTTGTGCATTTTGACAAGTATTTCTGATTCTGACACCTGAATAGAGCCTTTCTTATTGTTTGAGGGTTTTTAAATGCACATTGACTGGAGGCAGTAGGTCCTGATTTTCATTTTGAGAAAAGCTGATTTCTATCATAATAATAAAACGCACTTATTTAAGAAGATAAGATACCATGCAGTTTCAACATTACCTTGTACCTAACCACAACTGTAATAAATGAGCTGGAAGCAGATACAAAGACATCAGACAAAGGGCATGGGTCATGACAAGCCATAAAGTCAACGAGTGACAACTTCAGACGACTGACAAATTAAAGGAAAACCTGAAGCTGTGAGGGGATCCAGTAACTTTGTTGTGCTGTGTGAAGGACTCTGCTGGTTCCATTTAGGCCCACTTGCCCCTTTAGAGGGAAGGGTCACAGGAAATCATCATGACGTTGTTCTGAGTCATCCTGATAAAACATTTCTATCCTGATGAGAGTGGGCTCTTCCAGGATGACAATGCTGATTGGTGAGTGAATAGTTTAATTAGTATGAAGAAGATGTGAATCATACGTGATGGCCTTCACAGTCACCAGATCTCAACCCAGTTGAACACATAAGGACGGTGCTGTCACGTGTTAGACAGCACACTTGTCATCAAAACACCAAAGGAGGGAATACCTTTAAGAAATACCTCCCCCCAGTAAAGTCCCAGAGACTTCAAGAATCACTGCCAAGGAGGACTGAAGCTTATCTGGCAGCACGTGATGATCAGACACCTTACTATCTAACAGCTTCATGTTGGTTTTTCCTTTAATGAGTCACCCGTCTGGGCATGTTAAACATAAACTCTTTGCACATAAAACTGCACAGGGTTTCTGCTTGTGTGCTATGACTGAGCTAAGAAAGTTGCATTTGAGCTTCCTAACTGCACATGAGCGACACAAAAATAAGTTAAGATTTTAACCAGTAGCAGCACGTCATCGGCCCATTTTCCCGCATCTGCCAGCTCCAGCTCCCCGAGCCACGAGTGTCCGCTTGATTGGTTGAGGTGGGTCGTTGGTGAGATGTCAGTAACTGCAGGACTGAGCAACAAAAAAGGAATACAGAGCCACTGAAATAGAAAAAAACAGCAGTTATAGCAAAACCGAGGACAAGTTGTTCACCGAATTGCTGACATTTCTTAACTGATATATTAGTCTGTCATTATTTCTCCTCATGTTTCTTTCACTCTCTTGCACTCACTCTATATTTTTGTCTCTGCTTTATTTCTTACCAGGCTGACAAAGATGAAAACAAGCTGGATGATATCAGTATATGCCACCGAGTAGAGACCTCCCAGGAACGTGTATATGATGGAGACAGCAGCCGAGATGACGATGGAGATGGCGGACGACAGCCCGAGAATCACGCTCATCGTTCCTCCTGAAGAAAAAAAAACATTAAATCAGACATGGCATGATGTCATAATACTGTCCACAATATCTGATTGTGATGTGATAGACTCCGGCAGAATCATTTCATTAATATTTCATGTTTAATTGATGCATAAAGAGTTTACATACCCAGAGCAGCAAGGATGCAGGCAACCCACAAAATATCACTGACTAAAGCAGGAAGCAGGAGCGTTGCAGTGAATACGTTGCCATAGCGATTCTGAAACGGGTCCAGCATGGTCACGTAACGCTTCGACCTCATGGGTTTGGCAAAAAACAATCCTCCTTAAAGAACAAGAGTATACAAACAAAACTATTGAAGAGAAAATCACACTTTGTTTACTTTTATATTTCAAATAGAAATTAAACAATAAACCCATTCAACAGAACCTACAGCACATGTTTCCTCCCGCAGTGTAACAACAAGCAAGTTAGATGAAGGGGGAAATTTATTGTTCCTAACAATCTACTGAAGGCGTATGATGGGAAAACACAATTGAGCAGACTTCACATATTCAACTTTTGCTTACAAGTTGTCAAAGAGACGCAAAAGTCTCATTCCTCTGATGCAAGCAGAAGCAAACTTTTAAGATTATATCAGACACATATCTCTCTGTTTGACGAAATTTGACGTTGTTTAAAAAGTGTGCTTGTTATTGCGCTTAAACTGGCCTTGTGCTGTTGGCAGAAGTAGCCTAAACTACGTTTAAATGCCCCAAACTGACAAGAATAAATCCCACTCTGTGGCTCTGAGTTCAAGATTACAGAAAACGCTGCTTGATCATTTTTGATGCCAACTTTAATAATGACAATCATAATAAAAAGTTTTTCCTTGTTGTCAACAATTTGCCCATGAAAAGTGCAATAACTTTCACACAGCATTTCTCTACCCCAAATAAACAATTACAAACAAACAAAGCAACATTTTTGCCTCAGATTCTCACATTTCATTTGCTGCTTCATCTACAGTGGACAGCACAGCAACACTGAAAATCAGCCACTCAATTCAATGTTATTATTTCTCTGTGTTAGAAACTTTGATTGCCTAGAAGCCATGCCTAGCTATTCTTCCTCCTGATGTTTGGAAAGAGAACGGCAGTCGGACCTTGCAGTCAGGCCTTGCGTGAACTCATGAGTATGAAAGGATGAATGACTGGCTTCTCTTTAGATGCTCTCGTGCTGAATGAAGACTTACAGGAGCAGCTGTGTACCTGTAAAACAAAGCCTTTATTATATACTTCACCTCATCTGACACCAGCTTCTATTAGATCTTTCTGGTGAAGGCTCCTCTCAGATGAGTTTGAGATGCGGTTAGCATTGTGTGCTGTTTCACATTGGCCTCACAGACACAGGAAACCCAAACTCATTTTTAAATACAGCCCTTGTTTATCTTCACAGCCGGCAATCTATTTTTTCAGATAATATTTCAACTGGCCGAGAAACTGCTTTCATTTTAGAGTGAAGCACACTGTGCTCTGTAACACATCAATGTACTCAGTGTTGAAACCTTATCAGCTGTGTGTAACTCACATTTAGGCTGAAGAGTATCAGGACAAAGTATGGCACACATGTCCTAAGGGTTGCAATGACCATCAGCTATCCTTCTGCTGTGCGTTCTTATACAGAAGCGTCTTCTGTTTTGGCTACTTACCCAAAAACAAATTGATAACATATGCAGGAGGACCAATGGCCCAGATGAGACCTTGAGTAGGAGAATAAACAGCCTCAGCGGTTCCCATGATGTAACCCCCTCCAACCCAAGTTGCTAAAAGCAAAGCACAGAAAATAAACAAGTCAAGAATGGATCAACAAAACATGAGGAATGGAGCATATAGTGTACACGATAATTACCACTGGCACAAATAAAATCATGGGTCCTACCTGTCATGGTAAAAACCCCGACCAGGGCGTTGATGTTGCGCCCACCAACGATAGTCACTTCGCTCTTGCTGTCGGCACATGTCTTCTCCACTTTTTTGGACTTCCTGGATCCCCAGATTCCAATTACCAGGATGAAAACATAAAAAACCACCACAGCCGCCAGTCCAGGGACATCCACTCCCATGATTGTTCGGTTACTCAATAAATCCACTGTTCATCAGTTGCCCTAACAAAACAAATAAACAAACAAAAGCACGATGAGGACAAAAAAAAAGTCAACTGAAAAAGCAGCTGTTACTGCAACATGGGGGCTGCGCTCCAACCACCAACAAGACCGTGTATTTTTTTACCGGGGTACATTTTCCCACAACCACGAAGCACCACTGTGTGAAATGAGCTCTTTTCAGCCAAATACATCTCAGCTCGGCCTTGACAGACAATGACTAGGATGTGAATAGGCAGACTGACGTTACTTCCTGTAGGTGAAGTTTTACAACCAAACTATTTCTTGTGCTAACTGCTTCTGGCTACACCACATAAATGAATTTCACCTTGCTGTTTTAGGTCTGATGGCATCATAAATCCACAGCACACGGACAGCTGATTAAAGAAGGGTTTCATTCAGGGATGCTGCACATTGTATATATATAAAAAAACAAAACATGTAGCCAGGGTCTGGCCATTGAGGGACTTTGTGATTTGTCAAAAAAAAATTCAAAAACCTCCCTGGGGGAGTTTGGACTGTTCAGTCAAAAGTTTACACATGGCTTCAGGCTGGTCGCAGTATTTTTAGATAGTGTTTTCCCACCAGGATTTGTTCTTCCTTCGTCAGAGTAGTTTTCCTGGCAGTGGGAGGGCCTTGAAGCAGCATCAGTCATGCCATGCAACGGAGCTCTGTGCTAGTGCACACTTAAATAGTCAATTCTATCACTCAGATCATTAACAGAGAGACAAATGTTACATAGTGAATTAAGTTTATTTCAATATTTAGAAATGGTAACAGCCGAATTATTGTGGAGTAGATATCTAAATATACTGGCAGTTCAATATCGCCCTCACTGTCGAACACCGCTTTAAGAAAAACCTCAGGCTGCCTAACTGATTTCCCAATCAAATACTGTCACAAGCTGCTGTATGGAAATATAATCATCATTAAATCACTGTTTGGCCTGAAGAAGCTCTGCCCATATCGCACGTTACTCTGCACTGGCTTTGATCGCTTATAGTTACAAGCAGCTTAGGCCTGACGTGTTTCTGGTGTCGTGCCACATAATGATCACCTGCCAGAAGGTGACTGCACTCTGCTGAAGCGGTTATCATTTTATCACTGTTGTATTGTAAAGATAACAGCCAACAGGATAATTGCAAAGGAGATAATTTCTTTATTTTATATCTAAAAGACATCCATAAATCATGCTACAGTCCTAAAAGGGATATTCGACACACCATAGTCTGGACATTGGAAAAAAAATCCTAAATGACTGCCTACACTCACCCTAAATGTCAGCCGTGATCACACTTTAAATTTGTGCCAATGCTTAAGTTTCACAAAAGAGACGCTTTTTGCTACAGAAATAAAATTGCATGTTGTGACCGTCTGATCCAGATGAAAGCTTCATAAAACTGCACAACATAAACTCAGACGATCACAGAAGATGATGGAAAATGACCACTTTTTTTGGCGTCTTTTCAGGTGCAGCGGGGGTCCCTGGGAGTAGGTTGTCCTTTCTCAGGAGTTCTTTGTGTTGCCATGACAGTGGCAACTTTCTGCTTAAGTGTTTCTGTCTGACAGTGTGCGAACAGGGCTGCACACCCTTGCTACTATAACTCACTTTTTTTTTTGTCTATCTAGCACCTTTTTAGTGGGAACATGTGTCTTAGTGACTTCACCTTAATTGTGGCATCTAGTCTAAGCCACAACCACCTCCGGCTACATCTGCTGCCTACACCCAGCTGTTAAACAAGAAGTGCATCCAAACCCATGCATAGGATACTGTGAGCAAAACTGAGGGATGGAGGTTAAAACTTCTCCACATGTTCTAACCAGCTTATTGAGGTCAATTTATTTTACAAATGGAGAAGCTGTTATAGCACAGAATGCAGTAACATTAGCTTAAAGGAAATAAATATCAAAATCAGCAGAAAACTGTCTTTAACTCAGGGATCTCACTGTTCCAAATAGGTACAGGATTAAGGACAGAGTTTGTGGCAGTGGTGAGGTCAAACTTAAAGCGTTGCAGTGACGTGACACAACAGATTAGATTTTCATTTACTCACTGCCTCACATCAGCGCAACACAAAGAACTTTCATGACACTTTATGAACCTAGTTTTAAGTTTTAAATTCCTTCAAAGATCTACTTTAAATGCAGAAAAATAGCAATTAAATATAAAACATTTAAATAATTCTAAAATATTATGACCACAGTAATTCTATTAAACTTCCATACACAATTTTTAGTTTGTTTGGATAGTTTGTTTGTTTGGATTTTGGTTTTTGGCTCCTTCCCACCGTTGCCGACCTCTTGCTGAGTCCAAAGGCAACTCTGGATTGTTGGGTTCTCTGTTCAGATTCATAAAGTGTTCACCGTACTATGTTAAGCGCCACGAGATGACATATGTTGTAAACTGAGCTTTATAAATAAAACTGAATTGAATCGAATGCACTTACTGGTGGTCAGGTTGGCTGGTTTGATTTCAGTTGAGTATATCCACCAGTTTTGTTTGTCGTCCTGTGTGTGTTTCAGAGATCTTCTGTCATACAAAGTCCATGCTCTACCAAGTCCTTCTTGTTAAGAACTTATTGCTGCTCAGGTCACCCTGACCTGTTCGTCAGGTAGTTAGACTGCTATCAGTGAAGGACTTCCCATGATGCAAAGAGCTCTTCTCCTCTGCTCTCCCCTCTTTCCCTCTCTATGCATTTATAGGCCACCTCTGCATATCCTTTATGTTGTGTCTTCTCTCTTGCACAGTTGGTGTGTTTTTGTTCCTCTCTGCAGGTATCTCTGGCTCCAGCGCCGCATGTTTCTGACCTGCTGTTACTGGCTCCACCAAACTGCCCAGTGTGTGTTCTTCTTTTGTTTGCTATCTGCCTGTTTCTCACCGCTATCCATTTCTCTCTCCATTCTCCCCTCACCCCAACCAGTCAAGGCAGATGGCTGCCCTCTCTGAGCCTGGTTCTGGGGGAGGTTCATCCCATTGAAAGGGAGTTTTTTTTATTGTTGTCACTGTCACCAAATGCTTGCTCAAAGAGAATTGTTAAAATGGTTAGGTTACGCTCTGTAATATAATATTGCAAGGCCTTGATCTTATTATGCGAAGATGTTGTGTATCGGTGCTCTGGAAATGACGCTGAATTGAAGTGGATTAAATTTGAGTCACCATTTCTTAATTCTCTGATGCTTTTGGCTCAATTGACCTCTTTGCAGCGCTTATAGGTCATACATATAACAATCTGATGCTAGTTTCTGGGATTTTATTTCCGTAGGATGTGGGAGAGGGACACGATTGGTCAATATCGACACGTGACCTTCTTCCACTGCCTCATGGGAAATGAGTAGAAACAGATTGTGCTTACATAGAGGCTGAGATAAGGACGCGGCTGCCCAGATGCGCGCACGTCTGCATTTGTCAAACATTAATTACGATCACGACTTTAAAATATGTATATGTAAAACACAGAATGAACAAATCCGCGGCCAATTGAGCTGAAAGGATCCAATTTATCATAATGAGCCAAATTGCATCTTCCTTTCTAACCGGGAAATGCCAAAAATATTAAAGACAGTAAATTGTGTCAACGTGTGGTGACCTTACCTTTCTGTAGGAGAGGAGTGCTTCTTCACAGGACCGCTGCATGGAGAAAGGTGCATAACGGTATTGTAAAACGTCCTGATATTGTTACTCTGTCGCTGCGTCGCGTTCAGCGCTCCCACAATGTTGAGAACCGAAGCCGGCGGTGTGTTCAGTCCGTCGTTGCAAAAGCTCCGTAGCTGCACCTGCAGCGTTCGCTTCGAATGGCTCCGAGAACACACATAAATCACATAAAGAAATACGGTAGCAAAATTAGCGCAAATCCAAAACCTCGCGGGGAAACAGCCACTTCGAAACAAACGCAAACCAGCTGGAACGTTTTCACTTGAACGCACCCCAGAGATGGGCGGCGATTCGACGCACCGTTACCTCAAGCAGCCAGGATGATACCAGAGCCCTCGGAGAGGCCTCCTGTGGACCTTAACACCACAAGGAGTAACAGAATTCCCAGTTTAGCGCTGTAGTTTACTACACAGAAACGTTATGCCCGACAGTGTTTGCCCAGGGATGCGCTGAGCGCCTTTTCCACGGGGATAGATTTTGCCGCACAGCAATTGCATTTGCACAATTCCAGCACAGCATGTGTGACTAATATCATAGCCTATATCAAAATGTAAGATAAGCTGCGCAGCGTTACATCTAAGTGAGAGAATACTGATAAGAGCAAGGGCGCAATCTTCGGTCAGACACAATTAAAACACTGAAATCTGATTTTGTGCGCAATGAAAGGCTTATCTTAATCATATATATATATATCTATATCTATATCTATCTATCTATCTATCTATCTATCTATCTATCTATATATTTATATATCTTCACAACTCCAATGAAGGTCTGGATTCATCCACAGAAGCTTCAGCACAAACAGTTCTACCTGATGAACCAGGAATCTGGAATGCTGATTATTATTATAATTTTTATTTTTTTTTACCGTCAGGCTATAGAAGTTCTTTGCGCTTTGCCACGTGCGTAAATGCGCATACCAGTCCCAATTTACAGAAGGAGTGGGAGGAAATAAGCTGACCAGAGGCAGCAGTGGCTAATAAACAGGACGTCACTGAGAATGGTCTTAATGTGATGTCTGGGACATCTTGTACCCATCTGTTAAGTTTCTGAAAGAAACATATTTGCATATTCATAGATTCTGGATTTTTCAATGAGATATTAGTATCATTTATAGAAAATTCTAATCATTCAAATAAACTCTCATATGGAAAAAAAAAAACCCAAAACTATTGGACACAAAATTTAATTCAAAGCTGCCGATTTTGATTTTTCATGAAATAACTACTTTGATTGCAGAAAATATAGCTCAAAAATGAACAATACAGCATCTAAATGATTCCAAAATATTACCAGTACAGTGCTTGGAATGTAATTCTATTAAACTTTCCTTCACTGATAATGCATTCCTAACTGTGTGTGGTTTTTAGTTTGATGGTCATATCAATTACTGGTCAAGTAAGTAATTCTATACTCAATAAATATTTAATGTTCGAGTTCAGCTGAATATATTCACCAGTGTGGTCTGTTGTTGTGTGTCTTCTAGAGATCTTCCGTGGTACAAAAGTCCATACTCAACCTTTAAGATAAGGCTTCAAACGCTCCTTTTTGATAAAGCTTATTGTTATGGTTACTCAGGTCACCCTGACCCATCCCTTACTTCAATAGACTGCTGCTATCGGGGACGTCCCTCGATGCACTGAGCAACTCTCCCCTACTCTTCCCTCTTATACTCTCCATGCACTTAATACGCCACCATTGCATGTCCTTAACTTTGTGTCTTGTCCCTGTGGTAGTTCATGTTGTACCCTCTCTGCAAAGAACCTGACAGTCAGCTGTGGCTAACAAACACGACCTCAGCAGGTATATTCATAATCCTGCAAAATCCAGAATGAGTAAAACTAGATCAGCATCGCTTGAGACGTTAATCTGACATGTTTGAGGTTTGCATGAGTCACACTCATAGCTGTACTTTCACAGACACGTCAATATATATTTAGTAATCGATACCAGTGGGTGGTGCAGCGCTTCTTAGACAAACGCTGAGGCTTGATGAACATCAACTGGGCCGCCTCGGCAGATGAGTATTTACTCTGTAATAGTGAGGACAGAGGTGCTCGCAGAACGCATGGTTATGCTCAAGAATGAGAGTACAAGCAGGAATGAACAAACAAGCTCTCTGGTGATGTACAGAGGTTTAACTGTAGGGATCAGATTGTCCATATGTGACGTGCCCCTAATTTAACACTAGTAGAAGTGAAATTATTGAAAATCAAGCTACACAATGACTGTCTTGCATATGAATTCTCAGAGGAAAACTGTGTTAATTTGAAAGTCAGATTCAGTTTAAACACTCGTGTGATTTCACAATTCTTGTCAGAGGAATGGCACTTACACAGGTTAAATGCCATTTAAACCTTCACTACTTCTTATATAAAGACAATAATATAAATGTACGTAAACATTTACTTTTTACTCTTTGGTGTTTTTAAAGCTTTTGAACACATTGAAGGTGAAACGACTGCATTACGTCAGCTACTAAGAACAGTCAACCTTTTTCTTCAATTCATCAAAGGAATCTATTACTCCTACTTCATCCCTGTGTTTCTTTGATATCTCATATTAAACTGGTTACAGAGAACGCTTTAAATGCATGGAAAAAGGGCCCCTTCATCCCTCTTTCCAATATCACTTTTGTTGTCTAATGCCATTCCCTACACAGAGCAACTGGAGTGCCCCCCTTCCTTGCATAAGAAGTAAAAATCAGTGATGCAAACAGAAAAAGAACCATTTATTATAAAACTTTGAGGTGCTGCCACCCTAGAATGGCTGGTGTCAGATGTGGATGCCAGGGTATTCCTATGAGAGCGCCTTGCTGTCAACTGCTGACTGTGGGCGGTTGAAAAGCACAAGTCCATCCCCTGCAGGGTCAGAGGTGCACAGAACCCAGTGGTTGTTTTCCTGTTCAGCTTTATGGGAGTCCAAGAAGGTGTGAGCTGTAACCTCATACTCTTTGCCATACATGGTCCTGCAAGGACACGACTGTTACACACTACAAAATGACAGCTGGCAGACAGGGGCTGTAACATGATTTTTAGCAGCCATACTTGGAGGTTCTCATCCATTGATTACAAAAGTGAATCTACATGGGGTATTTTTCTGACAGATTGTTTTATCAAGCTACAGCAGATTGTTTGTTGGTTTTAAAAATAGATGATTGTAGTAAAGCTACAGCTCATAGCTACTTTGGAGGTGGTAGGAGTTGTAATGGTTTTTTCGTGTCAATGTAACAATGATTTAAAAAAAAAAATAAAGCTCTACCAGGCTGTTTACCTGGAGCTTCTCCTCTATATACCTCCCTCTGTGTACTACATATTACACACAGCATTGGCTACTATTGGTTCCAGTGTAGCATGAGCCAATGGTTCCCCAAGTAGACATCAGACATAAAAGCAACACAAATCAACAGACTTTATATTGCATTCACAACACAGCATAATCTATTTTGTTCAGTGTTAGATGTAAAATCAAAAAGGATAAAATACCAAATGACTTGATCACCCAGAACAGCCAGAGCCTGGTTTGTCTTGCAGTGTGTTATCAGCACCTTCTTATTAGCCTGTAAAAAATAAAGATATTGATAAGTGCACGAAAATGTTCAATGCAATGCAGATGTGGGGAAACACAGAGCATTTTATACAGTATTGACTTACAGAAAGTGCTGAGGTTGCAGCAAGTTAAATGTTTAACCTTAAAGTCACAGGAAAGACTTACGTGAACCGGCTGGCCCTCATGTCCAAGTCTCTCCTGGGGGTCAAAGTGCACAATCTTCCACCAGGACAGAAAGGAACTGCTGTCATCTAGGTTTACTTCTTGGAGGCGAGACTTCTTTGCACACTTTAAGATTAAGCCACAACAATTCTCCATTTAACTAAGTATGCACGTGAGATTACCACATGTATGCTTCGTTAAAGGTTTGGTTTTGCACTGCAGTGTGTTCTGTTTTGATGATCTGAAGTTGAAACTTGATATACCTTTTGAAAACTTTTTATGTCACTCGTCAAGCAAAGCTGAGGAAAGAAAGGACACAAAATATGTGAACAGAAGTGACAAACCAAAGATGACATGTACGTGTTGTTTTAAGAAGTACTGATCAGTACAAGGGACATGATACTCATAACTCAACCATGAGCAACTGACAGTAAAGACTCTCGTATAGTTATTCCACTGATTTAGTATTTGAACTTGCACGTAAATGGGGGACTACACTGTACCACCTCATTGGATTATCTAAAAACAACTGGGGCAAGTGATCCAGGTGTAGATATCATAGATGAGTCTTGGACAGGTGGATGTTCTTCCTCAGTCAATGCTTGAAATAGGATTTTGCAGTTCAAAATATTTCACCTACTTTGCAAAATGTATCCAAATATAAATCCAACCAGCAACCAAAGTGGACTTTCACCGCCTTCACAAGCCTGTATGCCCTGGCACTGCCCAGCTTTAACTACATACTAGGAAAACATTTTGCAGTCACTATCAGACATCACTGTTGCTCGGCCTGTTGCTCCGAATCCACTGGCAATAATCTCTGGAATCTGATGTAGTGCAAATCAGCTTTTAATATAACACAAAATCATTTGCTGCTCTGTAGAATGTTAATTGATGTTATTAAATGGGAAGCAAACCCAGGCTCCCATCCACTCTGCCCTTATGAATGAAATGAAAAAAAAAAAAAAAGAAAAATACTTTATTCATCCCAGAAGGGAAATTCAATAATGAATAATAAATATAAAATAAAAATAATAAATGAAGGATGTTATACAACTCTTGAACTTGGAAAAAAATTGTTTCTCACGAAAACGGTTTAAAGACAAATTTTACCAGACCTCATAACCCTTTTTAGACCGCTAAAATAACAATGCACAAACTTTTCCCACAAACTAGCGTATGTTAAGCATGAATCACATAAGCAAAGTGGACCTTCAACATCTATTTAAATTGTCCCTCCAAGATAAATGGGAAAAAAAAATGTTTTCAAATTAATCTTGCCTTTATAGATCTTTTACGTTGCTTATGTCTGAATGGTATTTGAAGTCAATAGTAACTTGTTCATACTGAGAAAGAAGGAAAATGCTGTAACAACCATCGTTCTTGGCACTTTCAGGCTCAGCTTTAAAATGAATGAAAAGGAAAAAATCTGTAAAAAGGAAAGACATGATAGGTTTATATCCCCCCACACACATTTTGGTAATTCATTGTTTATCTCTGTTTTCATGACTGTTCTGCCATTTATTTTTATTTTATTTTATATATTTTGTTTGTACCTCTACCAGAAATCTTTTTTTGGTCTTGTTTTAATTGCTTATTTAACATCAAAATGATCAACACAGTGATGACTGATCAAACCCAGCCAAGTTAAAGACATCTGTCTATATAATGGATTTCATGTTGAGTAGGAAATACTTACAAAAGCATCTTCATTGTATCCATCTTAACAATAATAAGCAGCATTATATTTTTAGCACCTACTGTGTAAAGTAATATCAGTTCAACTTAAGAAAGACAAAGATGAGGTAAACTACTGAACATAGGTTGAAAAATTTGAGCACTAATTCTGCATTCCAGTAGGTGGAGCACTAGCAACATGAAATATCAATACACTGGTAGAGGTGGGAATCAGGTTTTTAGAATAAAATAAAAACAACTGTAAAGCTCCTATAAAACAACAACAAAATGACCAAAATAAATTCCTATAGCTCCATTACACTTAAAGCTTTTTCATACTGATCTCACGATCCCCATCACTGGTATTACACTTCCAATACTGCATCTATCATTGGACTTGGTCTGTCTGGTAAATGATGTCTTCTAACTCCACACATCTAGTTTGTATCTGTCTCTAAGCACAAGTGAAACTGCATTGTTCCACAATAACCTACAATCAGGGTTATTTTCTTAGAATTTCAGAGGATATTATAAACCTGCTTTCACAGAACGTTCGAGTGACATGCTAAGGGACCACCATGTGTAAAATCATTGTCAGCACTTTTAACAGAGCAGTCAGTCTTTGTGTATAAAATTCTTTTAAATGTATCCATGCGTGTGTGTGTGTGTGTGTGTGTGTGTGTGTGTGTCTGTAAGTTCACTTACTCCCCTGGCAAAGCCACTTGTTGTTTTCAGGGCAAAACTCTGGTCAAAAAGAAGAGTTGATCCTTCAGGACTTCCATCCACGCTGCAGTCACACAAGCAGTGTTACAAGTTTACATCAGGGATCCTTACCTAAGTGTGCTGAGGGTTATGTTGATGTCATTTTAAGTGTGTTTACCTGGTAACGATGAAAGCAGTGCGTGTGCAGGCCTGAATGCCTCGTCCTGCGCTGACTTCACAGGGGATTCGAATGCCGGGCGAAGGGATCTTAGTCACACTGTTGATGTCTGCATTGATGCTAACTGCAGTGCTTTCCCTGTTTTCCCCTCCCAGGTTCACCAACATCACAACATCTCCAAAGTGCAACAGACCATCGTTTGACACAGAGAGATTTACCTACAGATATGGACAAACATCACTGTTATCATCACCACGACTGTGTCACTGCTGTTACTTTTAATTGTGTTCGTCATCATCTTTACATCATTTTACCGGTCTCAACATGTTCTGTATGAGGAAGTCTACTTTCTGGGTAACAAGTTCTCCTCTCTCTTTTTTCTCCAGATGTTCTTTGACTGCATCCTGGAAAAACATTAAGATAGACAATGCTGTATTTGTTGTATTGTAAGGCCAACAAACTTCAGCATAAAATAACTTTCACAATATCATGAAATAAACAATACAGTCACTTATTAGTTGTAGTCTTATTATTGTTGCTGTTGTTTTGTCCTTTCAGCGTGTTTATGTGAAATGTAAATATCAAGTTGCACATAAATTAACTCTTTAAACTCTAGTTAGTGAGCCGGAAATGTTTTAAAATCTTGGACTGTATGCTGTACTACATAAATGGTTCACAGCGACAGAAATTTACATTTATATTCAAAATCTAGAAAAGATTAATTACTGTGACCTTTTAAGAAATGTTTAATAAACTGCCCGTTTTTTGTAGATCAGATTATATAGTTTAAAAAAAAAACCCTGTGATGTGTTGAATACTTACTCAGGATAAGGATCTTCAATTAGGAGCTACAACAATCTAATGACAATCTAATGCTTCTGTCAGAAAATGTAGAATAACATATTTTGTCAACCGTAAAAGTATAAATGCCTAAAACTAAAGACATTAAAAGTTATCAATATAGCTGTTTTTCTAATTTCTTATTTCTGTATTCTGTCCTTCTCTTCCACATTAATCTTTATTTCTGAATGCCCCCGAGAAGCATTTATTTTTCTCAGGTTGTCTGTGTATTTCCAGTGCAAACAGGACTTTGCAATTTAGCAATACAAACCCCTTTTCGTCCTAAAAAAATAAAAATAAAAATACAACTTCCGTGTGGGTGAAGAGCAAAGGAAAACTGTTCTCAATCAATTATCATTCCTTCCTTTTGCTGTTTGTATAGTAAATGAATAAATGTCCAAATGTAGCAGCTAGTTATTAATAATAATCTGAAAAGCCAGTGGCTAAGATGATTTGTACCAGCAAGAACAGCTTTGCTAGGTCTGGCATGCCAAGTAGATGCTTGGTATTAAATTCACTTCCTTAAAATGGTAGCCTCAGAATCATGTTGAAATGGTGCCATTGCCATTTTAAATATAGTCAATATTTAACACAAGTACGTGCAAACAGTTTTTAAAAAACTAAACCAATGTTTACTTGCTCTAATGTTAAAAACATTAGCTAACTGAACGACTAAATGTTGGCGTCTGTCTCTCGAAACAAACCTCTTCTAAGTGCCGGTCCTCAAACCAGTTCCCGACCTTCAGTTTGGAGCGGTGAGTTCTCAAATGAGCCATTCTGAGTATAATTCTGATAAATATGGTATTAATACCGCAGCTAATGTTAATACATACAAGCTAATGTTGGAATTTGACCGTCGCCGAGGCACTAGTTTATGTGGTAGTTTCTATGGTAACGGTGTTCTCGCCAGTTCTCGCTGATTGTCGCGAGAGGGCGTGCTGGCACAACACTCAGATTTCTTGGTGTTTCTTCTCACTCCCACGCCGGCACGACACAAAGAAATATAAACCCACGAAGAGTCTTTAAAATCTACACTCAGATTTATAAAAATGCATAGAACAAATTTCTACACATAGAATCACATGCCATCTCTATAATTATTGATATAATTATCAACAGCATAAAAAAAAAAATACAGAAACGGTATATTACAGATGTATTTTAATTAAAAGTACAATAAGATAAGATGGTAATGTTCTGAATTTGTGAATTCCAGAAACCATGTAGCTTCATATGACTTTATGTCTCATCTTTCACAGTTTCTCTAAAATTAATACGTTCTCTGACTCGAGTGTTTTGTTTTTACATGAAATTCAATTCTAACAGCTGCACTTCATACAGAATACGTCCATGTCTCTGCTGTCCATTTTCCTTTTTCTTTCTATTTCTGTCCGTCTGTGTCAGTGGCCATTAGCCCGATCTCTGGCACCAGAGCCGTTCATGTGACTCAGTTTGTGGTTTGTTTCCTTTGGTGGGTCGCTGTCGTCTTCCTCTTCATCGCTCCTGTCATCACCCTCCAGCTGCAGGATGAAGATGAGCCACAGAGAGAAGATAGAGAATGACAGTGAACCAAAAGGAAGCAATAGGACATGCCACTGCCACATAGTTTCCACACATGTCCCGTGGATGAATGTATAGCTGCACAGAAACACCTGTAAACGCACCTTGCTGAAGATGAACTTGTAAAGCATTCGTGATATAAGAAAAGCCCAGTAGATGTGGAGCATCAGTAGAACCATCAACATGACGTTGAAGAAATAGTAGCCAAAGAAGGCAGGATACAGCTCCAGTGGGTACACCCATGTACAGTGGATCAGCCTGTAGACGATAGAAGACTTTCATACATTACACAGAAATCAACATTACCCATTATGCTGCACTCGATTCACACACTTACCAGAAAGGAAAAATAACAAGTCTTGTGACCATAAAGAGAACTGTAAACACCACAAACATGGCATTAGCAGTCGTGTGCCACTTGGCGTAGTTGAATACCTTTGCACCCTGTGAGATGAAAAGAGGGAAATAAATCAGGTTCATTTCTTTGTTTTGAAGAAACGGTTGCAGCAGGACGTTTTTTTTTCTGTTGAAATTTAGTTGCGTGGGGAAATAATCCTCAAACACATAATTAAAGCTGCATTCCAAAGGTGGGTGGATGGTTGGGGTGTTGATTAAACACTGCATTAATAAAAATTTCTTATACTAGCACATCTCAGATTAGACTTATTTATAGTGACATTTCCTTCCTTGATCATCAACTCTCATCCTGTTATAGTATTATCAGTAGTGATCCTAACAGCAAGCTGTAAATATGAGGAGGATTTCTTATGCATCTGCATCGAGCATGTGATGTCAAGAAATGCACTGTGGTTTTAGCCACCACCTTCAAATTCAGCGCTATGAAAGTTCAAACCCGACTCATTATGCTCATGTATGAGAGTGGGACAGAACTAGCAAGTCAGCGAGAACGCAAGGAGGAAAAGGTTGACCACGAATAAATATAGATTTCTATTCTGTCCTTTAACTTGTCTTCAGACTTCCTACAGTAACTTTGCACTATATTGAGATTTCAACACCACATTAAAAATATATTTTAAAAAATTACATAAACAACAACAACTGTCTGCATGGGAAGGTCATCCACTTCAGATAGTTCATGGAGTTTATTATGACTCCTGTACGATGCCCATTTTGCCATTTTTCTTCCAGCTGTGCTTCTTGCAGTTTCAATATATGTCACTGGTGTTTTGTTGGGGTTTATCACCTTCAACCCAGTTTCTTAATGCATTTTTTGCACATTGTTAAGAACATTTAATCAATTATCTGTCATTTCTTAGGCAATATTAGAGACACGGCACCATACAGCTCACTGGGACCTTTTTATCCAAGGATGTGTTGTTGTTGTTGTTGTTGTTGTTGTTGTTGTTGTTGTGAGTCCTTTCATCAAACTGCTGTCTTTATCAATGTACAATTTTCATCCTTGCAGACTTCATCTTGCATTTTTGAGTATTTTAAATGACACCGCTTTGCTATATAAGTCAGTCTCTTTCTGCAGAACTGTGACATCTCACAATGCCACTGGTATCTACTGAGACCACACTACAGAAACAAACAGATATCAGAAGGAATGGATTAACATAACAACAGCGCTGACCTCGAGCAGTATGTCAGAAGAGTCATGAACTGCCATCACGAGCGTTCCGATGCGAATGTAGTTTGAAATCCAGGAGAAACTCAGAAGAGTCAGTGTGGCGAAATGATGAATCACCTGCTCTCTGAAATCCTGCACACACACACACACACACACACACACACACACACACAACAGGTGAACATGTATTTATTTTATGCATGTATAAAACATCAACCAACTATATGCTTTTGATATTTTAAAATAATAGATTATTTAACAGTGATAAGAAACCACTGACATTTTTTAAACGACTAAAAATAAATACCTTCGCACACATCGGCTCACTTACTTTGCGTTTCACGTCAAATGTGAGACTGAAGAGCAGAGAAAGGTAGAAGCCCATTTCCAAGAGGTAATACCAGTACTGAGATGGCAGCAAGGACTGTATGGATGCATAATAAAAACATATAGATGTATTTGTGTATCATCCTGTATCCTGTAGCTTGCAATAACAACGGTGAAAACACTCACCTGTTTGGGAAAACCTGCCCAAACTTCTCTCAGATCATAAACCCAAGGTTTCTACAGCCAACAAAAATAGAGAAGGAGAAGTGTGAGGGAGGGTTGGAGAATGGTTGTGAAAAAAGCAACAAGTGCAAATGAAGGCCAGCGAGTTTATGCATGTTTATATGTTAACTGCCAGCCTGTGAGGAAAAACCCCAAAGCCTAAAAAGGGACATGAGGAAGCGAAACAAAGAGAGAAAGTCAAAATAAGGACAAAAATGTCCCAGATACTTACATCATAGAGAGCTAGAAGTCCGCCAAAAAATGCAAAAAAATAAAACGTGCATCTCCAACTGTTGACAGACGAAAGCAGTGACGTCACATATTTACACAGAGACACTTGTTCTCACATCAGTGGGTAATGAACACGCAAACATGCACACACCTGGCCTCGCCGAACCTCTTCCGAAGGCCCGGTCGCTCTTCGTTCCTCCTCCTCCTGAACCACACTTCAACTTTCCTTTCTGGCCAACCGGTCTTCTTACACAGAGACCTCACGTCAGCCTGAGACACAAGGCAGATGATCCAGTTGTTAGATCTCTTTCCACCTTAAGATGCTCTCTCTGATGATGCTCAAGTTATAGATTAGCATTAAGTTTTACCCTTAAATGTGCAGTTTTTGGTGGAAAAATGTAATTTACAGTGCATTGAACTACAGCAACAGTGATCATTTCACTCATATTAACTCTCAGCTTGTCTTCAACCTGCAATGTAAGGTTGTTCATAAAAGGCCTAATTTCTTTAATTTAGCAGCATTGTAAAGCTTTGATATAATTTGAATTTCTATTAAAAATTGCAGATATATGTAAAATAACAATAGTGTATATATGATAACATATATATAATCCTCTGCGATTTTTTCCCCACTTTTTTATTTTAATAAATCTCTTTCCTCACTTACTGGACGACTAAATTCTTCACACAAAATGCTGTGCCTGAAATGCTACAGTGCATATACCATGTGTTGATTGATATTACTGCATGCAAGGTGAATATATATTTATATATACCTGTGATGGTGCACGTGCTTTGCTGCGGAAGTAGTTTTCTAGGATGGGGTTTTTTTCTGCTGTGCGACGTGCCTTGTCCTTAATTTCCCAAACTTTAGCCAGTGGTGTGGCAACGTACCTGAAACAGCAACACAAAGCTTTGTTGCTTCTTTCTAAAAGCCACAGACGTGACCTGGTGCTTTGAACATTGCTTTAGGCTTGTGCAACATAATCCTGGTATCCTGAAACCAGATGATTGCATTGCTAAGCTCTCTGACACACAGGCACGTTTACTCACATACTGTATGTTCTCACCTTTCAAACAGGTATCTGACTAGAAGCAGGCAGAGGGCGCAGGGCAGAATGCCGTAAAGTTGGGAGGCTTTAGCGTAGATGCGACCTTCAGTGTCCTCCAGATCGGACCAGGACACGTTTACTGGCAGCCACAAACGTTCCCACCACAGCCACTCACCGAGCGTCTGCAACATGCTGCTGGCAAACACAAATGTACACGAATGAAAACGCAAGTTTCACAACCACAACACAAACTATTTGATTTCATATTAAGGTTTTAAAATCACTTTTCTTGAAACGCTAAAAGTTAATCGAGGTACGTGTACATGTTTTGAAGACAGAAAATTAGTTGACTAATATGAAAGAAATCACATTTATTTAGGAAAAAAGAAGAACATTTAAACTTTAAATAGGAAGCTGTCATGCCTTTATGGGTAGATTTTTTTTCACTTGCCATCATTGAGAGTCTGATTTAAGGATTTGGGATTTACAAGGTTAGATTTAAGAGTTGTGTTGTTGTTTTTTCTTGCCAAAGTATCTTTAAAAATAAACTGATTTGATCTAAATAAATAGAAGGTCAAAGAAATTAGCACTTTTTTGTTTTCTGTGTACCATAAAGTGCCAGTTTTTTCTGGTCTGTCCAAATCAGACCAGATGTTATTAGGAGGAGGAAACCTACATTACATATCAAAGGGCAAGACAGATAAAAAAAGGGTGAGGAGCAATTCAAGGAGGCTGTAAAGTTCTTCCACTCGTGGACTCTGCCCATAACAGAGTACTGATAAAAAAAACAACAACTTGCTATTTAAGCAGTGAGAAAACTACTTCACACTGTGTAAACAAAGCTGTCTGTTAAATAAATATAAGTAATTTCAATAAATTTGAGATTGTAAAAGTCAAACTGTCACTCAACCGCAAAGGTAGTTGATAAGCCAGCATGGGAAAAGACGTACGTACCTGCAGGCAGTGCTGTCGCGACAAGTTCCAACAGAAGAGAGTGAAGCTGAGGCAGAAAAGTGTGTGTGAAACTCAGAAAAAAATCCTGTTTCAGCACCAGAATCCATAAATTAAAGTAACTGTATAGACATGCCTTTGCATACACACACTCACCTTCAGTTTGCCCAATGTAAGTACAGGAGAGTGCTTTCCAGGTACCTGTCTGTGTGAACCAGCCTGTTACTCATACAGTTCATAAGCTGTCCTTATCCACATCAGATAACAGCACTGCTAGATCCTATGTGTTCACTCTTATTGCTATTGTGGAGCCACGCTTTAACGACGGCGTTAAAAAGTTAAAGCAAGCAAATATTGGCTCATGAGCTAATGCTTTCCCTAATCTGTACGATGTACCTCACTGTGTGTGCACAGGCTCCAGTGGGCATGTTGATTTTTTTTAGGCATGCGTGTGGTCGCTCACCTGCTTAGAAAGAGTAGGATCCTTCCCTCCCACTTTGTCTGCTCCTGTGATCACACCCTTGTAGTTGCTGCAAGTGTTTTGAGCGTCAGGTGAGCTGAGCGGTGGGAACTCCTAACGGTTCCTGGAGCATTTAGCATTTTCAGTTGTAAATAGCAAGCTGCAACACTCATCTGAGTGCGGGATTGTTTGTGTACCCTCACCCTCACCTGCAAGAATTCCCTTGGAATGCCGGGAAGCCCCCACAAAGGCCCCATTCACCGGAGGGGCAGGGGGAGGAGGAGTCACGGGAGACTAAGGAACTCTCACACACAGAGAGAGAGAGAGTGAAACATCACTCTACAATCATACCTACCTGGGTTAATAACACACTTATCAATGCAAATGAGGTGACCTCAGCTCTAACTGTGGCGGATATAAACTATTTCCTTTCTCAGGTTTCCTTAAATGAAAACAGAATTTACAGCAATTAATCTGTCAGGTGAATATTTTGTGATTTTTGCAGGAGAGGTGGGAAAATCTCAGGTTTTAGAGGAAAACTAAAGAAACCCATTACTGAGCATCACCTTCAAATATGAAACACTGAATAAGTTCTTTGTGTTTTAGCATACACCAGAGGGGGGCAACAGAGACAACACAATAGCTGTATACAGGTAGATATTGTGGCCACCCCCTCTCCTGATCCACCAGCGACATGTTTTGTTGTTGGTCTCATGTTGATAACTTATTTGCTGCCTCTTTATATAAGAAATACTTTAAACATAACAACTGTAATGAGCATAATACTAAAATGTTTCTGTTAATATTCAAAGCTTGCAAACAGAAACAAGACTGAAATCCAACATAACACAACCCATGACTGGAAGAATTCAGAAGGAAAAAACAAATTTTAAAAAATATGTGGTTCATTTATTATAATTTGACATCTTTTATATATCAAAACCTCTAAAAATAAACAGTAAATCTACAAGCATAACTGTTGATACTAGCAGTGATGTATATATTTTCATCTTCCTCTGGTCTACAAGGCAGCACTGCTGCATGTGTGGGAATGAAAATAACAGAAGAGCACTGGCTATTGAGCTGTGGCTGTGGGCAAAAAACAAACCGAGAAAAAAAACAAAAAAAGACAACCCAAAAAAAAAAAACAAAAAAACAAGAAATAAAATAGATAAGAGTTCCAGTGGTTTTCATAGTTCATGGCAAGGAAGGTTTCAGAGAGGTCTTTCTCTGAACTGTCCAGCACTCCCCCTTGTCAGGATCAGTCCTAAACCACTGAGCGGTATAAATATCTCTGTGAAGATTAGGAGGATAAAAAGGAGGTTCAGTTGATCTGGATGGTCTTTTTTCTGACCCCAGGTATACGCAGATAGGGAAAACAGAAGGAGGGGTGCGGCTCCAGGCACAGACGGGAGAGGCTAATCTGGATAGTCCTCCCCCTCCCCTCTGCCACCCTCTGTCTCTTCCCCCTTCGCCCTACAGCTCTCCTCATACTGGTGTGTTGCGCTTCAGTTCACTGGGAGAAGGGGGGATGCGGTCTCCGAGCTTTGTAAAGCTGGTAGAATGGCTAGGCTTTGTGGAGTGCTCCTCGGGACCCGGTGCTCTTTGTCGGGGAGGCAGGGTGGAGCACCGGGCCTTGCCCCTGGAGCGTGGCTGTTGAGGCGGAGGGCCTTTCAGCGCAAATAGTTCAGTTGGGGATTTGGGCTGTTGGGCCAGCGTGGCCTGTGATGATGACGATGATGGTGCCGGGCTGTGTGCCGGGGAGAATGGGTTGGATGAAGAGCCCAGGGGAACCGCGGGTGTGAACGTGGCCAGCTGCTGGAACTTTGTGAGGCTCGTGGAGTGGCTGGGCCGCGGCAGGCTATAGCCAGCCTCAGCCCCTCTGTGGCGGGAAGGCAGGGTGGAGCAGCGGGACTTTGCCCTTGAGCCTGGCTCCTTGGGGGGAGGGGCAATGAGTGAGAAGATTCTAGTCGCGGAGTCTGATGCTGTAATTTCTGCCCTGGAGCCCTTCAGACTCTGGGATGAGCCTCTTTTAGATGATGGAAGTGACACAGGCTCCTTCTCTGTCTGGCATTCTTGCTTGGAGCCGGAGCGAGGAAGCTCAGTGTCTCTGGCTGTGCTCGACGACGCTTCCTCATCTGCAAGACAAGAAACACAAAGACTGACTTACTACACAGACAACATGATGGGGAGCAAATCTAAGAGAAAATTAATGTTAGGTTGTGACATATGAGGCTTTCTCCTCTCACCTAACAGGCCCAACTCACTCATGAAGGCGTCCAGATCTACAGTAAAATTCTCGTTTTTAGCTGTCACTGCTTCATCCTCTTGTTTTTCTTCTTCTTTCTTCTGTTCCTCTTGCTCTTTTTCCTCTCCTCCCTCTTGCTCATCACCTCCCTTTGCATCTTCTTCCTTTACTTCTCCATCTTTTTCCATTTCCGTCCCTTCAGCCTCTCCGCCCTCATCTTCTCCTTCACCTCCTCGCTCTTCTTGTCTGTCTTCTTCAACTTCTTCAAATGTCTTCCCAATCTCTGGATCGCTGTCCCTGCTCCTTCTGGGCTCCTCTATGTTGATCTCAACCCCCACTTCTACCTCCTCCTTGACTCGGAGCTCCTCTCTTTCTTCTGGCGGCGCCTCCACCACAATGTCTATGGTGGTGGGGAAAAGAGAGTGTCTTGGGGTGTGAGATTTGGCACATGCTTCTTGGTCTTGATTCAGCAGAAACTCCATCAACATCAATTTCTCTTTCTTCAGCTGTTCCCGCAGGGAGCGTGGTACATCTGGGACCATCCAGGCAACCAGCATGCTAAGGAACATGGCAAGGTTCTGGACAAAAAAGACAAGCACACCAGGGTTTAAAACGAACTGTGCCTCCTAAAGAGGGAAACATATTTAATGGATGCAAAGGCATTTATGGATTTGAGAAAGAAAAAGTTGGACATCAGGCAACCCTCTTTAGACCGACATTAACAGAACCACTGTTGTCATTTTGATACCTGAAAGAATATGACAAAGGCCAGTTTTGCAGCCAGGACAGACCAGTACTGTTTCGAGAAGGTGTAGGCATCAGCTTCCCACGGTGGGTCTCTGTAGTCCTTATACCTGAAAGACAAAGACACCTTGAGTATTAGCAAGGAGGAAAATATAGCAATGAACTCTGAATGAACGCGAGGAAAAAAATCTGGTCGTTCTTAGAAAGATTTGCCTCAGTAAATCCCCGCTGGGGCATTCAATGTCAAGTCAGCCAAGGATTCCCACCTTCATTTTTTTTCAGTTGAAAACCTTTTAGACACTTTTATGACATGAGCATCAACATTTTCTTTTCTTTTTTTTTGCCTGAAATACAGAGCAAGTTTAGAGGAGTTGAAAGGGGACAGATAGGTACAGTGTGTACTAACTTCTGCCATTTTTGACACGATTTCGGGGGATTTGTCCCAGCCACTCAAAAATGGGAAAACAAATTGCAACCACTATTTTTGCATTTTTTAAATTTCATCTGGTGTTCAAAAGCTATTAAAAATATTCAACCAATATTAATTCTCCGGATAGCAAATTTGTGTTGGTATCTGTGCAGTTTAAAGGTCAATGGTGGTTTAATTGGGAAAAAAATTTGCCTGTAAAAATTACTCCAAAATGAAATCATGAAAGTCCTCGGCTAAACGAACCTGCCTATTGTAGTCCGGATTCAATGTAAATACCTTCCAAGAGTGACCTTTTACCCTCACGTCTATAGCACATTGTCCAGTTTCTGAAAACTCCAGGGATTTAGGTAAAGTAATGGTTAAGCTGTTGGACTAAAGGGTTTAAAGGAAGGGCCAAGTCGGTCAAGGTTAAGAGAGTCACTCTAACCTGCACATGGAGACGCCAGTGATCAGGGTGCTGGTGGGCGCTGTGCCAGGTGGGAAATTGCTGACGTTGAAGTAGGACAGTGAATGCTCTGTGAAGCCATTCATGGTGCCATTTACGCTGTACATGTACTGGTAAACCATTCGTGGAACAAACTCTGACGTGAAGGAAATCACAAAGGCCTAGAAGGAGAAATAAGGAGTGAAATTGATTATATATTTTTAGGATATAAATTATGACATGGTTACTGCTGGCATATTGACAGTCTATCAGCTATATGCATCTGTAACAGCCTGAAACTTAATTTATAAAAATAATCTAACATTATAATGTTATATACTGACTATACACAATATTATTAGTACATTATTGTTAATACTTTCTGTGAATTTTCTCCAGCTCTGTTGTGTGTTGTGTCTGTTGAGTCACAATCTTTCTGCTGAGTTGCTGATTACTGAACTGCGACAAATCGTCTTGACTCAGTAATTCATTATTGGCCAAAGTAAAATGGGATTTCTTTAAACATTCCCAAGGCCACACATTATTACATGTTTATTAATAAAGGGTTTATTGGTGTTTCTGAGTTGAGACCATAATTTTTGTTGTGGTTGTTCAAAAAAGCTTTTTTTAATTTATCCCAATAAAATGCAACATCAGTTTTTGTGACTATAATGAGCTGACTGATAACTGCTAACTCTTCATTTCACCTGTTTTGCACAACAGACAACACTGTAAACATAAAAACACTTTGTGCTATCGACAGCTGGCCACACAGAACTGTAGCAATGCACATTCAAAGGCAAGGAAAAAGAAGATTGCTAGAGAGTAAACAAGAATGCAAACTGATTTGCACAAATTGTTAGAAAGGCTGCTTTGCAGGAAAAAAAAAATGTTGTATGATCTAAATGATTTTTTAAAAAAAGGATAAAAATGTTAAGCCAAACACCTGATTATGCAAAAAAAGAACAGTATTTGCATTGCAGATGTTGTAAATTACAAGCTACTTTGTTGGTTGTGTCACTTCTTTGCAAGAAGACAAAGGTTGTGTCCACAGAGGACACACAGACACACACTTACATTGGTAATGACAGAGAACTTGCTGATTCCACAGAGAATGTTGTGCCAAATCCCTGGAGACAGCAGCATGAAAAGAAATGAAGAGGGAAAGGGAAGTGTGTCCATGCATTTGTGTGTCCATGTGGGTTTTTGCGTTAAAGGAAGGACAAGGATGGGAATAAAGAAAAAGAAAGTGATTAGATGTTCCAGGGGAGTTTGTTTTTTCATTCACACAGTGATCGACAGAGTGGACTTGCTCCCGTGTGAGGTTTGTACCTATGTCTTTACACCTCACAGCGTCGGGCCGTCGGATCTCAGTGACAAATTTTGAAGCGTCGAGGCGAATCTCAATGACGTTGTTGAGCAGAGCAAATGCTGGCGCCAGTGGGAAGGAGGCCACGAACAGAGTCACGAACCCGTACTGGATTACTGTGTATATTAGAAGACACATAGTTACAAAAAGGCATTGCGTGGATGCTGCGGTGGGTGATTCAGTGAATTAAAGCTTAATCGAGAAACTAGAAGACACTTACTCATTTCCATATATTCTGAACTGACACCTTCAAAGGGTTCAAGGATGACGTCTTTGTCAAATTGCTGCTTTTGTCTCTTCTCCTCCGTGTCATTCTCTTCGTCTTCTGCTGCTCTTTTCTGTCCTTTTTCTTCCTGTATTGTTCTGTACATCTTTTTCAGTTTGCTGCAAAAGAAGAACAGATAGAAATCAAAGAGGACAGAATCAGAGCATGTCATAGAATAAAACATTAGCCAAACAGAGCAGTTTTGTGAAAAAGAGAACACATGTATACGTACGGTATGAGAATCTCAAACACATTGTTTTGAATGAGCTGCTTTCCGAGCATGATCATGCTGAGCTGGATGCACAGCTCGATGAGACAGCCTGGAGGAGCACACTGTGGAATACAAAAGAAACATTTACTTACAGTACACATGCACATTTACCATACGTACACACAAACAAAAAATCAGAACTGCGTGTAGCTGAACGTACCTCCTCCATGCGATAGTCTCCAAAGACGTAAACATAATCGCCAGGTCGCCCAGCAAACCTACATGAAGAGAGCACAGAGTCGTGTGATAATAATGAAGACGCACAACGGTGAGTGAGTGAAGAAAGACAAAAAGCAACACACCTGCCCTTGAAGAAGGCCACATAGAAAATAGGTGCAAAGGCGTTCATGGATTTGAGAAAGAAAGACTTGAAGATGAGCTTCTCTTGAAACTCTTCCTTCGTCTTGGGAAGTTCTGTTGGAAAGAAAACAAATATAAACCATCATTGTATGTTAGAAACACCTTTTCATAACGGCATGCTTCACACACAATAAGTGACTGTCATGTAAATGTCTGAATTGGGAACATGGTTGGCCTTTCCTGTTAAAATTGTATTGCACAGTTTATTCGAAAGGTTTATCTAAAGCAAAAAAACAACTATTTACAAAAAAGAATTCTGGAAGTTACAGAATTAGAGGTTACTGTAGTGTATTCTTTTAACTTTTCAGCGTTCACAAGATAAACCAGCAGTAAAACAAAGAAGTTCATATCTTTTTCCATCAGTGCCTATTTGGTTTCTTGCCTACCAACAATCCTTTATTGATCTGCTTGCACCTTTTTCCTTCCACCAGGAGCTTGTTCACCTCTCCAGTGCATGACTACATTCTGTCTCCTGTTCATTTGTTCCACGAGCGAGAGAACTTTGTGCCAAAGTGGGTCGATGACAAGCTTTCACTATTCACTGCTTTACTTTGTGACAGCATTAAAAACAGAATACCGAGCTCAGTCAGCCACTCAGCGATCGCTCCGTAGACCTCCTCCAACACCAGGACGACCAGCATGTTGAGGACGATGCCTGTGGTGGTGACCGTCATCCTCACGCTGTCCTTGGCTTCAGGATCGGGGTTCACGGACCACACGCTTAACATGCAGATGCGGTAAACTGCCACCCCAAACACTGCCGAGAAGGTCACGAAGATCTGAGCGGACGCAGAGCACACGACATGAAAAAGTTAAAGGACAAGATTCTGATTTGGACAGAGAACAAAAATGTACAAATATAGTGTATTTGTAATATTTGGTTCGTGTAATAACTATTGCTGTTATTTCTCATCCTATTGTTGCTATCACAATTAGCTTAAGTTGATTTAATAAAGTGCATTGACTGAATTGTCACTGTTGTTGAGCCTTTATATTGATGAGAAATAAATGGATGAAATGGGAAGCAGTGAATGACAAAAATGTAAATAAACTGACAAAGATTATCAAAGCAGAAGGAAAAACCTGCTAATTTTTGTTAAACGCCTGATATGATCGTGAAAAAAAACAATAAGTCCTCCAGCTGTTATTCTGCCCAATTTATCAAAAGATTAACAAAGAAGATCCACAAAGAGACAGATGGCAAATAGAAAAGTAAGAATATGAGTATGAATGCAAGTACCAGCAGTAGTAAAGTGGACATGTTGATGAGATAACCTGACAGGTAATCCTCAATGTCCAGTGAGTCTGGCTCTTGCTGTAAAGAAAAACATGCATATTAACAGAATCTACACACACACACACACTCATCGGTATATGTTTCAGTGCATTACGGTATGGGATATACAGTAATGCAGAGCACATGTTCTGCGCATACACATTATGTTTTCTGTCTGCCAGGTGCACGTTTGCCATCTGAAAGGACAGATATCCCCTCCCCTTCTTCCTCTCCCTCCTCCCTTTTCTCTGTCCATCAGTAATCTGGGCTAATCTCAGGCAGGTAAGCTGCTTTGGACGCAACCACCCACTGTAGGTGAAGGGGGGGGGTTTATTATGAACAAACATAAAGTCGTACGCAGAAATATTCATCTGCAAAAGCTTCATTATGCATGAGTAGCCAAGATAAATGGCAATATTTGCTTTTGTAGCAAAAAATAAATAAATCTCTGCACCTTCTCTTAATGTGATGTAAACATCGGGACGAGATTATCTGCGAGCAGTCACAATGAAGCAAGTTTAAATCACCTCGGTGTAAAAGCCCTGCCCTCTCCCCCCCAGCAGCTCTGTCCAAATAATGTCCTGTCACTCAGAGCAGTGCGGCGATACCTGGGAGGCCAGCATCTGGTCCGTTTCTCCGTTGACACCGTCCCCAGCTCGGGTCATCTGAAACAGAGAGAAGCCAGAGTGAGAGAGTAAAAACTGCACCAGTGATGGTAAAAGTTAGAAAACTGAATTTGAAACAAAGATATCAATGAGTATACTGTACCTTCTTTTTAGACTTTGCTTTTATCTTAGCTTTTTTCTCCTGGAGAGCTTCTTCATATTCAGGCCTCATGTCCTCCTGCAGTGCAAACACACACACACACACACACACACACGTTAAAACACATGCACCACAAAATCTGACTACATAAGTCCTTATATGACACTTTGTTGTTGGTCAATAAACATAACTTCTACAGATATGCTTCTCTAACACACAATGACTAATGTGAGAATTCCATATTAAATCTGCAAAGCAATTCATAGCAGAAATATATATTTTGTAAATGTACTTTTGAATATATTTCCCCTTGAATTTGTATTGTCATACTTTCTGTACTGTTTAAACATATCACATTTTTGGAATCAAAAATAAAATAACATAATAACATGAATACTACCACCTTTTTACATCAGAGTATGATATACTTTTTATTTCCATATGTGTACGTTCAATAGTTACAGAAACTTGCCCACCTTGACTCGTTCCTTCGGGCAGCACGGACAGCAATAAGTAAACAAGACAGAGACAGAGATAGAAAGTAAGCGAGAAGAAAGACTTAGTTCGACTTGGCTGTGACTGTTTATGTTTTGACCCCTCTGCATCATCTTAACCAGCGAGCGCGCTTTAAGAACTGACCAATCCCATTACACAGTAAAGAGTCTTGTTATGTGTATATACGTAGCCATGTGTATTTGTGTATGTGTGTCAGCGGGAGGTCACTGTTCTGAGACAAATGATAATCTTCAAGGTAAACCACAGCCTGTCATCATGGTTGACCCTTGGCCATGAGGTAAACACTCAGACCCTGACTGGTTTTTATTTACGAACAGCAAGAGAAAAACTAAAATATTTATTACTATGTTAAATGAAAAGGAAAAAGATAAAGATAAAGATAAAGATAAAGAGACTTTATTGTCATTGTGCAGAAGTACAACGAAACTTGTGTGGAAGAACACGACAATAGCAGCAGTGCAAATAAGAATAAAAATAAGAATACTAGAAATAAAAATAATTTAAACAAAGTACTATATACATATAAAAAGGGAAAATGCTCTGATTATTTCGACTCTTAAATAATGCATGGGTGTTTTTTTTTTTTACTGCCTACTATCTACCCACACGGTATTTTTGAATCTATTTTAATACCTCTTCATCCTCCAAGCTTGTCAGGTCCCAGGAGTATTTCAGACACATCTGTCGCCTTTTCCAGTGTTCAAGGAACCAAGCGGCTAACAAGGAGATGCACACAAGGAATACGTTAGCAATCAGCGGTGTTTTAAACAACCTTTGAAAGCTCACAGAAGGCTTAAACTGTGCAGCAATGTTTTGGAAAGACATAAAGTTAAACAATCTAAAACTTAATTTATGTGTCCTTGAGCAATCTTGTGAATGTGAATCTTACAAAAAGTGGACAGAAAGTATTCTTAAGCCACATGCCCTGTTCAGTACATAAATCAAACAAACACTTTGTTGAGCCTTACCAGGGAGCATTAGCTTGTAACTTCATCATCTCTTTCAGACAGACGAGCAATCATTTGTCCATTACTACAGTAATTAAAGATTAATATACTGTTGGTCTCACATAGCCAGACTATTCTGCAGCACTGAATGGTCCAACTGCACCTCGTTATCAGTCTGCTATAGGAGGAAAAAAACACTCCGGCTTGTTTCTTTACTTCTTTAAACCAGTTGTGTTGGGTAAAGCTAAGCAAAAGATGTGGCAATCAAAATGATACTGAGGGGGGTTGTTTTGGTGGAACATTTGCATGCAGTGAGGTGAGCACTGGCGATAAAATGGCTAATTTGCAGAAAACAGTACTGCACCATGCAAATCCTCTGCAATGCTCAGACACAATACAAACGCAGACAGTTGTCTAGTCAGGGCCAGGACTCAAAGCAGAGTTAGTTAGAAGAATTTAAAAATATGAAAGTGTTTGTATGCCTTCCTGTCAGTGCCTAGGAGTTTGTCTATTGATAACACATTGTACATGCACTGACACTCTCAGGGAAGTGTATTAGAGTGTATAGTTACCCCACAGAGACATGAAAATCGCAAACAGGACAGTGGCTCCATTGTCAAACAGGTATGAAGCTCGGGCCAGTGAGCACACCGTACTCAGACGCCAGTAGTCACACACAACATCGCAGAGCGGACACATGGTGATGTTCAGGTTTTCATCACATGTCTCCTGACTGAAACAACACATTAATAGTTATATTAATGTCTCTATCGGGATGACATAATGTACTTTGATGAGCGTGCATAAGTTTGCAGAGTTTGTATCTACCCACCTTGGCACATTGGCATCCACAGTGAATATGCCGTACAGGAAGACAATGATGCCCAGTACAGAGGGAGGGATGAGGAGCTGAGTATAAACACCCAGCCAGGCAAAATACAACCCAATCTGCTCTCCAAAGTACTTCCTATAAACACAGAGACAACGTATGAACTAGCTGCCTGGGTTTGCAGGCTTTACATTTTTGTGAGATGGACTTAGTCATTTTAGACACTCTGAGCTTTCATCTTGAACTTTACACATAGAAAATTACTGATCAAACATGAAGAAGTGCCCTGAAATTGACTTGGCACACTCATGAACCTGAGAGAATAATTACTCTTGACTTTAATAACCACCTGGAATCTTCTCGAGCATAATCATCTGGGCAAATTTTAAATATCTGGTACCTCAGAATCATCCCTATGCTTGTTCTGCTCAACAGTTGGGTATTAGTGGCTGTAATTAACATTATAGTCATAAGCTGAAGCTAGAAGTACTTTTATTTTTTTGGTCTGAGCTAACTGTTGAGTACCTGATCAGGTCCACAGGCTGGTATTTATGCATGACTCCATAGTTGGCCCATTCTTCATGGAGGAGCTTGAGGACACACAAGCACATAACACATGAGTAAACCACCAGTTAATAATGGTTATTAATTAAATATGCAGAATAAAAGTGTCAGTGCGATTGCATGTAGTCTTTATGTAAATGATTTCAAACCAAGCAAGACCCATTAGGGTTTTATAAATGCTATTTATTTTTACTTGTTGCATTATAATATGTGTGAATACCAAACACTAGGAAAGAGACTTTCAAAATAATGGCTGTCAAAGTGGTTAAATGAAGTTTACAATGAACAGTGATCTGCTGAAGCAATCCTTAAATGTGTTACGTGTGAATATGCGAATAATTTCCCAACACATAAAAATTTTAAAGTAGCTGAAACTCCTTGTTCACATATAGATTTGTACAGTTTGACTGTAAAACATGAAATACGCTTGATGTTTTTGTGATGTAGTTGACAGGTCAGATGCTCAGCTGTGATGGCAACACATGTACGCCTCAAGAAAAATGAATGGTATCATCTTCTTTGACTTTTAAGTATGTGATGTAAAAAAACATGCCGTCAACACACAGTTCTTAAAACTCAACTCACCTGTCTGTCATTTCGCTGATCTTTCCGTCCTCTCCTTGTGAAGGAACCCTACATAAAAAAGTGACAAGATCTTTATATGAGATAGACTGGTGTGTGATATTTTATCCATAGCCACAGTATTCTTCTAATTAAAGTGTTCAAAGTCAGTTTTTCTCCATAAACATCCATACTGTAAATATACTGATTAATCTGTACTATCTGATACAATGAAGGGGTTTATGTACAGTCGTTGATGCACAAAAGTTGTTCAGCTGAATAAAAATACTTCCAGTTTCCAATAAAGCTGCTGACTGATTTTACTCACATCATGCAGAGGAAAGGCAGAGATGTAGACGCCCCGAGCCACCAGTGAGTTGATGCCTTATGACACAAAGACAGAGTGTAAAACAGGCGTGAACGCTGGCATATGAATAAAAATACAATTTGACTGACAGCATCAATTGGAAGAATGAATGAAAAAAAAAAAGACAGAAAAAAACTTGACCTCACCAGTGGTTTGGCAAGAGTGTCTGCAAGTAGTACGTGAAATTATCTCAGCAACCTAGAAGCACACATAAAAAAATAGTATGTGAGCTCAATTACACGTGGCAAAAAAATACTAAATACCCCCACTGACATTGCATTATTAGTTATTTGTTTCTGAACTCACTATTCTGCTCCGTGTTGCATTATCAAATACGGTTTCTGTTGATGTGATGTCGTACCTGCAGGAAATCACAAGAGGGGGTCACAAAATTAATGTGAAATTTTAAAATAGACTCGTTCACCTAAGGTATGGATTGATATGTGCTGGGATCACTGTTCAAAGCTGCACACTTTGTCATTACAAGTTTCTTTTTTGTAGCATAATGATAAGGATGATAAAAGCATGTAGTCTGCAGGTGGTGTAGTTATTAGGGTGTTATTAAATTACCAATATGACAGAATTAAACCACGTTTGTCCCCAGCCAAGGGTGACTCCCAAAGTGCATTTCTGATCTTACTACATGTGTTGCACAACTTTACTCACAGGTGGAGTTTGTCTCTGATAAACGGGTGTTTGAGGGTTTTGAAATGGGCGTGTGTCTGCGAGTCTTTGTGGGTGTCAACTTCGGGGACGTCTGGTTGAAACGGCGTGTTGACTTTGGTCATAATGGAATCCCACATCCCAGCGATGCCTGTTCGTTTCCTCAATTCACATTTCTGCTCACAGAAGACATACATTAAAAATTGTAAAAAGAAGATTTTGATCAGAGCTGCTCAGTCACATCCCTCAGCTTTGGGATGTTCAGCTCCAAATTAATCTTTTGCAGATGCTCCAAACTTGCTAAATAAAGCTAGAATATCAATGACCAAAACATGCAAATGACTGTGTCGAACTGCTGACCTTTTTCACGGCAACTTTGATCTTCTGCAGCTCTGCCTCTCGGCTGAGAGTTGGCCACGGGATGTGCAGCCGAATAAAACTTAGGCAATTTGACCTCTGCACACAAACAAACACACACAGTACCACACAGACTAATGAGAAATGTGAACACAAAATCATTTGATGCATTGCTTCATAAGATCATCTACTGCACATACACTAAAAAAAAAACAAGCACATGCTAAGTTACAGCCGATACAGACTGTGCATCTGTCTCCCTCAGGATCTTTGTCTTTGTATTAAATTGCTTCTTGTACCGAGGCCAGATGAGCTTTCTTTAAACCTGTAAGTATGCTACTTTGTGTTATAATGAGGCTCTTTTGTAGGAAATCCTATTATTTCAAACCTAGAACTCACCAATCCTGGAAAGTGTAGAAAGGCGCAAATAATAACTGCTGTGATAGCTACATGGAAGTCGCCCTAATGTAGATGAAAAGTGACAAGCTATTACCCAGCCACTGATTTCCAGCCTGCTTATGCAATCACTGCAGTGCATTCAGTACTAGGCAGGTACAGCTGCACAGACTCCAACACCACATGCTAATGTTGTATGTTTCCAGCAGTTTTCCAGTGATGGCATCAGTACTTTCCAACCTCTTCAGATTTACTCTACCTTGAAGCTTATCTGGTCCTGAACAAGGTCAAATAATGAAACATAATAATGCTAATGTTATATAAATAAAAACAAAAAGCCTCCTTGATGGTACAGCGTACACATGACTGAACACATAACTCATTCAGATGTATTTACATGAAGGTTTACTTCATAGCCAATGTACCTTTTCCTAAAAATGTGTGATAACTTAGCCTGATCGTGTTTGGCCACAGATAGAAAAATACACACTCTCACACGAGCACTGTGCACGTCCTTCTAGCCCCAATGTCCAGATGAAACCCACCTGTCCCCCTGCAAACACTTTTATGTGCCAGCACACACACTTCCCGGTAGTGGATCACTCTCTAATAAGGCCCTGTAATCTGGCCTTTGGCTTCACTCTTACGGTGAGCGGTCTTAATCCTCAACCAAAACAGCAGCCGATTTACCGCATAGGCATCTCACAAACAAAGACGCACCGACGCAAACGTGCGTGCACACGTACACGCAATTATGCGCGCACACGCAAAGGCACGCACAAATTAGAAGAAACTAAAACAACACACTGATTTGCACATATTGACAAAATACATTCAGTGTGCATATATTCTATTCGTGTTGTGATTATTGTTATAGTTTTTCTAAAATGTCGAACTGTTCTTAGAAGTTCTCTCTTTAATTAGAGTACTGGCGTGTCATCCAGGTTCAGGAGACAGGCTAAGTCTTATCCTTAACCTCTTTGGAAGCTGCCCAATCACAGGATTTCACATCACTAAGGGACAGATCTGAGTCCTAAATGTTTAAAGGAGTGTGCAGCAGGTGAAAAAAGATTCATGAGCAAGCAGATTCATACCTCTTTGTCTCGCTCGAGTTGTAGTCCGGCCTCCAGCAGTCCTGCTTCAAACTCTTCCCTCATTAAAGCCTTTTCCTCCTCAGACAGCCTTGACTCCTCCACATCTCCTGCAGGTGCACCTGCCTCCCCAGACTCTGCTTCTGACTCCCATCGTCCTGGTATTGGTATCGGTAAGGGTAAGCTCCCGTTGGATGTTATGGAGAGACGTGGCTTAGATGCACGCCTTTTTTTGTATTTGTAGCAAAGCACATAGTCCACTTTTCTCTTGCCATCAGCAAAATAAAGCCCAGGGCCTAGTTCGATGCCAGAGTCCTAACAAACACACAAATACAGACGATTAAACCTTAAGCAACACTACAGTGTAGCAGCAGAAACCAGAGCTGAGAAAGAGCTAAAACACTGCTTCAGGATGTTAAAGTTGCAGGTTGTGAGAGTTTACAATCACATGCGAGCATACCGGAGGTGGAGGTTCGTCTTTGTCAAGGGGGTTGACAGGCCCTCCATTGGCGCCATCGAGTCCGAGCTCGGATAGTGATCGGGCCAATGAAACCAGCTTCGCAGAGTGAAAGGACGATGACTCACTCATTGCTGTGGTGAAGGGCATACGTTCTTTTCCGTTTCATCCCTCTGTTGGAACACGAAAGGAAAAGAAGCTGGTTCAGTGTCGACAAGTTGGAGAGATTTGGCGGCTCTGGTCGTAAATAAAGAAAGCAGCAGTTCGTGGTAGAATCATTCCTTCCTTTCAGCAAAATCATAATGTCTTGTCCTGTAAAATCTGTTTCTGTTGTTCCCATTTGAAATGAATCTAATTTATGTTTATGTCATGTTGTCTTGTAATATTTAGTTCATGAGATCCTTACATGTATATTATCTTCAATTATTAATCACAATTATGCGAAAAAAAACAACAAAAGAAAACGTATTTTGTGTTTTTTTTATTTTTATTTTTTCTCAAAGTTAGAGATAGATTTGTTCAACCCTTGGGCAGCCAAAAATAGAAACTGTCGACTGATTTTCGGGTGAGTTTACTGTCTGATATCATGTGTGAAAAAACACACACACGCAGCAGTAGCTGTTTTAGACTGACAGATCAAATATAAGCCAAAGTTAAGCTGTCTTGTCTCTTTTTCTACTCAATTGAAGCTGTGGGCTCAGATTAAGCTCACACTGCAATCTAAGCGGCACACTTTGCAATCTGTTGGGGGGAATTTGGTCACTGGGCTCATTCTTTGGAGCTAAAGAATGAAGTGGTGACACATAAGTTAATGTCTCACATCACTAGAAGCACAGTGGAAGCCCAAGACTCAAATCCACAGAAGTAAAATATAAAGAGAGTTAAAGTGAAAACATCCTAAAATTCAAAGTTCAATTGCTCAAATATTCATCATGTTTGTAGTGCTTGCAAGACAATGTAATTCATTTTGGGAGAACACGGTGACATTATTTCGACTGAGCAATTTTTCAAAAGCTGTGGCAGTGCATTCATCTTCTCCCTTATAAATACTTTCCAACAAACAAACAAAAACAACAACAAATATTTCAAATGTTGTGTCAAAAATGACTATTATTACTTTATATGCCTCATTTTACAGCTGAGAGTAAGAAGACTTTCTCATCCATGACCACATTCTTCTTAAGAGAAGTAGTAAACATGTATATTGACAGTTTTTCCATTGCATGATTGAGTTTTGTACATGAAAAAAATTGTTTTCAAATTCCTCTCTCTTAGTAGCAGATTAAATCAATAAAAATACACATTAATGCATATGGTGTCAGTCTAAGTAACTAGTAACAAGGCAGCAAGATAACATTTGATATTGCACAGTATTTGGTCCCAGAATGCATCTGAACTGCATGTTCTACCCAACTGACACACCAGACAAAGCCACGAGGCATGCAAATACACCAACACAATACACACAGCAACATACAGAGTGCCTCAACAGTCAATCCCCTTGGCAATATGCACACTATCCAAGATAATCCCTGCTAACCAAGTGTTAGCAAACACAGGGGCCAAGATGGAAATGGAGAATATGTCCCTAGAGTTTAGCAGGTCAAAAAGATTTTGCCTAACCTCTTAATTCACCAGGACACAGTGGTGTCTAAATCTGGTTGCCAACCTGTTGACATGTGTCACCGTTAAAAGAAAGCGATGTCTTCCTTTGATGCACGTTGTGGACATCATGTGGATGAATAATTCAGCCAAAGTGGGACCTACTGAAAGGTCCATACATACAGGATCATAGATTAATTTTCAATAGGCGCTACTGTATCCTGTCTTCAGGGAAACAAATTAGGTCTCGGTTTGTTTATCTCATTTGTAGATAGTCACATGTTACATGTGTAGTGCATTAGTCACTTAGTTAATTAGTCATGATATGGCTGATATTCTTGCTGCTTCCTAGAATGCTTACGCAAATCAATACGCATGCACACTTTGCAGAAACTTAAATCGAGCATCTACCAGAACGCCAGTGAAGGACTACTATGCCAGAGATTATTACTATTTAGGGCATGAGTTCAACCAAACATAGCGAGGTGCAGAAAGATGTATATTTTGTGGATCAATTTTAAAGAGAATAACCAAACAAAGTATGATTCAAAATGTTTGGTCTTAATTTGAGACAGTTTTTTTTTAAGATTCACATCTTTTATCAATACTTATTTTTTAATAGGATCTTGTTTATATTGTTTTGCACTGTCTTATTCTGCAATGCATTTATGCACCAGCCCAGAAAAAAATGAAAATTAACAACAAGACAAGTCAAATAAAAACTGCAACTTACTTTTCCAGTGTTCTCTGTTATTTATAGGGGAAAGATTTTCCACGAGAGAGGACAAAAATGATGTCAATGACGGATTTTGCAAAGTCATGCAACATCTGTTGGGGAGCTGAAGTTTGCATGACACGACTCAGGTGTGGTAGTTTCAATAAATTGCTTCTTCTTTGCACTCTCACACTGAAATTAACGGGGCAGAGGGCTGCAGGGGAGCTGCACTAATACCAAACGTCTCCTCGAATACAGCAGATTACACATCGCTAATTTTAACAGCTGCTTGTTCCTTTTTAATACCATAACAGGGCGCAACAACAACATCAACAACAGCCCCAACAAACACTGTTAAGAATCAAATTTACCTGCACCAAACTTATTCAACACACGCCTGGTGGATTTCATTTGTTTTAACAAAGCTAATTCAAGACCAAAAACACTGACATCACTGACCACATCAAATTAATTCGTTTCCATTTTGACTAATTAATCCCCGGGCAGTTGTCACGAGCTGCTTATTCGATAGATATGTGTTTAATTAAATGCTTTCCGTGCGCAACAGTTGTGCGCACGCAGATGGCCGGATGGAAAAAACAGCCTCAGCAGCCTGGCACATACGACACAGCAGCCGCCGGGGAATTTAAATGATAATAATAATAAAAAAAGCAGAGGTTAAGGTCAAGCTTCGGGTTATGTGGTATTGCACCAACGAGAAGATACACTTCAAACAAACGAGTGGCAAAGTGCGAAAAGACGCTGCCAAAGGCGACACCGGGGAACACACGCAAGACAGTCAAAGTGGCACAGGTCAAGTTTTGTTGGGGTTTTTTTTTACGCCTCAGGTGAAAGAAAAGTGAGAAGGGGACTCACCGGTAGTCGCGGTGGATCAGTTTCTTCTTCTTTGGAGATGGATGATAAGATGCGCGAGGTGCACAGCCTGAGGGGCTGAGATGGTGGACAATCCGCGCGCGCTCCCGGAACCCCTGGCTTATTGCGCGCGGACAGGGCGGCTAATTCCCTGACCGTTCCATGCGGGTGAGAAGGAAGGTGTGAAGCATATTACCGATGAAAGAGACGCGTGTGTGTGTGTGTGTGTAAGCCAAGAGGGAAGAAAGAGCTTACAGGTGACCGGACTTGCAGCTGAACCTCGGCTACCATCTGCAGGCGTGCCTCCCCGATGACCAACACACAAAACATTAGTGTAAAAAAAAAAACCTCACATTGGGCAACAAACATAAATTATGTTTTGTATTAATTGATATGTACCCTAATCATTCAAGCTTGTAAAAGAGTTTTAAAATTTCCTTTTAAAAGCAGATTGTATAGAATGTGTCACAAAAGTACATATTATTAAAAAAGTGCAATTACTAGAAGCAAAAGCGCTCATAATGCAGAAACATGTATCCAGTGAGTGTTAATACCCACCAGATTATTGGTACTGATGTGAAAAGGAGGGATCACTACATGTAATTATGGATTGTTGGGTCCTTGGATCTGTTAAAGCATCCATAAGCTCTTTCTTTCTCTGTAGGTCTCACTACAATCTGCGAGTGACTAAAGGTAGCGGAGTGTGCAAGGCCTATAAAAAGTATTCAGCGTCCTTGAAAGTTTTTCCCTTTTATTGCTTTTCAGCATTGAATCGTGGTTGATTTAATTAGGCTTCTTTTAGACAAGAATTTCCCCATGCTTTGCTGCATTCGTTTTATCCCTACAGAAAATCATCCCCACGTCATGATGCTGCCACCACCATGCTTCACAGCTGGGGTGATGTGTTTGTGATGATAAGAAGTGCAAGGTGTCCACCAAACATAGTATCTAGTCTGATGGCCAAAAAGGTCAATTTGCTCTCATCAGACCAAAGAACCTTCTTCAGAGTCTCCCTCTATTTGAGATTTAATATGACCTTGTTTCAGCAGTGATTTTCTCTTTGCCACATTCCCAAAAAGCTTTGACTGGTGAAGAACCTGGGCAACAGGATGCACAGTCCTTGCAATCTCAGCCGCTGAAGCCTTTAACTTCTTCAGATGTGTCAGAGGTGTCTAGGTGGTCTTACTCACTAGTCTACTTCTTGCGCAGTCACTCATTTCTTGAGGATGACTTGCAATGGGAAAATTGTGCATGTGCCATATTCCGCCCACTTATTTGTGGATTTAACTGCACTCCAAGGGACATTTAGAGACTTGGAAATTTTCTTAGCCCTTGAATTATGCCTTTCAATAACTTTTTCGCAGAGTTACTGAGAGTGTTGTGTTTATGGTGTAGTTATAGCCAGGAATGGTGATGCATCAGTGACTGGACCTTCCAGATACAGGTGCATTTATAGTACAGTCACTTGAGATACATTCAAGGTACTCAGATGTTCCCCATTTCACTAGTTTTGTGACTTCCAGCACCAGTTGGCTGCATCTGAATTTAATTAGGTGTGTCACTTTAAAGGAGGAGAATACTTAAGTAATCACATTTCACATTTTTAATTGTTGACATTACTTTGTAAAAAATCAGTTGCCATTTTAGAAGTAGTCGTTTTTTTAAATTGTATCTAAAAAAAAAAAAGCCAAATTAAACTGTCTGTGATTCAATGATATAAAACACTGAAAGAGGAACACTTCCGAGGGGCATGAATACTTTCTAGAGGCACTGCGTTTCCCTCTGATATGTAGTGAAATAGAAATATAGTAGAACAGAACAATCAGCTATTATAGTTGCACTTATGGACCAAGTGTTGTTCCTCCACTTGGGTTTTTATTTTGTTTAAAATTCACAGATAATTTCAGAAACCTGATAAAACAGAATATCAGAAAACAGCTTTCCAGGTCCCTTTCAGGTCACTGGTAAAACCCTTAAACCTAAACCCCCTCCACACCTCTGTCATTTAAAGTTCCATTTTTAGACTTTTTTTTCCATGAAAATCCCATCATGCCTTAAAATGGCTTAGATGCAACTCTAAGCTGTTGCATCCTTAAGAATATTATGGCTTATGAGGTCCCTGCTTTATCTCCACCCACCCCTCTGCCACTCAGTTTGCTTGAGACTCCGTTCAAACACGGTATAACTACTCTACACTACACAAAGGCAAGTTACAGAATATTGGAATAATTCAGCTGAACAGATTCTGAAGAAGAATAATGACCCAGAAAGCCTCACCCTGTGAGCTGACAGAATTGGTTCTTTAAGTTTGTTATATATATTTAGAAGTCTGAAGCCATGTTTTTGACACAATCATTGGTATACTGCGATTTCAAGATGGAAATGTTCACTCATGGTATTGATCACATATTTCACTCATGAATGTTAAATAACCCATATAAAAGTGTTGGCAAAGTAAACAAAACCTGCTTGTTAACCAGAGGGAGTCATTACACTTTTCATGCACACATCAATTTTTACAAACACATTTCACCAGGAATATCCAAATTAAAACAAAACACAGAAAGGTGATGCTTACAGAAACTGGCAACTTTGTTTTATTGTTTTTTTTATGTAGCTATTGTTTTTTTTATGTAGCTATTGTTTTTTTTATGTAGCTATTGTTTTTACGGGTACATTTTACTTGGATACACACAAAGCATGGACATTTATAGACTCTCTCTTGCCTTCTCTAGGTGCAGTGTTTGGATAGACAGTCGCATGCAGTGACAGACTGGACAGTGTGGTGGCTATGAGTGCCATTTGCACACAAGACGGGAACACTGAGCGGCTCTGTCTCCACGGCAGCACAGCACACACACTCTTGCTCCACAGCAGCCCTCTGCAGGGAGTACATGGACTTACTGCGACATTTTCCCTGCGAGACAGACGGACAGTCAGTCAGACAGACAGACAGACAGATGGAAGATACACACACACAGCATCACAGGGAGGGACAAAAAGGGTGGGACGGTGAGGGACAGTGTTATGATTTCACTGAACTTTGTAGGCTAATCCCAGGTGGAAAACGCATTAATCGTTCTTAAAAGTGTGTGTGCGTGTGTAGAGTCCTACCTCACAGTAGTGCAGTTCTATCTGCTGCTCTGATTGGCAGTCATCCACTTTAATGTAGTCAAGCGTTCCTGCTGTCCTTCGACACTCTGGCTCAGTACCTTCACACATATGCACATTAAAAAATCACAATGTCGGCATTTTATTTATTTATTTTTTTACAAAAGTATACCAGCCTTGCACACACCACAGCTCTACTTACACATCTCACAGCAGGTGGTTCCAATCTGGCTCACTTTCCCCTGAAAATAAACACATAAGAGGATAAAATGTTAATACAAATTTGCCAGACAAGTGTAGCTGAGAAAGAATAACGCGAGATGGTCCGAGGTCGTACCCCCTGGTCCAGGCAGGCTTGGCGGTTAAAAGGAGGGCAGGTGGTCACTTTGGTCTGCAGGACAAGATCTCCTTTACCGTTTACGCCACAGGAATACAAGTTGCAACCGTCCTCGCTAGTAGTGTTCACCTGGCAGGATAAATGACACACAGGGTTCATCCCAAAGCTGTTCTCTAGAACTTAAAAGTTAATAAATAAAGACAAAATATAGAACTTTTACTTTAGACAAACATTATCAGCTCATTTTTTATTCTAGTTTACTATTAGTATACTATTTTACTATTAGTTATTTTAGTATTACTATAGTGCTAAAACCAGCACCATACCGACACCTTTAACATCGTCATCATGAACATTATCAGAATTATAGACCTAACAGTAAACGAGTGCTGCAGTATGTTTGCGTTCTGCGTGTAAAAGGTTTCATGAGCAAGGCATCATTTTTTTCTGCAGTGCACCTACCTGCAGATTGAGGAGTTTTCCGTCGGGCCTTTGCATGACGCAGGCAGTGGGAACGCAGCGACCACAGCAAGCGTCTTCCTCCTTCTGCAGCGTGTATCCCTGAAAACATTGCGGTTGGTTCACATTGTTAGTTATACAGGAAGACATCAGCAGGACATTACTGTAAATATAAAGATGTACATTTGCCTGTGCTGATAAATAATTCAGTGTTTACCTCTTAGAATAGAGCGAATCATGGAGAGATCATGGGGCCACAGATTAATGATGAGCAAAGGAGGAATGTAGTCAAAGGGTTAGAGAATCTTTGATGCAAATGACTAATGTTTGAATTAGTTATGATGAAGGTGATAAATCATCACGGTGGCAAAGTAATGATGTGATGATGGTTACCATGGGGCAAGAGGGACAGCTGATTCGCCTGCAGGACAGTCTGTATTTCTTCACTGCACCGTCCTCCACGATACACTCACAGTGTGTACACACATCCACCATCATCCTCTCCCCTGCCTGTACAAACACATATATCAAGATGGAACATACAAAGCACTATCCGAAAGCCTTTCTTACATGAAAATAAGTGCTGCTTTTGTGAATGACTTACCCCTATCACAGTGTGATTGAGAACACAGGCATCCATAGGGGCTGTAGAGAGAAACTATGTTTATTACCATTCATGAAACAGCATATTAAACTTCAGTTTTTGTAAGGTCAAGTCAGGATAACTTATACTAGGATCACACCAATATGAGAGAGCCATCTGCTGCACAGACACTGCAACTGCAACTTGATGTATAAACACTGTGTGTATGCCTTAAAGTTAGTGGAGTGACGGTTCGACAATTCTTGCGTTTGAAGTAACGGCTGCGAGTTGAAGGGTAATCTCCTAACCAGGTGTGCCAAATAGTGCATGTGTTACCCGCTTAGGTTTTCCTGTATGTGTATTTACCACAGTGGCAGTGGGGACAGCAGTCCTGGGTGTCGCAGCGAAGCTCAGTTCCCAGCGGGCAGGATGGAGCGTCCATAGCAGAGCAGCTGACGTTTGTTGGAGAGATGAACACCTCATCTTTCACTTTCATACACTGATGTAAGACACATTTATCATGTGGAGACGGCCAGACCTCACCCACCTACAAACAACAGACGGAGATTAGAATGCAATCAACTATGAACAAAAGAGAAAATGCAGCATCGACAATATGCATGTATGCTCCTCTGTGCATACAGACAGAAGTGTATTGACCGAGCAGAGTGGTAATCAGTATTTCTAGACACATACATGTCTGAGGTTTCCCCCAATAAGTGTGTCCCCTCGCATCCCTCCCTCTGACTCCACACAGCTGGTTGGTGAGCACTTCCCGCAGCACTCTCCTTTTGAAGGAGTGTATGTTGAGCCCTGAAATATATGACAAATATAAAAACATTATTACAGAAACTAAAAAACTGCACATGTGAATGTTTGTTGTGTGCGTGAATCTCACCAGAGGGCAGGTCTGATCACAAACAGGCGGTTTACACTGTGCAACGTGGAGCGATGTGTCTTTGTCCTGCAGCTGGGAGCAGCTGCATTTCTCACAGCCTTCCTCCCATTCACTCCCCACCGGATGAACCACGCCACCAACCACGCACACCTGGAGACACACATGGTGGCGCAGGATATGAATACAACAGCACAAACATGGGAAAGTGTTGCACTCAAAGTTACATCCAAACACAAACTCACCTTGTCTGGCAGGCAGTTGGTCTCAGTGCAGCCACAATCGTTGGTAGAGGTGGATGTGATGAACCCAGTGGGGCAGCTGTGGGTGGAGTTCTGGCAGCTGCACGCACATTCAAACACATCACAGCATTTTGTCTTTTTGACTGACAGTTGGCGATGTGCTGGACAAGAGGGGGGAGCTTGAAGAGCGCAGTCTTCCTTTTTGCACACTGAGGAAAAAAAAAAAAAAGAGAGAGAGAGAGAGAAGGTTATGTCAGATCACCTATTTACGTTTCATGTCTGCATGTTAGCAGTGTGTGTTAACATACCGCACTCGTGTATCGGCTGACATTCTCCGGGGTTTTTCAGGACCACAGTTTGACCATCCTCACAACGGGGCACTTCAGGTAGGTCACAATTCACCAGATCACACACTGCAAAGTCATAAAAATGAGTCAGTCTGTTGCAGGTGGGCAAAGTACACAAAAACGTGTGTAGCTACTGAGGAATGAATCAGCAGCAACCTGGTAATTATTGAATGATTAATGAGTTGTGCCTGAATAATGCAGAATCAGGAGATACTACAGAAACAGACTGAAAGATAGTTCTATTAACAATGACTCATTCGGTAATAATTTGTTGTTGTGAGCTGGACAAACTAACAGCAACTCATTTATTGCAATCCCGCATTATAATTAGTTACACTTTTTTTCTTTTCATGAGTAGTTTCTATCTAGCTCATCACCACTTTTAATTAGTTCCTTAATAACAAACCACAGAACAACATATGATTACATCGTAGTGCAACTAGCTTAAGGCACTTGGAGTTAATTATTAACAGCATATGAAGAAAGTGATCAATATTCGGAATTAACACTTATCTAATGATCCATTAATATAGCCTCTCTCTATACGTTCTCTACTAACACATCCCTCTCTATGCAGTCCTCATATAAAAGGAATTCAGGCTATAATCATTAGTGATCAATATTTATCAGGTCTTGTCTGATTTATTCTACACTCATTACTCAGTAACTACACACATTTCTGTGTCATGTATGATAAGTGTTACCGATACAATCTGTGGTGCAAGCACATGATTACTACTTTTTGTCCATTTGTCTGTTCAACCCTCTCTTATTTGATGACACTACTATAATAATGAATGTGGAGATTAAAACATTGTAATAAAGACAGTTTTTTTTTTTAACATACCACACTCATACTCAGGGCAGCACTTGTTTTCTCTCTTCTCTTTCAAGATCTCACAGGGTCCACACACTGGAGCTACACACACATACAGATGCTTCATTAAAAAGCCTGCATTATTTTTCCTGCGTAGAAAAAACAGAAAAACAGATGACACGAGCGAAAGAAGGAGCAACAAGTGGTGACCTTTGACGTCATTGCAGGGCCGTGCAGTGCAGTTGATGCGCTGTTCGTCCAAGCACATGCAAATCAAGCATGGGTTTTCATCCGGTACCCAACTCTGCATGTACTGTGAAGACAAAAGCAAACCATGTTCTATTTTATTGCTGTATTTTGTTATAATAAAAAGAAACAGTAGAGGGCAGTCAAAACACACTTTATTAATATCACTTTCACAGTTGCCTCATATTATTCTAATAGAATATTATATATGCTTTAATCTATAGTGTCTTTAATTGAGAACTCGTGTCTGTTCTGTTTTTCTTGTTTTGTGCCTCACCATATATGTGTTCCCATGATTGTCGACACACTGGCCACATGCCTCTGGTGATACACACTGTCCATGATGCAAAACCATCCCTCCAGTACAGAAACAGCCTTCAGTAGGTGTGTCCATACAGGATGACTCGTTACCCCTAGCAACCGACCAGTCGCCTGGCAACGTCTGTAGGCTACCACAGTCCTGTACACACCCTGTCCGACATGCATCATACTCCATGGAACTCGGGCACTGTAATGCTGCAACACAGAGCAGGGTTTAGTTTAGCTTCAGGCTCAGGGGTTACCAAGTGTGTTCCACTGGATTGAAAGATAAACACCCATGAGCACGTCACAAACTGACTTACGACAGAGGTGGGGTCTCCTCCAAGCCACGCACACGCCTCTTTGTCTACAGAGGCGTGCGTAGGCAGAAATTAGCTCGCACACATCAGACTCCTCACATGCCTGCTCCTCACACTTGCTGAGAAAAACTTGGACGGGAATGTATGCGTGACATGGTTCAAACACTTCAGAACGCAGGGCCTGACATCCCATCGCTGTACCAGACACACACACTGCCCTCCGTTTTGGCAGGCACACGCCACCGTCCGCAGCCACAGTCCAGTCTGAGATAAAGGCTGGCTGGTCGGCAGTCGAGCTGCCATCACGTAAAGACAGGACATTAACTTTCTCCTCCCCGCAGGCACCTGAGAGGAAAATATAGAGAACAGCGGTTAGAGGAAAAAGCTCATACAGAAGCTGGCACAGAGAGAAACAGGGCTATTTTGTGGTTTTGAACAAATGGGTCTATATTTCTGTTACCGCAGAGTCCAGCAGTTTGATCACTGGTGGTCGAGCTGAGTAATGTGATGGTAAACTCGTTGCTCTGAGGGGTGAAAGTCAAGACATAGCCGTGATCTGATTTCAGCTGCAGCATCACTCCTCCATAACGCACCAGCTCCAGGCCAGCGTACCGCCACGGCAATGCAAGCTCCTCCCGATCAATCACTGCCTGATCAAATAAACATAAGTCCCCACAGGGATGAATAAATATTTATAAACTCACTTATAATAATCAATTTCAGTGTCAATGCAGGTGTCCTAAACAACAACACACATACACGGCTTACCGTCATGTCATCCTTCAGCAGCAGCTTATGCGGTCCATGGATCACCTCCATGGCTTTCATGCAGACTTGGTTGTAATTCGCAGAGTCTTGACAAGGTCCAGTGTGGAGTTTGACCTCTGACCCTTCACTGACGCCTCTGCTGACAGTGAGAAGTGTGTAAGAGCACAAACCCTCTCCGTCCAGCCTAAGTGCCAAGCTGTCAAACCTCACCACGTGATTGGTGGAGCTGCCCATACACATGCCTGTCAACACACACACAAGGAGGAGGAAGAGAGTGTTTGAGCAGGAGCCAGAAACATGTGAGCTATTAATAGTCAGTATAAATAGACGAGAATGCTAGCTCCCAGCATGCATTGTTAACCGCAAGTGGGCAACGATGTGAACGTCATAGAGGCAGGTCAAGTCCAAGGCTAGAAACTTGAGGAGCTATTTGATCCTATTGATGTACATACAGGGGCATTCCCAGTGACAGCCACAGGCCTCCTGGACTTTGACAGGCGGCATGTTGTTTCTGCAGGCTGGCGGCTCCAGTCTGTCACAGCTGACTTTGTGATTCTGTACTGTCACTGCCCCGCTGGGGTGGCACAGGAGAGAGTGGCAGCCGTCCTCCAGCAGCCAGGACTCGCCAGGCTGAAACACATGGAAATAAAGATACAACATTTTTTTTTGACTCTTAAGTTGTTATAAAAGGTTGCTGTACTGCTGCGTTTCGTATTCAACGCAAGCTGATATTACTCACCTTTCTCTCATTTCCATTATCATCAACACACACTCCTGGTGGACCCGCTGAAACACAAAGCACATAACTGTTCCATTACTGTCAGAGTTTATCATGAATATTCATCAAAAGCAAAACCTGTTCTCATTAAAACTGTCAAAAGGAATGGAATTAACTTTGCCAGGAAAAATTAAAGTGCGTGTGCATGTGTGTGCGTGTGTGTGTGTGTGTGTGTGTAAGCACCTCTGCAGATCCTCTCGGTGTAACTATTGTCCAGAGTCAGCAACATCCGTAACTGATCCATGCTGTTCAGGTGCAATGAGTTGTCTTGGTTGCCATGGCGACCAAGCACATCAACTTCACCCCTGTCATATCCTGGTCCGATCCCAATGGGGAACACTGACACACCTGAGGGAGGAGACTCTTATCAGTGAAACTACATCATATCTTTGAAAGATAGAGGATGGAAACATACCAACTGAACTTTGAACTGAGTTATTGATTTTAATGATAACTTAATTACCTGCTGCCAGAGCCTCATTAGCTGCTTCTTTGATATCATCAGTTGATTTGTCAGTCACCAACATCACCACAGCCTTGGCCACACCAACTCTTCTCCCACTGACTGGCGAGATAGATGTCTGCACAGCGAATCGCAGTGCAGACCCTGCGAACAGAGAGAACAGTGAGTATATGTGAGTGTCCATCTGCTCTAATGCATGTGCATGTTTGTTTAAGTATCCATTACCTAGTGCGGGGGCTGCCGTGGTCCTGCTCCGAATGCGTTCCACCAGTTTCAGGAGCTCCGATTTGCTCTGTTCATTCCTCCATGTGATCTCTGCTGTGTTGGTGTCGCCGTACTGAACCACACTCACCTGTGTGCTATTCAGCCCTGCACGTATAAACACACAATTAAGTCACTATAGACAGACAGAAAAACAAGATTTCCTCTTTGGTTCCTTGAATAAGTATATGCAGCATTTATGTGCTTCAGTCTCATTGCACAGATTTTTACATAGCTATGTGATGACAAAAAACAGAAACTCATCGACCCTGTGTATTTGCACAGTTCATGCTTTTTTTTTTTGCTGTTCACTTTAGCTCACTCATTTTAAAATATAATAATTATAGATACTACATCAAAGTGCCAAGTTTCAGTTTTGATTTGACCAGCTTCACATAAAAGAAACTTGGTGGGAGACATAATCCTTTGAACCCATAGTGTCCTAAGTTTAAAGGTGTATAAATCAGAACAGGACAGAAAAACAAAATCAGAGTAAAAGATATGTGGCAAAAACCCTTTGCAATCAATAACGTCCTAGATTCCTCGATTCAGATACTTCAGAAGGCTTCCAATGTTCTCCTTTGCTTTCACAATGATTTTATTTTATTTTTTTTAATTTACCCAACTGTTGACTTTGTCAAACAAGCTGCCTTTCATATCCCTTTGATAGAGTTTTGTTTTAAGTCTCATTATTATCTTCTGCACTTGCATGCTCATGTCTTTACTTCTCATATTGACAGAAAAATCCACCTCAGTTTAAACATTCATTCCACTCAGAACAACATGTGGCTTGAAAACACAGAAGACCAAATAAAATTTAGTGGTTAACTAGTGTCCAGTTAATTTTGAACCCTTGGATTTTGTTCACTAATGTGGCTCACACACAATGCCTTCTATACTGATGTAAACCTGCTTAAATTAAATGTGCTGAAGTACAGAGTCTGAAGAACCAAGAATATGTAGCTGTCCAAATTGCAAATTGCATTTAAATAAGCGCTGTTTTTTTGTCCCCTAAATGTGTAAATATGTACTCAAGTGTTTGAAATGTCATTGCCAAAAACAGACGAATAGAGGGCAGGTGGGACCTACAACAATTCCACACATCATTGAAAGTCAGTGCACCTTAAAAATGGGAAAAGTTCATTCAAGGCTTGGGTCACACCTACCTATGTCAGCACTGCTGATGAAAGCTTTGACAAATGTCTTCATGTCTTCAAACTGCTCTCCAGCCTTCAACAGGAACATCACATCCACAGGTTTCTTACACGGCACTGTTCAAAGAAAGTGTTTACAAGTTAATACACAGCAATGAGTCCTTGTGCAATGACTGATGAATAAATAGGTTTGTCATTGTACCTGTGGGTGGCAGGCTGGCGTGCGTTGGGACGACGAGAGGAGGCAGTGTAGGTGAGCGTGGAATGACAGTGGTGTGTGTGATATTGACTACGCGGTGGACCAGGGTTGTCAGATGGTTGTAGTCATCCACCATCAGCGGGCGTTGAGGGGAGCTGAATGGCAACAAGTCAATTTCACGTACCTTTGGTCCAACACCAATGGGGTACACATGTGTGTGGGTGCGCGTAGATGGTGGGCGTGTAACAGTGTCAGTCGGTGGGTTTTCTGTCACGAGGAAGACAAGCTGAGGAGGGGTGGGACCGGCTGGGGGCTGGACTGTAGCCATTTCTTGGATAACTGTAGTGACAGCTGCCCCAGTGTTTGTCTTACTTCCACCCCTCCAACGAATCTCCCTCAGTCGTTGCAGCAGTTGGGTTCTCTGACGCCTCACCTCCCAGCGACTGATCTCCACAGTGACAGTTATTGAGTACTGGATCACAGTGATGCGAATGAACTCTTCCTCCTGTGTAAGCTGTGAGATAACCTCCTCCAGGAAGAGCAGCGACTTGTTAAAGTTGGTCTCGCCGACAGAATCAGAGCCTTCCAGGATGAATGTCACCTCTTTGGCTGGAGAGAGGGAAGACGGCAACGTGGTGATGGGGGATAGGCCAGAGGGTGCGGTAGACGCAGGAATGTTGGGGAGATGTGTGGGGTTTGGTTCCAGATGAGGAACGAGAGTGGTGGTGGTAGTTGTGGTCTTTTGAGCTTTACTTGGTGTGGACTTTGGTGCTGGAGGTTTCACCCCCTCAGGCTCCATCCCCAAGGTGCAGAGGTAATCTGTTAGGTCTAACAGACGATCAGACAGCTCACCTGTGCTGCTCAGCACATAAGCCCTGTTGTCCACATTGGCTTTGGTAATGTCATTGATTTGCCCCATGTCTACCCCAGGACCCAGTGCCACTGTCAGGGTGGTGATGGCTTTTTTGCGGAGCATCTTGACAATGGAACGGACAGGACGAGGATTAGCACTGGCAGTTAAGATAATAGCGACACGGCCAGCATTCTCGCGCTTATTCTTGTCATAGATGTTGATAGCCAGATATTTGACAGCCTCATCCAAGAAGGCTGAATCTCCTCCTGTATAATGCAGCTCATGCACAGTCTTCTTAAACAGCCACTTCTGAACCTGTAGGTCCAGACAAGTGAGACAAACAGGTAGATCAAGCAACCAGGTGTAGTGCTTTACAGTCACTTTATGTATTATTGAAGCCTAAATGCCGCACTGTATACTTGTGCAAGAACACACACTTTACTGTATCACGCATGTACTGTACATATATTTTTACTTACCTGCAGGTCATATGTTTTGACTCCAGAGTGGTAAAGCAGAACTGTAGCTCGAGTGTGAGCTGAGCCCATGCGGAATCGCTCAACCACTCCCAGTATGAACTCTTTCGTTGCCTGAAATTCATCTTCGCTCAGGGCTTCTGAACCATCTAACAAGAACGCTAGATCCATTGCACGGTCACATGTGCCCTCGGGCATCAAGGTGCTGAAGGGAATGGATGTGAAGGTGGCATAGGAGGGTGTTGGTGTGGGAGTGGTGAACAAGGTGACGGAGGTACAAGCTTCACAGGTCAGGGTGTTGTTGTCACAATGGCTTTAGCAAAGAAAAACAAAGCATCTTCAAATTAAAAAATACTAATTCCTCGTCAAAAATGTCCAGATTTAGTGATAAGTGTTCTGATGAGGTATTACCATATCTTGCAGTGGTTGGGGTCATCGTGGTTCAGAATGACTTTGTTGCCATGGGAGATTCTCTGACCCTCATGGATACACACCTGGCACTGAGAGGGATCTACACATCGCATGGCCACCTCATCCAATAGTTGGCCTAAGAAGACCAAAGCTAAAGTTAAACTCACCTGCACTATTTGCATAAAAATATATCCAATTATATTTATACTGTATATATTCTATGCAAAAGTTTTTTGACTTTTTTGCACCTGGGGGGCAGTAGGCATGACAGCCTTCCACACACGCGAGTGAACAGTGGAGCGGATCTGGGTGCTGGCAGGTGATTGGACAGGCAGGGCCACAGGTGTTATACCTCCACTGGCACAGCTCCTCCCCTACACCTGGGATCCTAGGGTTCAGCTCCTCACAGCTCATGGCTAAGGAAACAAGGGATTTGATTTAAGTCAAAGTTATTTTATTGATGCTGTAACAGCATTTGAATATGCATTTGGTCATAAGGTTTGTGAGCGTAGAAAAGCAGAGGAGATTTCTATGTTACTAAACACAATATTTATAATTGTGATATAAGACTACAGTTAAAAGGTCCAATTTTGAGTAAGAAATAAGAATCCAAAGGTAGGATTAAAATGTCAAATAGCAACTAAAATTCAGAGCAATTACCATTTTAGGCAACATAACATAAAAAAAAAAAGTTAAAAGCACACACTGTCATATGCATTAAGCTGGTATAGTCAAATAGCAATGTGTAGTGAAAAGAGCAGAGCTGCATCAGAGATAACATGTGTTCTTTGGTTAGGTTGATTCTGACAGCTTGTTAACACTGTTAACTAGTTTAGTTTGGTCAAGCAGCCTTTGCATATTTTTTTAACAATCATGAAGGAATTCTTCATACTCACGGCAAAGATCATTGGATCTCCAGCTGATGGAAACACCCCTCTCTGAGCAGGCCTGTGCATAGGCTGCAATAACATCACAGAAACACTCGCAGTCGCCCACTGATGGGCACGAGCACGCTGCCTCCACACACATCTCTACGTATGGCTCTGCATCCACCTAGAGACACACAGGGAAAGGGAGGACTAAGTGCATGAACCTAACAATGCATGTGGTGTCATCGGACATGTAGTGTGCCTGTAATTGCATGGCTCACCTGGCTGTTGCATTCTTTAAAGAGGGGACCAGTGATGACGCGGCACGACTGCTCCACTGTCACCAACCTCACAATGTTGTCGCTGCAAGGAGCAGGTATCTAGAAAAGAAGAACACACATAAATTGACATGACAGAGTTGATCTCTTTGTTAATGTGCTGCAGAATACCTTATATCAGTCACTGTAAAACATAAAAAACACATTATGTTTTTAGCATTAATTACAAATCGTGCACAATATACATAATTGGAAATTATTTTTCAAAGCATAAATACATTTTAAGGTTTATTTTAAATCTTTTAATTGCTAAGCCTTTGGCTTTTTGTCAGCATGTAGTCTGTACCACATAAAAGAAGTATAAAAATAAGGCCCTCAATTCTTCTTCAGAGGGTCAGGCAATGTATAATACTGGTACTAGACATTAACCGCAAACCTCAGTCAAGCCACATATCACCCACAGTCTCCATACATAACTTGATCGCTGTCAGTTTGCATAGCGATTTATTGATCTTATGGCCTGTACAAGCTCATTTTACTAGTGTTGAAACTTCAGGTCGGTCACCGAAGCAAAAAACCATAACAGACTAAAGCACCCTAAGTCATAACTAAATAAAATTCTAATATAATGAAAATCCAAATTACAGTTTGCCTCAAAAAATAATGATACTATAATATTTATTCTTAATAATAAATTTTCATGCTCACAACATTGCAAGTTCTCAGGCTGCATCCATAATTCTACTATGGTTACAATACATCTCTAAAGTGTGTCTACGAGATACAGAAAAATATGGAGTTTGTTTTTTTTTTTTTTTTGTAAATGTCTGTAACATGTAAAACCACCCAGGTTGGTAGAAAACAGATCCAGTGAAAACTGTTCATGTTGAGGATTGTGGTTCATCAAGAACAACAAGGAAAATAAGCCTGGAAGAAGAGCTGTAGTTTTAAATAAATTACTTTTACAATGTTGGGCAGCAACATAGAGAAATCTCAGAGATGGATATATATAATAAAAAAAAAGAAAGAAAGAAAGAAAGAAAGAAAGAAAGAAAGAAAAACACTACAGATAATTTAAGACTAGACTTTACCTGTGTTACATCGGCACAGCTGGGAACAACCTTCCAGGAGTTCCCAAAGTGCGAAGAGTCCACCTCCATCTGGTTGTTACTGCTCATCAAGTCATTGTTGACATTCCCATCAAAGTTACCACACAGGCCGCACACCCGACCCTGCACACAATAAAAGGTAAGCAACACAAACGTGTATGTTTAACATAAAATAGTGGAAATAAAAAGTTTCATCAGTTAACTCTAGTGTCACAACACATCAGTACCCTGTATGATGCTGAGATGTGAACCAGGAGGCGAGTTCCCCTGTCCCAGCTGAGGGAGATGTGTTTCCCCAGCAGCAGGGTGTAAAATTGACCAGATCGGACAATCTCCACCTGTGAGCCCTGTGGCACCGGCCTCTTCATCTTTACCTGCAAGACAGAAAAATTGCACATATGGATGCATATGGAAAATTAACAGGTTAATCCTGAAGAGTTTACAATTCTCAGGTTTTCTTAGTAAGGCAGATTATAAGTTATGAATAGAGAGAAATTTATCTTTCAGTTGTGTCTGAAGATGCTGCTTTACAAACTGTGAAGTATCCTGAGGTTTAGTGAAAGATGGCAAGCAGTTTGAATGTTTGCATTTAACACATTTAGCATATGTGTAAACACTTGACTATTTTTGACCAATTAGTAAATATATGCTCATTACGCACAAGCGCCAAACTCTACTTTGTGCCTAAATTATGAATATAAGAAGTCAAGCACAGAGCCTTACGTGAAACAGAATTTAGCTAAAAGTCAAAAGATTTGGCTTCACTGTTACATTCAGGTACATTACCATTAGCTATAGATAAAAAGTTAGGTATGTAAGATGGTATGTGAGCGTGTTACCTCTCCATGCTGCATTACAATTAATCCGCCCTGGTAAAAGATTGTGATAGCTTTTGCACAACGATGTCCCACAACTCCACAGGCTTCATTTTCCACCAGCACCCTGAGGGAACCCTCTTGCCCATTGCACATATCCTATTGGTGGTTAAAGTAGAAAAACACAAAAGTATAAAAAGGATAGATATAGGAAAAGAGATGAACACCAAACTCAGCCACCCTGGGGCTCTTTTTTGAATCTTTTTGTCTCTTACCTGGACCAGGACGTATTGGCAGAGTCCAGGGAAGGAGTATTTGAGGCCATCAAAAGTGATGTAATGCCCCTCCCCAACAGTGCGGCACACACCGTCGCACACCTTCTCTGTGCATTTCCACTTTCTGTTCTCACACATGCTGCAAAACAGAAAGCCTGCTAAGCAAACACGGTGCAGCTTTTCTCCTTTACAATCAATAATAATTGTATAGGCATATGTTGCATATGATAATTTTACCAGGTGTTACAGTCCACAGATATAGTCTCTCCTGCTGCATACGGCCTGTTGTTATGGTAACAGGGACACTGGTCTGGTGTAATGCAGTCTCTGCGGTGACGTACCTGAAATCGATCCACAAATCAATCACAATGATCTGTTTAAAATGATGGCTGTTTTATTCACAACACACACACACACACGCAACACGACACAACACACCACCTACTGTGCCGGGTGGACAGAGGCAGCCAGGGATGCAGGCAAGACTGACACAAGGCAGGTCCAGATTCTGGCAGGTTCTGGCACACTCCAGGCCCTTTTCGCCTGAATCACACTCTGCACGAACCAGCGGAGGAGGGCACTGAGCTGACCGCCGCTCTGCATTCACAAAAACATAAACATGTAGTTAAGTTACATAAATTTGAGGAGTGTTTTCTAAAATGTGGAACTTTCAGAATATCGGAGTAATAAAACTAGATTTATTTCAATAAGCTAGTGTATTTTTGGCTGAGAGGACCAGAGATATGTCAACTCAGGTGGTTACTGTGTACAAATGTGCTGTCTACGAATGGTCAAATGAGAAATACACCAACCAACATTGACTTTTACGAGTTGTGGTCCTAAAAAAAGGTTTGTTAGCTCCTCTAAATCACTGAAATTGTACCTCTGGATGGTGCCAGGTCGTCGTCATAGAAGAGGTCAGACAGCAGTGAAGCTGTTTCAGTGGAACTGCAGCGCATGGCGCCATTCTCACAGTAGCTACAGACAGAAGCAAGCAAGATGACAAAAAAAAAATTTAAAGCAAATAAAACTCAAGATGTTTTCAGAGTAGTTTCTGCAGACAAATGCACAGTCACTGACCAAATGCTGTTGTGATCTGCATAGACGTCATTCGGCTGGTAGAGCTGTCCATCATGCAGGCAGGTGCACAGGTCGGCTGTCACACATTCCCCGGTGGCACTCAGGTACTTCCCAGCGGGACAGAAACAGCCCTCCTCACATACTCGCTCCCCCTGGCAGCCAGCCTCAGCTCCAGACAGAGAGCTGCATGTCCGGTCACACACACTCCCACAGGCCTCATACACCTGCCCTCCGGTGCACTCCAGTTCTGACAGCAGCATATCAGGGGAGGATTAGTCATGTATTGTCAGTTAAGCTGAGTTTCTTGCCTGGTAAAAAAAAAAATATTACAGTTGCCTCTTTCAGGACGTAGATGTTTTCACATTCCCTGTCATTATGATAGATTACATTACACTGAATAGATAGATTTGTTCTGTGGTGTTGATGTCCTCATATGCACCTACTCAAAGTTAGAAGATGTATGCAAAGGTTTGAGTTCCCTGCAGGGAAAGCATAACAAAATTATCACTAAATACTAGCTTAGCTGGGTGCCTGCACTTTTACACATGCTGCATTTACTGTTTAATTATTTTTAAGTTCAAAATGCGTCAAACTATAATTGGTTTGGTTAATGTCGGTTTACAGTAGGGGGTGTTTTTACTTCATTTCACTTCAAAAAATATGTAATCTGACAAACTTCTGCATACAACTGCATTGCTTAACAACTATTACTACAAACCTGCTGGAATGATTTTATGTTATGATCCAATGATCTTTGTGAAAAGTCTATGAGTTGATGCTGTTAATGTCCATTACCTCTATTGACCTTTGTGAGTGTGAGATAAGGACAAGATGTTCTTGGTGGGTAGTCAAAACACCATGAGAACCGTGCCTATTCTCACCCATTTGTAGGAGGTTGTTTTCTGTTTTCTGTTCACTGTCTGTATGTAAGAACCAGTGCTTCATGTTTTTAGTCAGTCACTTGTTCAGATGATGTACTGTGCATGTTGGCTCCTTGCTTCAAGTAAAACTCTGCTTTGACTTGAGAGATGACTCTGTGTGATGATTTGGAGCAGCTAGGACTCCACTGAAGGGTTGTCCTAACAAAACCTATCATTATTATTAATATTATCATATTAGTGACTTTTTTTTGTTTGGGCTGCAATTCTGCTTTCTGTCTAAAATTTTATTGACATGTTTGAATGTTTATTGCTATACGTGTGAAGAAATAATCAGCTGTAAATGTGGGAGCGTTACCACAGAGTGATGGAGACCTCCAGTTGAGCAGCACTCCTCTGGCAGTGCAGGCAGCTGCATAAGCAGACAGAGCAGAGCAGAGGCAAGCTTCGCCGTCGCTACAGGCACACACATCATACCGACAGAACCGCTGGAATGGACCCGGGTTCACCAGAAAGTGGCAAGGACTGAACACGTCTGACGTCATCACTGCACAAGCCTCTTCTGCAAAACGCACTGAAAGATGTCGCAGGATTAGAGGTTAGTGTTTAGTCACTTTCTGGGTGATGTGCGTCTCATTTGGGTGTATATACCTCTCTTGGGGTTAATGGCACATGGATCGGTCTCATGTTTGTGAGTGGATTCGCAATCTCCGTTGATCCTCCAGGCCTGGCCAAATGCCTGAGGTCCCGCCTCAACCAGTCCAGAGCCAGACAAGAAGTCATCACCTTGGTTACCGTTGTAATTACCACAGAGACCACAGGTCTGCCCCGTCCATCGAGGTCCCAGCTGGAGAGGTACACAGACATTCAGTACAGTAGCCTGCTTATCTTTTACAATCATCCTCATAATGAAAAAAAAATAATTAACATATAAAACTTGTTGAACCTTTAAAAGCACACGGCCCCGCCCATCCCAGTCCAGACGAAGGTCATCCCCAAACTTTACACGCACAGAGGTCTGAACAGATCTCTGGATGTGCAGACGGCCTGTGGAAATGCACACAAGTAACTGACTGGTTGAATTTAATATAATGCTGAACAAATTAATCATCATCAGTCACTAACAACTTTGTGTTTATATAATTAACTTCAAGGAATCCGGTCGACAGAAATATTGAAAAAGATAAATTGTTATTTAATGGTTTGTTTAGAGGCTGTAATCCAATGTGTTGTTGTTTTCCAGAATTGAACAGGTTGAAGAACAGTATTTCCAGTGCTTTATGTGATATACTTGGGCCTTATTCCAAGTTTAGCTCCATATATAATATGTTTAGAGAGACTGTGAAATGCAGCTCTTATCCACTCATCTGCTAAAGTGCCATACCATGATGCATTGGCGTCTGGATATCCATGCTGTTGACAGAAACAACTCCTCCATGCTTCAGCTTTACTGTCATGTTCTCCAGAGAGGGCAGACTGAGTGTCACTGAGCGTGTGCACACAGCATCCTGATCATCTGCACACTGAAACATAATACAAATAACTAAAATGCAAGAAATGACAAACACCCAGTGACAAGAGACAGATAAAGTATGCGGTTATTTCTCTTTTAACAGAAGAATAAATTCCTAATTTGCAATGGAAAAAAAAAAAGGATATTACCTGAACATTCTCAATTATGACTGAGAACTCGTCATGTGTGCAGTCCTTTGCCAGCAGGTACTGACAGTGGCCAGTGAAGGTGAAGAACTTGTTGTCAAAAGTCTTGAAGTGAGACTGTCCAACCACTAAGCACTCGCCTACATACAGTAAACAAGGTTATAACGTCAGATATGAGAAATCCAGGACTTCATTTACCAGTCGAATGTGAAAGTGAGTGCATCAAGTACGACTGCACATCTTTCTCACCAGGGCAGCCTTCATTGGTACATTCCCACGAACCATGACGACACACACTGTACAAAAGAGGCATTTGAGAGTCAGAAGAGTTGTACATTTTATATGAAAGTATTTCTGTCTATGTCCTTGTGTGTGCATTTTTCCCTCTAACCAGGTGTTGCAGTCCTGTGAGATGGTGGATCCTGGAGGGAAATGCCGTCCCATGTGCGCGCAGGAACACTGAGATACCTCCACACAGCGGTTACCATCCAAAACCTTACCAACTGAAACATACATACATGTTGGGTTACTACTAGAAACATTAAACCAAAGAGAGAAGCATTGGATACAGTGGGTCAGGAGTTACCGGGACATGTGCAGCCGTCCACACACTCTTCCTTGCAGACCTCCTGGATGTTCAGACTGTGGCAGGTTGTAGAGCAGGACTTGGTGCATTCACTGTACTGCATCCCAATTGGACACTTGGGGTCTGTATTGACAAAAACACATACTTAGATGATAGATGTCACTTTGTAGCCTGCTATTTCCTTTTAGAGACTGACCAACTTACAGCACTGGCTCTCCTCCAGCCAGCCACGTAGAAGTATCCCGTGAGCGTGGCATGTGCGAGCGTACTCCAGCAGGATTGGACAGTAACAGTCTTCTCCCGACCCGTGGGCACAGTGGCAGGCCTCCAGCTGACACAGCAACAGGAACGCCTCAGGAGCGACCAAGTGGGCACAGTGGAGAAACACGCTGGAGGTCTGCAACACGCTGCAGCTGGACAAAATCTACACACACATGCAAAACTATGGTTAATCTTTGAGCTATGATGTTAGATAAAGAGGAAGTATACAGCTTCAGCCAAAAATAAATGCTTAAAATGTGAGCTGCTGTGTTGTGTCAGCTGTAAAAGAGGAACAGTGGATTAGCAGTATGATATTTAGTCGGTTAGGATACATAAAATATGTGCCTATGATGATGAAAACAGGATTTTTCTACTGATTAAAAACCATAAAGCTCAATAGCAAATAGAGATGCAAAAGCTGGTCAGTATGAGTGATCCAAATTGAGGATGTTTTTAGCTCTGTAGTCAGATTTTGTGCGTTACTGCATGAATCCCAGTTGTACACTGTTAAAGCAGCTGTTTCCTTCTCAGTAGTCAGTTGACAGCGACGCAGAGAATATGTATCAGCTAGTGACAGCGACGCTGGTGCCATTTTCACACAAACATGTAGTTTTTACTGTTTTCTCACATGTAGGTGTTTCTGTGGTACAAAATGTTCTCACTGAAACTGTCTGCTTTTTTCAAATCTGCTCGCCCGCAAAGCCTACACATGTTACAGCATGCGCCCACACCTGTCAGATCTGCCTGCGTACCAGATGATCATTTTTTAAATAGACTGGACTTTCTTACCAATTGGAGCATAATGGACCTTAAACATGATATACTGTTTATAGAAACTTACTCTGAAAAAATGTGTTTCTAAATTTCTAGGTCAATGTTTGATGCATTATGAGATGTAGTGGGGTATTTTATACCTTTATCAGATGAAAGATGAAAGTAGGGACATGACAGTAAATGAAGGGAGGCAAATACAGGTAACAATGTTAACGGAGGCCCCTGAACCGAGGATGACATGGTTCATATTTGGTACCTTAACCCCAAAACCATCAGGGCACAGGATTTTGGTATTTAGTCAAAATTGTATCATTTAAAGGTGGTAAAGGCAAAAAAATAATAGATATTCCACACAATTTTAACCATTGTAGTAGGTGATTTTTAGAGACTATTTTAAGTTCGATGTTTCACTTTCACCTACTCGTGACTTAATATATATGATCAGCAAAAGTAGCCAAGTCTAATTATGACTTACAAAGCCGAAATCATGACACACCAGACAGAAATAATACTGGCTGCAGTGAGAGGTGCTTGGTCAGTAAGTGACCTGCAGTTGAAGGTTTACTGCACAGAAAAATAGAGCTGAGCATCAGAGCCTCAGATCGTCATTCTTTACTTTGTGTCTACTTCTTTTTGCGTTACCTCTTTGAACGAAACATTTACTTTATGCAAACAAATTTATTTACATATGAAATGTAGCGACATCCCCAAATGACATTCTTATGGATGCCCAAATGTGCACATTCGTGTCAGTCGTCCGCTCACCGATGAAGTTGCTTTTGTGCTGTTACAGGATTGGGTGGGATCTGAGACGCGTTGACAAGCCTGACCGGCTCCCTTTACTGCCCACGAATTTGCAAAGTCATAACTGTTCTCAGTTAGGAATCCTGAAAACACACATGTGCAGACAAATGAGTTCACAGACTTCTCCTTAATCTCATCCTACCACAACTTCGTCTTTTGCTTTCTTTTACCTTGTTATCTTTTCCTGTTCTGGGTCTCTACTCTTCCTGTTGCTCAGCGCTGGTGACTCAAATCATTTCCTAGATTCCAATAATAATGAACTCTCCCTTGTTTCACCCTCAAACGTCTACATATCTCACATACTCACACAGTTACAGCCTGCTGATTCTATCCTTCATGCGTACATACCTTCCTGAGCAGTATATTCATCAGCTGACACAGTGTTGAAGTTGCCACAGAGGCCACAGGTGCGGTTGGCGTGGTGTTTGGTCAGTGTCAGGGCGATGTTGGCTGCATTATCAATGGTAACAGTGAAGCCAAACTCCTCACTCCAGAGCTTATAAAAACCAAGCTCTGAGCCCACAAACACAGCGTGAGATGCGTAGGGCAGTGAGAGTCTACAAAAAAAATAAAGAAGACACACATCAGGTGCTTTTTGAAGGTGTTTTTTCAATATTAATACACATATACTTGATGATTTTTGCACGACAATAATAATATTCTATCATGCTACCTTTTTTCTCCTTGTGAGAGCCGTCCATCGACAGACAGGTGCAACTCAAAGGCGTCCCCCAGAAACAGCGTGACTCCAGTTCTTTTGCCATTGAGAAAGTCACCTGCAGATGCACAGCTCATTTTTTACCACAATAATGCCACTACTGTGCATCAAACTTAAACAGCCTGAAACAGACTGCAGTTTGCTCTTGTACAAAATTAAAAGTGAGGGTAAAATGTGCAAACTATTTCCAGAACAGTATATCGCTCCAAGCATATTCATTGTTTTGTTACACGAATCACAATAGCACACTAAACTGCACAGGATAGGCAGTCCACACCATTAAAATCTGTTTGTTTTCTTACTGAATTGTCTGCGTGTGACTCACCCAGCAACGTGAAGGAACGATGGCTGCAGTCGCCGGCCAGAAGGTAGCTGCAGTCTCCAGGAAACTCGTATAAAACCCCATCAAATGTGTGAACGTGGTGTCGCCCGAACAGACTGCATCTTCCTGTCATGCCTGCCACATAAGCTGGACACACACAACATATATTAATGTGCAAATGACAGCACTAGTGGAGATCTTGAATGAAATATTTCACTTATTTGCAGTCTAAAAGACAACGTCACATTTCAGTGTGAAGACGAAAACAAGTCTGGACATTCTCTGATGTGATACTCACCTGTCAGATGCAGTAGGATGCAGATTTCTTGCAAATACCTCCTGATGCACACCTGAAACACACACATAAATAGGCTTAGCATTGTCCCCATCACCTATGCAATCTTTAAATATCACATTACTCTGTGTATTATGTGCAGCTTGATTCAGAAACCCCTTTCTTATAATTCTGCAAAACTCCAGTTAGTCCTACCTCCATGGTTCCAAACTCCAGAAAAGGCAAACACAATGCAAAATTAGGAAATCCACATTCAGACCTCACATAGTCACAGATGTGATGTGAACAGAGTAAGAGGCTTTATTGCACACGCAGACCTATAACCTCACTGGAAGCTCTATTTTATAGGAAAAGCCCGATACCCCCCACCCAGCTCTCATTGGCTTTCCCTTAAGAACACTCCCCGCGCCAGGTTATGTCAAGAAGGGTTGACTTTCGTTCTTTCCACAACTTGGTGCCTGCAGACTGACACCATCAAACGCACTCAGCAAGACAATGACAGGATATGCCTACTGATCGCCCAGCTGAGTGATTAGTCTACACATGCCTATCTGTATCGACGCCAACCCAAACAATTCTTGTGGAAAACACACTTACCAGAGATATCTCACGCAATAACACTGCTTTGGTGGTGCCACATGCACAAACACATGACTCAGCTGTGCCAAAATTACACAAACACACACACACACACACGTACAGACACTGGGAATGTGTGGCAATTAACACTCTCAGGTGCAAACTTATGCAAACGTGGAAAACAGACATAAAAAAAACCATCCCTGGGCACATTTTGTAAACATACAATCCAGTATGAGCTGTGTCACATGTTCCCGAATGTAAGAAAAACATACTCTTTTCCTGTGGACTGAGGTTGTCATTGTTGCCTCTGTCTTTTCGTGTGATCCCAAGCTGACTGGATAATGTTGAGGGTCAGTGGGGGTCCCAGTATCAAGCACTGTTGCATAATGGATACATTTTAACATCTAAAGTGCCTAAAACATTTACAGAGTACTGTAGGTTTAAGTGGAAAGATATCAAGCACTTGCAGTCTGTAAATGCCCTCCGAGTCCTAACATGAAGTGGAATTGGGAATATTACATCTGTGCGGGTAGGCCATGCATGTGGAGGTGTTTTACAGGCCCTTAACATTCATGGCAAACCCACACAGATGACTAGAATTATTCTGCTTGATAATATTTTTTTTTTACCACAGGACATTTTTGCGTGTGATAGAAGTTAAAAAAAAACAGCTATTACTGATAAAAATCGATATTATATAATTGCCAACACTGTTCCAAATCTGTGACAGTGAGTCAGCAAGCACAAAAGACCTCTTTCACAGCAGACATTTTGACTTTTCACAGCGGACGAGCACAGGGTAAACATGTTGCTCACGATGGGTCACTTCTTGGAATGAGTGCCCTAATGAGCCGACATGCACGACACTAGATCACCATCAACTCTCATACTGTCTACACCGACATGGGTATCATTTAAAACGTAGCTTTTTCAGTGTCTTTTGGTCTTTATTCTACACACAAATGCAGTTTTAGGTTACTGAAAACTGAGTGTTTAGAAAATTCTTTCAAGGGTGGAGATACTCAGAAACCCATTTTGTGATGTAAACAGAGAAAACAGGGTTTCTTGGCTTGTGATGAGCGTATGCCATTATCTCCTTTGTTTATGATTTTGTGCAGCGATGGACATGGTCAAAATAGTGCTGGGGCTAACAGGATTATTTTATATGTTTACACATAAGTATACAGTTAATCTTCCCCTTTCCTGAGGAACAGAGGTGTTAGAACCAGTCCATATGCATGATTCTCTCATTCCTTCATATGTCATTATTGGTAGTCTGCCAGAATCAGTAACAGCTTTATGTCGACCTTCCAATTCGCCGATATGGCTTTGAGGTTTTATTATTGCTCTTGAAAGTGCTTCAGCTGTTTTGTTTTTTGCATTTTTATGTTGATGGAGATTTTTGTTTTTGAGGACAAAGGAGGAAAAAAACAAAGTCTGCATGTGTTTGTGGACTAATCCTGGATCACCTAAATAGGAAACAGCTGTTTTTAATGTTTAATTACATCTTTCAAGGTATGCCAACTTCAACTGTTTGCTGTGGCAAAGTCATATTTAAGGATATTAAATCTGAAGCAACTGAGTGAAACTCAGTCAGTGCCCTTCCTACACTGGCAACTGACTGGCATCTCCTTGGCTCCTCTGTGGGACTTTTTGTACATTTTAAAGCGAGACAAATTACAGTTTCTGGTGAAATCATGCAATTCCCACGACAGCTCCACCTACCTTCAGCTTGAGTAGCGCTTTAATCTGACAGAATAACTGAAAGAGATTTAATGGATGTGCAGAGCCTTGACATTGCTGAATATTTAGTGCAATTTTGGATATCGGTACGTTTAATCATGCACATTAGTGGCTCTTTCACTGTCAAATAAACAATCACTGCTGCAGTTTCAGATCTTAGGTCAGTAATACATGCTGATGATTAGTTATTTTTTGTGTGTGAGAAGGAGTAGAGGTGATCTTAACAAGGTAACAACATCATTATTCAGACTGATGTATTTTTACATTTCTTAAAACTGAAGGGCATCTTTCAGGGACGACTCTTCAACTGTGAACTTATCATGAATTTCACAACACAAGAAGAGATACACTATAGAAAAGTGTTTGAATTCTGTTTTTCAGATAGCCCCGGTGGAAAAATGGCTCACTCATTCCATTTTTTCCCCCAAGCGGTCAGCTGGCTTAGATATGGGTGAGTTTTGGCAGTTTTGTTAGTTAGATCATGACCCCAAGTGGTGACGCAGATTAGGTCTTGGCATACAGACTTGGCCCAGTATTGGCTGGATCTGCCCTTTTGGTTCAGGTGACTGTGCTCTGAACTGGCAGTGTCGACATCCGGGAAGATTCTGGGATGTCATTTATAACCATTTTTCACAACTCAGCCGAGTCAGTTCATGTGGTCTGCGGGATTTGGGTGATTATTGGGCCAAACCATTTTGGCCACCTGGGATAATCAGAATGTTGCTAAATATAGTTTTGTCTAGAGGCTCTGCAGCATTTTTCAAAAAGTAGTCAAAGGACAATTTTCAAATTAATGACTTAACATTATATTAAGTATTAGTAAATCATTTATTGACCATAAAAAATTACATACTGTTTATAAACCATTTATAAAGGCTGCCACAGTGAAAAGTTAAATCTCCTAACAACTGTTCAGAAAGCTTGATGCATACAGCAGGTCCTACTTACAGCACAAACACTTAGAAACGATAAAACGGTTGTGTTTTAACAACAGGGGGTTCACCATAGTGGTGCGCCGTTTGTGAGATACGTCGCTCGCGAGGACACCCTGCTCGTGCACCGTGTTCATTCATGTACAGTATATTAAATCCGTGAACGCGCTTTTCTTATTCTGGAAGAATTACGTCAACGCACCGGCCAGAGTGCTGCAGGAACTTGCAACCAACAAGCACACAACGGGCTGCCGTTGTGCATTGTTACAGACCATTGTGTGCAGGAAGGACACACATTGAATGCAGACTAGAGGTTCTCTGGCCAAACACAGCTGAAGACTACAATTTGAAAATGAAATAAAGTCGAATAATCTGTAATTTTGTTATGGAAATACTACAAAAAATTGCCACCCATTTATACATGTATTGCTGGAAAGTCCCGCACAATTTCTGGAGGACGAGCGCAACAATAGTATCCTTTGATTTGGAGCCAAAAATACAATTGGCAGTTTGAAAGGGACGAGTGGTGAACTAAATTGCCAGGGAGAAACAAAACGGAGGAGCTACAGGAGGCTGTGCAGCCGTGTGGGGGCGGACCACTACAGGCGCGCACTGCACGACGCGCGTTAGCGCCGGCGCGTCGGCAAATAACCTCGTTCTGCATACTGACTGTTATTTAGAAGCTCCTCTCCGCTATTCTCCCGTCGGTCTGAACTGGTGATAGCGGCTCCAGTGCGATCCGCCATGGCCGCGCTGTCAGGAGGAGAGATGTGCATCAAATACCTGATGTTTGCCTTCAACCTGGTCTTCTGGGTGAGTCTGGGGGCGATAAAATGTTTTGTTCTTTTATGCCTCCTGTCTGTGTTTTATTGTGTGCCCGCGCGTGTAAACGTGTGTGAGCCCGGCGTGCACGCGCATCCGTGCGAGTGCAGGTTACTATAGTGAATGAAATTGAAATTATACGGTGTCCCAGATGCAGAATCGTGCCGAGCGCTCACGGGGGGTGTCGGTTACTTATCACAGGATGTTCTCGGTTAATGATTTATGGCACTGGCCACCACTGAACACAAAGTGTCCCAATGTTTGTGGAGACCGAGCGGGCTGGGAGAATAATCCCCAGTGGCCAAGTGACCCAGTTCTACCGCGCACTCTGGACTACACTCCGGAGTTTGCGCGCATGGCATTTTAATAATTGCAACGAGGGAGCAGGGAGGGCTTTATGGTGGTGGAGATTGTTACAGATATAATGTTAACTAAGACTTCTGCTCCGGCAAGAGTTGCTGGTGCCGGCCTGCGTGTGCGTGCCACAGTGCATGTGCGTGAATTGTGAATCTCCCATATAGGGTATTTGTATCCCACTGAGCCTGCAGGGTGTGTCTGTCCGCCTGTGTGTGATGTGTGTTTGTGTGGTTTCACATGGATGTTTTGTCCTTTTATGAACGTTTGTAATTTGTACAGCTATATATAGAGCTAAGCCCAGTCATTCATTACAGGAGAGACAGGGATTTCCCCCTCTGTGTGTTTGCTTAGCTTTTGTGTGAGAGAGAAACTATCCAAAGACAACTAATTTGCAGTATTCAGATGATTAAAGAATGATTTTAATCAGCTGATCAGTTATTGAAAATAGGAAATGATAAACAAGCAAGTCTAAAGTGTAACTCTTAATCAACAGATTTTGGTCAATACACAGGCAAGCTTGCTCAACCCCCACCATCCTCATGTAAGTGCAGATGCTTCCCATATGAGGTGGATTAAGCATGAACTGAAAATGTGACACACTTTGGTCATAGATCAGTTCATGCAGCCACAAATCACATGGCACACATATCTGATCACAGCTGAATTTGGACACAACAGACTGTGTATGTGCAGCTCTGTGTCAGTGCACCAAGAGCAGAGTTGACAAACAATAAAAGCAGAACCTGGGTGTAGGAATGGGAAGTAACAGCAACCTATTAAGTGTAGTCTCCCTCAGTTCAGACACCAGAGCAGTAAGTATGCTGCTAAGCAGGTATTTTGCTAAATGTTTTATGTCAACGTGCCCGTACAGAGCCCTCTGTGCTGCTCCCGACCAGATCATAGAGGCCTGTATGGCCGCATGACTTGAACACGGGTCGTAGTTGGAGGCACAAACTGTCTACGCACGAACGTGAAACAAAAGAGAGGAAGGAACACAGGCAGGACTTTATATCACATACACAATGGGGGTCAGTTTGTCCAATAACACTCCCACTCTTGCCACTCCCTAACTGTGTAATCAGGTGATCACACTAAGGCGTGGCACTGAAAAATGCTTTCCCTTTCCACCACCTATTGCTTTTCCTTCTTTACGGAAAGAAAACAGTTGGTAAACTGTCATAGCAGTGGACTGTGCAAACGGATTCAGCATGGCTGTCGTTGGGGGAATCAAGTGTGTGAAATATCTCATGTTTGTCTTCAACTTTTTCTTCTGGGTATGTGTACTTTACTTTTTTTAAATCACATTTTGTGATGTGTGCAAGAGATAGAGAACTTTGTGCCTCTGTGAGTAAGCTTTTTTTTTCTGGACAATAGAACATATAAGAGAAAATACACCAAATTTTGTACACAAAGAAAAACAGAATAACAGAAGAATAAACACAAAGAGCACACACAGTGGCACTCTCACACTTTGAATAAAACAGACTACCACCTTTCAGCTAAGCTCTCAAAGTTAAAAATTCACTGGTCTGTCTATACTGACAAGCCTTGAAAGTGTGTGCCTGTGTATGCACATTAGACAATACAACACAGCCCACAGACATTTACAGTCTAAAGAACAGAGTTTTGAGCTATTTTGTTCACACGCTGTGTAAAAACACTCATCAAGAAAAAAGAACAGTGCTACGAAACAGAGCACGGCTACACCTGCGTGTTGATGGATTTATGTGCTACTTTGTGCCAATATTAAAAGTTGCTGAGTAAGGTAGCGTGTGAACATACCATCTTCTCTCTTCTACTATCAGCCTCAGACACGAAAAGCGTAATATTTCGATATAAAGTAGAGTTGAGTAATAGGAATTGCTGCGGAATTAGTCATTTTTCAGCGATTAGCCATCATTAGATTGTTGCTTCCTGCAATGGGAATAGCAGTGTGTACGTAGAATAGAAATTTAGCCCTGTGCTGTCTAGACTCTAGTGTTGTTGTTGTTGTTTTTTTTCTTTTATATCAAACATGGAAGACACTTTCCTAGACTGAAATTTAAACAGAAAAACTGCAAAGATGAGACCTGACGAAGGAGTCCAGATGGGGCTTGTCAGTGCAGATTTGAAATGACAACTGGAAGCAGCTCTGAGGAGTTTTAAACCCAGACAGCAACAAGACTTTTTTTAACTGATGTTTGATGATTCGGCTGACAAGTGGGAAATACTCATAAATATGGAGAGGGCAGCTGTATTAAAGTTCTCTGAACTTCCATTACTCAACAGTGTACAGAATACATTTAGTGCTAAGTGCAGGATTTTATGTTATGTAAAAACATGTGCTCTTGTGTGTTTTAGCTTGCAGGCACTGCTGTGTTTGCTATAGGCCTGTGGCTCAAGTTAGACCAGAAGACCAAAAGCCTGTTTGAAGGATCAGACTCTCCATTTGTGTTTTACACAGGTAAGATTCGTTCAGTTTCTTGAGCAGGCATATTATCCAATATCATTTAAATAAACTTTTGATACTGAGAGCTATGTATTTGTGTAAATATGTATATATGTGTGATACACTGTATATGTGTGTAGGTGTATATATCCTGATTGGAGCCGGAGCACTAATGATGGTGGTGGGTTTTCTGGGATGTTGTGGGGCCATCCAGGAGTCGCCCTGTATGCTGGGACTGGTTCGTAACCACTTATTTTTCATGTAACTCTTGCTTGATATTTTACGAGCTCACTCAGCAGAACTTGTTATCCCATTTTAGCAAGTGTGGCTTGTGGACTGACCTTGGGCTCACTACGAAATATGAGATGTCTGCCTTCATCATTGTTTACTTACACTACAACAGTGTCAAGGCCAGAGAAGAGTCTCTACATTTCTCTGTGCCTGCTCCCTTTGCCCAACCCCTGTCTGGCCGTAATCTTCTTGTACTAAATCTCTCGGGAGGAGGAGCCTATGAAAACTGGGTTCAGCTACACTCAGCTGACCTTACATGTTCACACATGCGTGCAAAAGACATGTGCACAAGCATGCATGGAGGCAAATCATCAGCTGAGTTTAATTCTGTGCTTCCTTTTTACAGTTCTTCTTCTTCCTGCTTATCATATTTGCGGTTGAGGTAGCAGCTGGAATCTGGGGATTTTCCAACCAAAGCAAGGTAACATAAACATTAACAATTGCAACACAACCACCTCAAGGTACAACCACTTTACGTAGATATACTAAAAACACAAGAGGCAACTTCCTTAGAAAAAGTACCAGGTTGGAAAAGCACAAGCTGAAAAATGAAATAAGTTACCTATTAAACAAGACGAGTGAACTCATTTTAAAAAAGGCAAGGAAGAAACATTACATTGATGTGTGTGAATGATGTATACAATAAATATATTTCACCTGGTTTGCTGTTGTGTTGCAGGTGGTGGGTGACATCACAGCGTTCTACAGGCAGACGTACAGCAACTACAGGTCAACAAGAGATGAGCGACTAAAAGAGACACTGCGGGTGATTCAAGCCGAGGTGAGTCATATCAGACATGTTATTGAGGGACGTGACACCCAGAAGGACTTTGGCCATGTCTGCTACATTTCTGCTTCATTGTTATTTAGACTGCAATCTTTTTCTAAACTTGTCATAAAAAAAGTATTTCCAGGCGAACGCAAGACTTTTGCTTTCCGTAATGTCTATGAGTTGCAGATTCAGCAAACTATCTGAAAAGAAAAGTTCAGCATTTTTAAGAAGTTCCTGCTTTCTTTGTGAGAATTAGATGAGAGGATCGATACCACTGTAATGTCTGTATTTTGAGTGTGAAGCACACATTGTGTGGGAATTAACCTAGTTTCACACAAAGACTGGAAGAAGGTGGAACAGTGAGCCTTCAACGGACAGAAATCTTGCCTGCATATTGTGTCTTTTGTTCATTTCTGTACAAACAGAAATGCCAACAATGATTTCATATGTTAGAGGAAGTTATGTGGTTTCTTCATCAGCACATCTTCAGCTCTACTTGCATGGCAACCTCACTGTGACAGCAAGATTTCAACCACGATGTTGAACTATTCCTTTGAAGTGACTAGAAGGTTTTGTTTTTTTTTTTTCTTCCCCCCCCCCCAAGTCATCTTGTTCTCTTAATTTATGATTTTTTTTTCTCTGTTTACAGCTGAACTGTTGTGGTCCAAATGGTGGGGTCGAAGAACCTGAAAAAGACATTTGTCCCCGGGGAGAACCACTTGAGGAGCTCATTATTAAGGTACAACTTCCCTCGCATGTGTATATAAATCAGATGCCAACACAACCAGGGCCTGCAGTCAAGAGACAGAGAGCAAAAATAATATATCATATTTAAGAGACCTTTGAAAATACCTTTGACATGCTTCATCTGTGTGAGACCTGGGGGTGACCACTGTGTATTACATTCATTATCATGGTCTGGTGTGTTATAAGTTTATCAGTCTTCCCTTTGCAGACCAATTCCCTCAGCCTCCTTGCAAGTGTTACTATGGCAACAATGGTTTACTGGCGCCTGCATGCTCTAAGGCTGTCTGCTATGCGCGCCATACCACAAGTCATGTTCAGCATAGGCTTGAAGAAAGCTGAAAGAAATTGTGCTTATCTGTTGCAGAGCTGCCCTGATGCCATTGATGAGGTGTTTGACTCCAAGTTGCACATCATAGGAGGAGTTGGCATCGGCATTGGCGTTGTTATGGTGAGCGGATGACTGGTTTAACTGGAAATCATCCTCTTTTAATGTCTGCAGCTGTGGAACATGAGATAGGATACAAATCAAATAATGCTCTCTTTCTCTCTCTCTCTCTCTCGCTCTCATAGGTGTTTGGGATGATCTTTAGCATGCTCCTGTGCTGCGCCATCAGGAAGTCTCGGGAGGTGGTGTGACACCCACCTAAAGTCCTTGTTAATGTTGCATGATGTCATTCCTGGAGTCGCATGACTCTCCACTGCCAATAGAAACACTGCTTGTTCAAAGGGGGATAACCTAAGCTAAGCTGGGTGCAGATATTTCTGATTTCAAACTACATCAGTTCTAACTGTGCTGCTGACACTTGGGCCCACCTTCCTGGACTAGATAGATGCAATGTGGTTGTTAGGCCCAACTATAGAATGGGTGTCATCTGTGCTTCAGTGGCAGTGTAGTACAGAAATGTGTAATTTTGTGGCAATTTGACTAAAATTAGTGTTTGTGAACTGCTAATTATCTAAACAAAGGATCATACTATTGTATACTGATCACATTTCTATTGCTATCACTTGGGGTCACCTACTGGCAAGAACAGTCACAGTCCAGGGCCAAAAGAAAAAGGCAAACACCACCACTTCAGCACAAAACAGCAGTAGCCAACGAATACAACTCCTTTTTCTTACAACACTGAAGTAAAATCATGGTGACTAGTAGCCAACTGAATGCCGAGCTGTAAACTATGATGACTGTGGTTTTACCCAGCTTGGTATTAGAGTAGCATTTAGGTTCCTTTGTCATAATGTTGTTTCATTTCTTCCTTTACTTTCTTTAACCACCTCCTAATTTGCCCATGTTCGAAACGCCTTTTGATTTTGTTGTCATATTTTGTAAATGTCTTCTTTTTTTATTCAGTAAGATTTCTAATGTTAGCTGTTTATATGGTACACGCAGTTTGATGATGTATTTTATAATGTCCTGTTCATTTTACAGAGATTGGGTTGATTTACACCATATGCACTATGTTTCACAGAGACAAATATTATATGATGAGCCAAATAAAGTAAAATGTACTCGACTGACTTTGTATTTTATTATGGCCTGCAATCACACACACACATATCATGAGTCAAATGACGTGTAGCGCTGTAATCTTTAACTAGGCCAGGTTTCAGGTCACTTTGTAAAATGTACCACTAAGATTTCTGTTATCAAACTGATTCATAAATAACTGACTCTGCTTGGCTTGCATGATACAGGGAGCATAGAGAGGGTCAAAAGAGTGTGGGTGTTTTGATAAAACTGACAACATTCATGTTTGCTTCCATGTGCGCAATGGGGAAAAAAAACATTGTAAAAACTCTGGGCTTTCCCCCCCTTTGATATTAGCGACCATTACCGGTGACTCATGCAGAGCATAAACAGCGACAACAACTACTTTTGTTTTTGGGTTATCCCGTCACAATTACTTGGAAAATTTACGATCAAAACCAAGGACTCAGTACTTCCAGTAAACAGTAGGGTTTCTGCATGGTTGGGAGTCTCGTTAATGTCCAAATGACTCACCATTTCCCCCAAAAAGATGTGAAAATAGAGTTGGTGGTCCCTTGATTACAGCACGAGGAAGTGCACTATGATTTGGTTGTTGACAGCCGGGTGTTGCCCTCTCAAACGCCTCTCCCCCACCAAGAAGATAACACTGATTATGAAAAGGAGTGCATATATTTGTGTTGATGTGTCCATGTTATTCTGTGTGTGTGCTTTTTATGTAACCGAACGTGTAGTGGCCAGGGTACTGGGGCAGGAAATAGATAAGGGAAAGAAATTTTAGGAGGAAAAAAAAGAGGAAGCAGACCAACATCAACACACAGTAGATAAACGTTAAATTGTTTAATAACTGCACATTCCGCACTGTGCAGAGATTAACCGAGGGTTGTTTTGTGTTTTCTCTTTTACTGTTATTGCAAAAAGTAGCCTTGATTCAGAACAGAATGGTACAGAACCACCTTAGCATTTTATCAGCTCTTAAAATGCACTCCACAACAATACTCCCATGAAATATAGTTTTGTATTTCTGCAGAAGCACAAAAGGCACGTATTGTAAATATATTGCAGCAGGACAAACAAAAAAACATACCGTAGCCACAAAAACTTCTGTTGCAATCTGCATTAAAGTTCAAGTTATTCTGTGTGACTTTTGAATGGTACCTGAGTCAGTAACTACCAACAGAAAAAATGCTCATGGCTTTCATATTGGCACACAACAAAATCTCACTCCTCAGCCTCGTCCTCTGTGCTTTCCCAGGAAGTGCCGACGAGTCTTTGTGATTGTTTGTGTAAGGCAGTCTGCGTATGCAACACGGTGTCCAACCGGAGGAGACTTTTGACACACTGCAGCACAGCCAAAAGCAGCTGGTATTTACAGGAGACAGATTCAAGGCCCAAGTCCAGCATAATAACTTTTGAAGGCATGTCATCTTTTTTACAACAATGCAAGCTCACTATTCCATCCTCTAGAGGACCTTCACTCTGCATGTGGCTTGCTTTGTGCTCTTGCTTATAGACAAGGTCAAAACGATTTGAAACAAAACTCATGACCCTGGTTCGAGTGTGCAGGAAACGTCGAGGACTGTGGGAGTAAATTTGTTGGGGCACGCTTAATAAGGCGTTGGCCAAAAGCTGGGAAACAGGGACACCAATATTTGCGTCATTCGAATCTGAGCAACTGCGTCTATGTTGCTGGAGGGCGTGGTTTAAGAGAAACTCAAATGTCCCACCTGCAGGTATCATGCAACCTGGCTGTAGCACACACTTATGGAGAGGATGTAAATTGAAGGATGGGTATTTGGTGCTGTCTGTCAGATTGTCTGTAAATGAAGATGTGCATTTCGGTGATTGCAAGGTTCTCTTTGATGCTGTAGTTGTAGACGCACGCATGGGCTCCCAAGTTGTAAGCAGCATGAGAATGGCATCACGAATTGCACATGCGTACTGGTCAGTTTGTCCTTCCCCTGGGCCACAAATGATGAGACTACAGGGTTTGGCCATGACCCTTTCTTCTGAATCATAGAAAGTCATGTGGACATACCTGTTAAAGAGAAAAAGATGTCTGTTAACCACACCTGATGATAAAAACCTCAGTGATCAAAGTCTGCAGATTATAGGTCTGTATAATCCACAGGAATTCTTTGTATGCAATATGTGGCTTTGTATGAGTGAGAAGACAGGCATGTTTTCATACCTGTGGGCTCCCAGCAGTATTGGTCGGCAAAAAGTCAGCGTAGCAATGTGCTCTGGTTCAATTCTCCAGCAGTCTGAGGTAGGTCTGGCCCCACTTAACTGGGCAAAGACAGACAGCTCATCTTCACTAACACACTCAACGAAGCACATCTCTGCCTGTGTGGCTAAGGCCAGGACTGCAGCAGACTGTTTCACTGCAGACAGAACCACAGAGACACCCAAAGACTTCAGGTTTGCAATGACGCACTCTAGTGACCTTTCCGTCCATGCACTGAAGTGCACAATACTTCTTTCCTCCGTCACTCCAAAACCCACCTCAAGCACGTCTCCTGTGTGGAGCAGTTTTGGCTGCAGGTCCTCAGTGACAACTACAGCTTTAATTGGCTGGTGGTCAGTCTGAGGGCATGGTGTAGCAAAGTCCCTGTGAATCACCTGCCCCTCAATCAAACGTGAGGAGCTAATAGGGAAGCCTGACACAGGCGTATGCAGCGCAGGGAAATTGTCATTTAAAAACTGAAGTGCAAAGGAGGGCAGGCCATTTGTAAACTTCCAACGATTGAGCAGTTCACATGTGAGCTCACTAACAAAGTCACAGTGTACGTAACCAAGACGTGTATGAAAAAACGACGCTAGTAGCTTTTGAACATAGTGATTGTTTGTATGAGCTGCTGACTGTGTTTTTGCAGTAAAATCCTCCCACGAAACCGAGCATCCATAAGGGGCCACTTCCATGGCAATGAGATCATCCAGCTCCTTCAATGCAAATGCTAGCAGTTTGTCAGCCAAGTGTCTGGCAGTGGTAGCCTCTGCTGCTTCCAGGGAGTTATAAGAATGAGACACATGAGGCTCCTTGCTGGCTGTTGTGTGAATCATCCGTAGTAATGACGCCAGCAGTAGGATAAAGGTCTTGGATCCATCGCCTGTTACTGTGCTGTGCTTCCAGACACACTCCACCACCATCCTAATATAAAAATAAAAACACACACACACACAAATGCATCACTAGAGAACTGTAAGTAGATTAAGGGTTGTGATAGTGATAAGTAAATGTCTGCTGTGCCAACCTTGCCAGTGGATGCTCCAGGTGCAGTGCTCTGAGAATACGTGTCCCACTGCGGCTCAACATCGCCTGTCCTGTGTCTCGGGTGAACAGCACCTGTCCTCCTTCAGGGCCAAAACTGCGAAGGATGACTGCTTCCAGGACACCCACTGTCTGTAGGACATGTTTCAGGTGGAGATGCTCCAATGGCAGCATCCTAACTCCCTTGAATGTACACACCCTGAAAAAGAGAGGAAGCAAAACTTTTAACTGCCAGTACGTAATATACTTAAACAACATATACTCACCCTGGCTTTTTAATTGTTGTTTATACATGAGTCATCTTAACAAGTCATTAATTGGATTTAGCATCACAAGTAGTGTCTGAAAATAAGATGATGGCGGATCAAACACAGTCAAATGCAACTTTTGAAAACATTTAAACATTAAACATCTGTGATCACCGGACTCTCAAATGTCTACTAGAGGATAGACAGACAAGTGACTACAGCACAGATCTTTACAGGTCAAGCAGCTGTACAGTTGGAAGACACGGAATGCTGGCAGGCCGTGTGTTAATTAAGGGATCTTGGATTTCTTGGCTGACAGTTGGCCTAGTGGCTTCGATAAGGAATTAGAGCAGTCGTTGGAGCAGAAACAATGAAGGGTAGATGTTAAGTGTGGCTGAAGAAGGCTGAAGGTGTTCAAACATGCCATGTGCTATCAGTGGGTCAGTTACACAAAACACATTTTCTGCCTCAAACCCCATTATCCCAGCTGTGTAGACACAGCATTGTCTCTTAGACTTATCTGTAAGTTAAGGGGAGGTAGTGGAAACAAGATAAACATTTTTTTTGTTAGTTTTAAGTCTACATACTGGGACAGTGCAGCTGTAAATTACATTACATTAAACTAACCCTCTCGTTTTCTGTTTTTTGTTCTGGTTTTTAAACCTGTAAAAACCTCTATGTAATCGTGCATACTACACAAGCCCTGAGATCTTAGGAGGCAGCACTGAACCATAACAGTACACTCCCACAGCAGCCAGAAAGCTCGCAGTATATTTCAGTCGGAGTGAATGTGAGGTTTGTCCGTGGACAGTTAATGCTACTACCAGTCGGTCGTCAGTGTTTAATCTGTTGAAGTCTTGTCATGTGCTGTGCTCTTCCTCTGTCATTATCTGGTCATTAAACTCATAAATAAGCAATAAGCAACTAATTTCAGTTTAACTTAACTAATGGGCAAACTCGATTATAATCCCTTCGGCTAGCTACGTTAGCATCTTCTAGCTAAGTAGCTAGCCGTATCAACGCGCTCAACACACGCAAGCTTATTTTTCAAGGAGCACTAAATAATACTTAAAAACAATATCCTGGCCTCAGAAAAGGGCATAATAACCCCTTTCTTTAAAAGTGATTTAATCTGACAGGACTCACCTCCAGCCCAACAGGAACGCTCTCCTGCGTCGCCTAGAGACGAGTCTTCTTCTGTGGTTCATGTGCTTCAGGTCAGAAGCGACTGCTGCCACCTGGCGTCTGACAAGCAGCACTGCTACTCAAGTAATTACAAGTAACTGAGCAGTGATTTTTATTACTTGTATTGATATATTTAGGTGCTCTACAGGTGATAACAGATATCAACATGAAACATCCCAAGTCCAGTACTTAGAATAAGATTTTTTTTAGGTATTATATATATCTAAACCCTCCTAACCTGCATTCATTTCCAGAGTAGAAATCTGAATACTAGGTGAAGTCAGGTAAAAAAAAAAAAAAGTTTCATTTTCCTGTATAATTGTCAAGTAGTCAGCTTGTATGGAGGGAATCTCATTTTATTACATCATAAATCAGAAAATACAGTTGAGATACAGGAGGGGAAAAGAAGAAAAAAAAATCAATCTTCTTCCTGTTTTTAGAAATCAAATCTTTTATAATAAATCAGGCTATGAATGATATATGAACAAACCCTTCAGCAAAACCTTCAGAATAAAGAAATAAAACCAAAAGGCTGCTATTGAAGTGGAGATTTCTGGCTCAGAGCATGAGAGAAAAAACTCATATCAAGAAAATAGCTTTTAAAGATATGTATTGTAACTAAAACTTACTGATACACAAAGTGCTGTAAAACAAACACTAAAATACGTATTTTGGATGTTTTCTTTACTTTAGTCTCACTAGTATTTATCTGTAGTATCTTGCTGTAATATATCTATTTTGACGTTTACGTAACATATATTTGTAATTATTGTGATGTGAACAAGGGCTTACTGCATGTATAAGTGGATGATAGTTTGGATGTCCACATGAATAATTGGTCTGTGTACTCACCTTGTAGTTATGACGCAGTGCTGATTGGTGTAAAACATTTGCAGCCCAGTAGGTCTTCAAAACGATGATATGTCACTGTAAAGCAAGACGTAAATAATTAAGTTAATGACTGCTGAAATTTAGTTAGTGGCTTAATTTTTTCAGGGTTATTGTGCTATTTTGCTGGCTCGCTATCACACCGTCATTTCTTATTAAGAATGCCAGTGTCAATGTTATTATTGCTACTTCTTTTCTTACTTGTTAATTTTCACAAGTCAAAATGTCATGTAAATGAAATGCAAATGAAAATCAGTTTTTTTTTTGTCCATTAAATTCTCTCTCCTTCAGTAGAGTCCGTCTGCAGACATTTATCATCCTTATCTGAGTTTAGACTGTGCCGAAAATAAAGAAATACCCCACTTCTAAGTTAAAATAACTGTTGTAAAAATGTTTGTCAAATGAAGTACTCAGAGTGCATATTTCTATACATCATGAGCAGAGGTTATGTCGAGCTCCGTCTTCCTCACCCATCCCCTCCCCCGCCAACCCCTCTGTTTCCCTCTGTCTCATCCCTCCTTCTGTACAGTATCTGTGGAACCTCAAGGTGAACTAGGCGGGGCCGGAACCTGATCTCTGTGTTGCTGCAGAAACCACATCCTAAGTTTCTAAATCAGGCAACATCATCTATACATAGACAATATGAGACAGTTCTGCAGCTCCTGCCAGATGTACGCACACAAACACACACACATACAGAGCTGTCCACTCTGAATGTAAATGTCCTCTATTGCTGAACTCTCAGTATGCTAACGAGCCTTTAAAAAGCCATGTCACTTCGCTAATGAATATGCATCAGCGGCCCGGTGAGGGTGACCTGTAGGGATGGGACAGAGGTCACGAGAGGTGGGGCGTCAGGAAGAAGGACCGGCGCTCCCGTGAGACCTGAATGGACAAAAAAGAACACATTCACCCCAAGACATAACACACCCACACACAAACAGGGAATCGACACAAGATGACTGAGCTGCAGCTTCACCTATACCAACCCCAACCCTATCGGGTCCCACCCTCTCTCTCGTTCTCTCTCGATCCAGCTCTCGCACACCTGCACTGCTCTTCCTGATGTCTAAGAACTGGTGGGACACAAAAACAAAAGGGGCAACGTGCTGATACTTACCTTACCTCACCGTTTCCCTCCGCCTCTTTGGTCATCTTTTCTCCTCCTCCACCACTTCTCTGTAAGGAAAAAGGAGTACCTGTGAGTCCGAATATTGCAGCCGGGACGTGTGATTACAGGTATGTTTTCTGGATTAAATTTTCCTCTTTGTTTCATCATTTAAAACAGCTTTAATGAATTTCTATCTAAACTGTGCTGAGGGAAAATTAACAGTGTACAAACTCAAGGATGCACAAAAGATTACAAAAAAATATGAATAATTAAGTCTGAGCAGTTCATTGTATTGTTAACTGGATAAACAACACGATGACCATGATTAATTTAGTAATCCTGAATTCCTGTTTGAGTGATTTTCTTTTCACTCAATTAAAAATATTAAAAACAGTTGTACAGAGGGTGAGAAATTCAATGTCAAGCTGAAAACAAGGCTGTTTTTTTTCTAATAGTGCCTTACACGTGGCATTTTAGACACATAAAGCCTTTATCTCACAGTGATAGTAAATGAAATACAGTATATTGTGCATGTATTATGATGCATTAGATCCTGCATATGTGATGTGTGCAGTGTTGGTTCAGGTGCATCATTCATCTCATTATCCTACTGCAGTGTTTCTATCTGTCTAATCTATCTTTTTACTATTTATTTACTTTTTTCCTCACACTGTCTCAAAAGCACATTACAATCTAAAATCATGCTTAAAACACAAGTTAAGAATATCCCTATCAGAGCACTGCCCGTATTACATATGCTGTTTGGCATCACTGCTCCTGTTTGCTCCTGCAGCTGTTAAGTGTATCAGCGGTGGTTTTTTGTTTGAGCCTATCTTTTCAGACAAAACCGGTGTACAATCCAGAAAATGCAGACATAAACCCAGATCAGTGTCTGCTTGGGTGTTTGATCCTTATCTGCTGATTCAGCCCCAGATACTCAATACCAGTAATGTCTGCAGAATAGAAACTAACATGCCAAAACATTTTCACACTTAGAGTCACATTTTGGCAATGGAACTTTCCTCTCATTAAGTTTGTTTGCCTGCACTAAACTTGACCTTGGCATATAATTCTCACCTCTGGCAGCTCAGTATGGAACAGCAGAGGTCCACGCGTGACGCCTCAACTCCCCCCGCCTCACCCCGCACCTCACTGTCAGCAGGTTTGGCAGAGGCAGCAGCTTTCATATCCTGTGTTCAAGTGTTATTGCCAGGCCAGCAGAAAGAAGAGAAGTCATTTGACACTGATGGTCATTTGGAGTCTATAAGCACATTATTGCTTCAAATGTCTGATCAATAGAATTTATGAAAACTCTGCTTTTTTTTTGTGTCGGGAGTGTTTAGGTGGTTTGTTTGGATGGATCTTCAAATGAAATTCTTGTATTTGCATCTGTAACTTATTTTGTTTTGGTTGAAGTGTGATGTTCTGTATATTCTAAATGTTGTGATTCTTTTATTGGCTGAGCTATCCCTTTTCTGTATCTCTGCCAGTTAAATTCTGAATCCACTGTGACTCCTGCAACAATGACTGGGATCCGTCGAGCTGCCCCGAGCACCTCATCCGTCCCTACGAATTTGCCAAATGCAACAGCCACACCGGGCCAAAAGCAATCTGGGGGCCAGAGTCCCAACAAGTTCATGAATGAACTACACCACATCCACAGTGAGTTAGAACTTCATGTCACATTAAAAGTCTTGACACTTAACTGGGACACACATCCAAGCACAGGAGCCAGAGGACAATTTAGGTGTAATCATGTAAGTGAGGGAGCTAATGTTATTTTATACTATACATGGGAATTTGGGGAATAACTGGATGACTGCTCCGTCTTGTTAATGAAATGTGATTGAGGCCGCAACTCACACAGTGTCGAGATATTCGAAAGGCGCAATATTTAAAATCTACAAGATTTGAAGTTGGTTGAAGGAATCTGTTTCTGAATGGAGAACGGTCAAACTGCTTATGCCCAAACAAGCATTTGCTCTAAAGGGACAAATATACCACATTAAAACTGCATACAAGATGGTAGAAGCACCTTATCTGTTTGTTTGCCCTTGTGTAGAAATATTCCATTTCATTGTTTTGATTTTTTGGCTGCATTTCAGACCAAGCAGCACTGCCCCCTGATATGTGCATGTATAATATACTGGCAGATCAAAACTGCAAGCCATAAAGAATCTTGGATTTGAATATGTCCCTTGACGTCAGAGTTCTACATAATTTTACTGATGCTTAACGACAAACAGAATACACAGAAGATGGACAAATGATAACACCTTACAGCATATTGTAATCCAGTACTACACCACCACAACATACTACAATATATTTGCCAAAAATACCAGAGTACCGACTTGGATTGTGCTGCATTTCCCAGTGTACCTGATGTTTTGTTCACTTTGTGTATATATGAATCAGACAGCATAGAAAAAGTTGTGTTTTCTCTACTATTTATTCTAAAACTAGTTTGGGGGGAGTTTTAGGGATAACGTCTGGAACACTGAGTTCAAGCGGCTGACTAGAAGTGTGTGTAAAATATTTATGCATCGTCAATGTGTGTGTGTGTGTGTTTTTGTGGATTCGCAGTGCCATCATGGGCTGTTGCTGCACTTTGCATCGTGAGCTTGTGTGTGGTGCTGTCGTGCGCTGTGTGTGTGTGGAAAAAGTGCTTGAAAAAGAAGGACAAGGACAAAGAAAAAGAAAAGGACAAGAAACAGGGAAAAGAGAAGAGCAAGGGAGGTTTTGACACTGAAATGGAAGGAGGTTACAATGAGGTAAGCTGCACACACACACACAGACACACACACACTGACGCCTGCTGCAGACGCATTGTCCTTGCAATGTATCATGGTCCTGACATCCGGGTCACCCAGGACTAGTAAAACTGTCAGGGCACATTAAGACTAATGGATGTCTTGCACATCCCTTATGTTATAGTAAAACTTGAGGTGTAAAATAAGTTGTTTACGAGGGTTGGACTGTCTTCAAGGATGCCTGTCACATTTATACAAACTGTCACTGTAAAATCTGCCTGCCCCTTTTAAACAAAAAAATAAATGTTCGACTGTAGGATTGTTGTGTCTGGCTGTGTAATGCTACACAAAACATTGCTGTGACATTGGACAAATTGCTGCTGCATAATTTGTCAGGCACATTAGTTATGATGCGTTTTTCTTTTTTTTTTTAAACTTGCATTTGATGTGTGTTTATGTGTGTGTGCAGCCCCTAAAAGACAAACTAAACAAAGAAACAGATCTGTCAGATAATGAGCCCAAGGAGGATGAGAAGCTGGGCCGACTACATTTCTCATTAGATTACAACTTCACAGATAATACGGTGAGCTGCTGCAATTCAGTCTGACATGTTTTTTTTTTTTCCTTCCATCTGCCAACTCTAAAATGTCACATTTTCATACTTCTCTTTTTTTCTGTCAATTAGCCAGATTCACTTTTCTCTCTATTACTTTCCTCTGCTGTCACATTCTAGCTGGTGGTAGGCATCCTGCAGGCTGCAGAGCTTCCTGCGATGGATGTGGGAGGCAGTTCTGACCCTTACGTTAAACTCTATCTGCTACCGGACAAAAAGAAGAAGTTTGAAACCAAAGTTCATAGGAAGACTCTGGAACCCAACTTCAATGAAACTTTCACTTTTAAGGTAAATAAACACAAATACCGTTACTCATCCACATTTGGGTAACTATCTGCATACAACATGTTTCAAATGACCATGTTTGATTTGTGTAGGTAGCGTACACTGAGCTGGGCGGGAAGACACTGGTGATGACTGTGTACGACTTTGACCGCTTCTCAAAGCACGACGCCATCGGAGCTGTGAAGATACCGATGAGCAGCGTGGACTTCAGCCAGTCTCTGCAGGAGTGGAGGGATCTGCAGAAGGCAGAGAAGGAGGAGGTGTGAGCAAACTGACAGTGAGGGAAAGAAGTTGAACCTAAACAGAGACGCACAAGTCAAATGATTTTCAAAAACACTTTGTCCTTTAAATTTGTTTCTTTGCATTCCACAATGTGTTTCTGGGAACAAGGAGACTGCTGCTTCATGTTTGAGTTAAATCAAATACTTTCTTGTGATGATATGTAAACTATATTTCAAAGCCAGGAATCTGTCTCTGAGTTAACCTGCAACATCTTGAGACATTTCCTAAATTTAGGATTCATGATTCAAGATATTAGACGTGTTTCCAATTCCTTCTTTTTCTGTGTATCAGAGCGAGCGGCTTGGAGACATATGTTTGTCCTTGAGGTATGTGCCTACTGCAGGGAAGCTGACAGTGGTGATTCTGGAAGCCAAAAACCTGAAGAAAATGGATGTTGGTGGATTATCAGGTGAGCCCAGCAGCGATTTAAGCTCCTTGTCAATGTCCTCTTACTAAAATGCTGGAGATTTCTTAGTATACACAACTTCTGTGTCAGTCCATTGACTTTTTTTTGATAATTTTAAACATCTAAAGTAAAAACAAATAGAAATATGTTTCAGTATGTGTCGTAATATCACAAACTGCACCCTAATACCCCAGGTTTGTTAGCACTTGTTGATCTATTTAAGTGTTATAATTACCTTTAAAGTGGCGAGTCCAATTTCAAGCAGGTTCTATTTAAGGAAAATTGAGAGCTACTACAATAGATGTTGTGTTTCACTGATGGAGTTATTGCATCGGTGCCAGACTGTTGGTCTGCTGCTCTGACATAAAACCTCCCTGTTCTCACTACCAGACCCGTATGCGAAGATCCACTTAATGCAGAATGGGAAAAGACTCAAGAAAAAGAAAACAACGATAAAGAAAAACACTTTGAACCCTTACTACAACGAATCTTTCAGCTTTGAAGTACCATGTGAACAGATAGAGGTACATATATTTGTTCATGCGCATATGTATAAGTGGACACAAGCACAAGAAATTCACTGGTTGTGTATTTCATTTGTAGAAGGTGCAGGTAGCAGTGACCGTCCTGGATTATGATAAGATTGGGAAGAACGACGCCATTGGGAAGGTGCTGCTGGGCGGTAACAGCACCGGGACCGAGCAGCGCCACTGGTCAGACATGCTGGCGAACCCTCGGCGGCCAATAGCTCAGTGGCACAGCCTCAAACCGGAGGATGAAGTCAACGCATTAATTTCCAACAAGAAGTAAAGCCGTGACCCCAGTCGGCAATGAAACCCAGCATTTACCTCAACTGCTTCCACTTTATGTTCCTACTTCTCCCCTAATTCCCCTTGAAAAAAAACGTTAAGCTACTTAACTGAGTAAATGTACCCAGTGATACTCTGCTTCACCCTTGACAGTATCCAAGTCACTACTACAGACTGTAAGCTTTCTTCCCCCAGTAACTCTCAGCTCCTGCTTCTACCTTAACTGTTATTTTAAACAAATATGTATCACTATGTACAGTGCTATTAAACCAAATGAGACTTTTTTAAACTTATGAGAGTCATCTGTTCTGTTCTGTGCTGTTTAAACATGAACACTGAACTGATATTAACACATCTAACCTGCAGGGGGAGACAATCCAAAGCACTGAGACCCTCACATGGCTGCAACAGTATTTCGTCTCTACTCATTACTTAAATAATTAGTTGTGGTGAATTGTGCTGAAAGTAAGGTTTGTACATTAAATTTCCATTTTATCCCACAGCAACATTTTACAACAAAAATAATATTTATGGAAGCAAAGGCAGTGCAATAATTATGGTGTTGGAGTGCAGCCTTGGATGAGAGAAAAGCCAAGATTGTGTCTTGGCATGATAATTTATAGATCTGGTTTCTCTGCATCATCAAAGCCAACAGAGATGAGAGAACATGCCAGGATCTCAGTGAGAATGTTTATCTGTCTTGATCTTTATCACCAGAGGATTACACAATTGTACTGTGTCAAAACTGAAATTTCGACTTGCCATTGTAGGAAAACGACATGACAGTGGCTTTGTTTTAGTGATCAAGCATGTGTCATACCACGACCTTAACACTGAAGCAAATAAATGCCCTTAAGCTACTTATTTTATTTACACCTCAAAAAAAAAAAGCCTCTCTCTAAGTCGTAGCCAATGTAGTACGCTTAAAGTGGTGTGAGGCAATATTTATAAATTAAGATTACCTGGGAATTGAGCCATAGATCATTATCCTTCCTTCATAGTTTACTGGCAGCTAGTGGCGTCCACACACTTCACACCTGCTTCTTTGATGATCAGTACAGATGTCAAATGTATGCCAGCATAATATAAATCAGAACATCATCGTGCTCACAGACCTCATATTTTGTCCTCCCTTGTACACACGATGGCAAAACAACAAGAACGGCACACTATTATTCAGATGCCACTTATTCCTTTCCAGAGATGGAATGAATGTAAATAATGTGCTTCACAATAGTAGTAATATCGGACTATTATGCACTGGATTCTGCTATATTGTATAGACGTTGCTTTTGTTGTGTCAGCAACCATGTACAGTATATGGTTATGCAACACTGGGCAAACTTTTTCTTTTCAAATATAGATTGGTTTTAAAATATTATGGCTGAGGTCATAGTATGACCTAGACATGTGTAAAATGTTTTCATTTAATACAAAACTGCATTGTCAAAAAGTAAATACAAACTCACACACACATAACATGTCCTATATCTCTACAACAATTTAACCATGAAGTAAAAATAGGTATAGCTGGGGGGGGGCTGCAAGCTTAGGTAACTCTAAAGCATGGCTTCACATTTCATTTATGCATTTACTTTAGTTAGAAAACCATGAATACGAAAACACAGTATGCCACACCATCTATGTCTATCAACACTTAAGTTAAATTTGTAAATTACCTACCCTAATTACTAAATATACAAAGATAAACAAGAAGCTAAAGTATCTAGCTTAGCTGAGGTTAACTACGTGTTAATGTTTATCCACTTTATGCCGTTGGAAAAAATAATATGACAAAATTATCTCTAAATTGTAACTGCTAGCTAGACTTAATTAGCTGGGTAACTTAACTTTAGATAATACATATATTTACCAAATTTATTTATTTAACTTTAAGTAGAGAAGCTAACTTTAAGTTGAGAAGCTAACTTTAAGATGAGAGGCTAACTTTAAGTTGATAAGCTAACTTTAAGATGAGAGGCTAACTTTAAGTTGAGAAGCTAACTTTAAGTAGAAATGTTAACTTTAAGTAGAGAAGCTAACTTTAAGTAGAAAAGCTAACTTTAAGTACAGAAGCTAACTGAGAGTCAGCTAACGTTAACCCGGATACAGTCGCGTTAGCATCAGCGAGTTTGCCAGTTATTAGCTTAATACTTTTGTTTTTGGTTCGCTAGTTCAGTTAATTTCTTTGTTGAAGCTTTTCCTCTCAGGATAATATTGCTTCATCACAATACGTTTAATTATTAGCTTTTTTTTTTTTTTTTTTGGCTCAGACACTAGGTTCATTTTAACTGGTTCAGGTGGCTGGCATGGCTTTACATTTCCAGCTCTCAGGCTCAGTAGCTTCACAGTTTCGTCTCCGTTAATAAAAACTGTCCCACCCACGTCATGTGGCCAGATTGACGGTAACTTTTTGAGGTTAAAACGCTTGAAGCGACAGACCTGCGGGTTCACACGAAGACACAGGGCGGTGAACGTCCCAGCCGGTCTGCTGCATGCTGAGGATGTTGCTGTGACAGAGAGCAGCTCACCTGCCCACACAGGTGTAGGCGACTCGTCATCCGCTCAGGGGGGCTGTCGCCTCCAGGTAGCTCCTACAGGTAACGAGCAGGCATCGTCCCCGGTGCTACCAAACAGCCTGTAAACCCTTTCCTCTCGGGACAGCTGAGATGCACCGTTAACGTTTCGGCGGGACTTCCTTTCGGACTCTGAGATGAACTTAAAGTGGACAGTGAAACGATTTCTTCTTATGTCGTTTTCAGTCTCCCACTTGCTGTTACTTGAGGGTGAGTCAGACCTTTTTTTTTAACTATTGTCTTGTAATAAAGTTTGAATGGAAGCTATAATGAAATGGAGATATAGTAGTTTCTTATATGACTGAGCCACAAGAAGTTCTGTTCAAATATTGGATTTACATCATTTGCTCTTTATCAATATAATCTGTCAAACATAAGTCACTTATGTCATTGTGTAAAACTGCTCTCCCTTCTTTGCCTCTCCATGACATCTAACTACAGATGTCCACTGCAAAAACGATTTAAACCTTGATCTACCCTTAACAATATTACTGATTTTACACTACATATGTAATCAACATCTGTCTGATAGGTTAAAACTTTTAATTCTAATTGTACAACTTTGCATGTAGGAGCTCAGAGCCGACTTTCAGTGGCGGAAGGAAGACCACAGAGGTAAATGAAAGAAAGAAATTGGCAATTATTCTGCGTTATTAATATTAATAGTAAGTAATGCAGTGTCGGAAGTAATCCCTGAGATTTTTATTTTTTTTTACAGGTCATTATCACACGAGGTCATAGGATGATCATGATAAATGCATTTACACTTTCTGTCTGCAGTGTGTGATGGAGGCAGTGTGTGCGAGTGTGTGCGTGCTTGTGCGTGTGAGGGTTCAGTAAAGAGTAGTGCGGAGTCTGAATTCAAGTGGTGTAAAGTGCACTTAAGTCTCCCCTCTGACTGTTTCTTCCCACTAATGTGCATGTTTGTGTGTGTGCAGAAGGGCTAATGCACTTCGGAGGAAACGGGATCTCCTCGGGGAGGAGGTTTGTACACTACACCTAAGAGAACCAGAGGAGGTCAGGGCACCCACATGCGCACAACACCCTAACCGGCACAAAGCTGTCTTTGTAAAGAATGAGACACACTCACTAACACGAACACTTTCTCCCACTCAGCCTGACGCAACTTTTAACTTACAGCGGCAGGTACGCCGACGGTAACTGCACTGTGTCGGTGAAGCTGTTAGGGCTCGAGAATTATTCAAGGAACTCCTCTAAGTGTCTATTGTTTATTGTTTTCCAAGACATACAGACCGCTGCTGTCGGAGGGTGCTCTGTCACGCAGCATTTTGCACAACTACACAGCCAGAGATGCCTCTTCAGGTAAACACACCGCCTGTGAAGTGACTCCAAATGCATTCGCGGAAACTTAAAACTCATTACCCGGCTCGACTAGGATGAGAGAACTTGAGTTTGTTCGTGTCTTTCCCAGAATATTGCGGCTGCCTCAATGGTGGCTGGTGTCAGGAGGGCGGTGTGTGTGACTGTGCTCAGTTCCAGGCACTGGGAGACCGCTGCCAGATCAGTGAGTAGCACACATGTCTTCATTTTGTGTCAGCTCAGATTCATCCCAACCACACAAGCACCATTCCTGGTATGCAACGGACCAGCTGCTTGGGATGTTTAATACCAAAAACTTTTTTTTAATAACAGAATACGGTTACACTCAGTTATACAAGAATGAAAGCATGTATGAGACTCTCCAATCATTCAACAAACGTTAATTACCTGCACACACTCCAACATTAATTACCAGATTTCCCCAGAATCTCTCTCTCTCTCCCTTTCTCTCTATCTCTCTTTGTTGGTACAAATCCACCACCCTTCATCTCCATTCAACCCACCCACACACACACATAGACATCGAGTTTACTCCCAAGAGAAGCAGATATAAAGTCACTTGAACTAAGGTAATAGGGTAAGAGCTGAGTGATGGAGTTTCTGGTTTCTATATTCTGAACAGACTCCTTATGCCCTATATCAGGAGATCTGAGGTCACAATGATTGTAAAGACATTTTTCATTTCAATGAACTAATTTGGTGTTGACACACATGTTAGAAAGAATATTGTTGTATAAAGATCTGCGAGCAAACTGAAGCTTGAAATGAAATCGTAAATTAGACTATTGAAAAGTGCGTGCGATTCCTAAAAAGTCAAACGCTTCTTCTAAGAAATATTATTAAACTTCATGGCTGTGACACATATTTTAAATATCAGGGCAACAAAGCTGATGCCACAGAAGACACGTTCTAAAAAATATTCAATTAGACTGGGAAATTGCGTTAATTGAAACACTGATGTCTTGTGATTAAGATATGTAAAGCATAATTATTATCATCAGCATGACAAGACACTCGCTAATAAGATTAGAAGATGTGACTCACTGTCACCACCCCCTCACATTTTAGGAAGGGTCTGAGACAA